GTCGCTGAACACATCGGCGCCGAGGTCGAAGCCAGCCATCATCTTGGCCATCTTCTCAGCCTTTTTCTTCTCCTTTTCATCGAGGACAGCACTTGTTTCCTTGGCGCTCATTTTCACGTCCAGAAGCTGCTGCTTGACCTCGTCCAGCTCTGCAGTCAGCTCAGCATTCTGCTCCTTGAGCGCATCCATGGTGATCTGCGCCTCCTTGCCCTCGAAGGTAAGTCGCTCAATCTGCATCTTAACCTCGTTCACTTCGCCACTAAGCTTTTCGTTCTCCTTTCCAGTCTTCGCATCGTGCTCCTTGAGGTAGGCAAGCTCCTCCTTGGTCTCTCTAAGAGTCTTTTCTGCCGCGTTGTACTGGGACTCCTTCTCGGCAATCTGGTCCTGGAGTTCGTTTTCCCGGCGGAGAAACTCGTCGCGCTCGTCTTTCTCGAGAGGTAAGCTTGGTGTTCCCGATCGCTCGGAAATGGCCGGGGTCTCGGATCTGCTGTCAGGTAACAGACGGGATGGTGTTGAAGGACGAGGCGCTTTCGCTTCGGCCTTGGTCCCGGCGACGCCATCTGCAGACAAGGGGGCCACCCATCTGTCCTTGGGCACGGCTTCTCCAGCACGCCACAATTGGACTTCGCCTTCCAGATTCGAGAGGTAAGTTTCAAAAGTCGAGATTTGGCCTCTGGCCTTGCCGAGCAAAGCCTTGAGTTCAGAGGGACTCAGCTCTGCGTTAATCTTGGCCTTGTTCTTGATCGCCTTCGCACGAGTACCGAATCGCAGGGTGCTGAGGGTTTCAGCGTCGTTATAACTACTAGGAGAGCAATTAATGATGAGGGTGGTTCGACTGTTACCTCCCAGAGATTCTTGGAGGATACGAGTCAACTTGGAATCGCGGTAGGGAACGTGGGATGATCTGCCGTCGGTCAAGGCGTTGATGACCATTCCGAGAGCGCTCAAACTCTTGTTGATCTTCTTTGCTTCCTCTAGTGTCTGACCACTGGCGCCTGTCTTTCCAACCTTTTCGCTACCGGCCAAATCGACTAGGAAAAGCTGGCCACTCTTTGCTGATCCGGTCTCAACGTTCTTTTGAGTAATGGTAACGACGAAGATGGAATGCGAACGGGAAGATTCCTGGTTCATGTTGGTTGCGGCGACGGCTCGGGCGTTTCCACCTCTTCTCATGACCTCGTACACTTCCTGGACGCTGGAGACGTAGACCTCCAAAAGACCCTTGACGTACACACCGCGATTCTTCTCCTCATGAACGGGAAGGTTGTCGTTTTGGGGCGCAAGCAAATCACGAATCCTCTCCATGTAGATTTCCATATAACTGACTCGAACCGTGTACTCGATAGTGCTGGGACTAGACATGATACTGGCGAAAATCTGTTCGATGATGCGGGGAATAACGCCTCGGCCTTCCTCGTCGTCGATACTAGAACCCATCATGGTGTAGGATTTTCCGGCACCCGTCTGACCGTAGGCGAAGACCGTTCCATTGTAACCGTTGAGAATATCGTCGACAGTCGATCGGATGGAAAAGTCGAAAATATCGGACTGCTTACATTCCATGTCGAAAACACGGTCGAAGGTGAAGGAGCCCTGGGCCTCCTTGGACTAGAAGCAAATGCGTCAACCAGTTGCCGGCATGCGCGGCGTCTAACATCCCCCAGGGGGGCACTTACGTCGAGAGAACATGTTTCCTCGCTGCTGAAGGAGACGATGGGCTGGCCGCCCGACGCCAGTTCCACCTTGTTCTGTGGACGGAATCGGGCCACGACCTTGATACTGTTGTTTGCACCAGACATGGTGACGGTATTTCAGACCAGACGAGGTCGAATCCAATGTCGTGGGGTTGCGATCGGGACAATATGCTGCGAGATAAGGGGGGTGTGGTTGCGAGGCACTCGGCGGCCGCAGCTCGGCAATGGGGCTTTGTGTTGGAAGGACACACAAAGGCGGGCGGAATGAAATGACGGTGTGCAGATGTGGAAAGGCTGCTAGAATGACATATCGCAGGTGTTGCAGGGCGATGATGCAAGGAGCAAAGAACAGCGACAGCACAAACCAGCGGCGGCAGCAGCCAGAGAGGCAGTCGATCGGAAAGCGAGAGAGGAGGGAGATGTGTGGTTGTCTTGTTTGGAAAACGGGTTTGGGGGGGGCTTTGGGGGGTTGAGATGCAAATGACGGGACGCGCTAGCAATCGCGTAGAATTATTTGATTGCAGCAAGACAAAGCACAGAATGCAGGTGCAGAGGGGGAAAGTACCTGCCCGCAGTTCTTCAGTTCACAGAGTCACAAGTCACTGCTCTTCAGGCCCCATCCTCCCGGTCGCCAGTCGCCAGTCGCCAGTCGCCAGTCGCCAGTGGAAGGAGGGCCAGAATGGGTACAAAAAAGTAGACCAATCCCATCCTGCCATGGTCACTTCGCGCTGGTCGTTTCATCCCCACCTCGTCGTCTTTCCCAAAGCAAAGCCGAGGGGTTCCCGTCCCAGAAGGGCAAAGTCCCCTGTTCCTCTGCTGGAATGGGCGGATATAGCAACAGCACACAGTGCCCATGCAATGCCCGACGGGGCGGGCTGCACTACACACTAACCATCCCGGGCAGGCATGTTGGCACAACAGATGGCCCGGCGCATTGCACACTAATTAGAAGACCATCGGCCGAGCACGCGACAGAAATCGCTGACGAGAGTTTGCACGGTTGCCCAAGTGGACTGGGAGTTTGGGACTCGTCTTTTGGGCGTGACTTGGTGTGGACAACTCCACTTTCGCAGATGCATTCTTATTAAACAACAACGGACCGCATGTTCTTCAACTGGTATGGTATTCCGCTGCTTATGAGATCCCAAATGCACTTCCCACGAACTCCCCTGTAAAGCCAGATGAAGACGAACCTAACGTCACCGACAACGGGTGACTCAACGGATAGGAAAGCAAAGCACGTCCACGAAACGCCTATCGCAACATGGGGTCGCCCCAAAAGCCACTTAGAGAGGACAGCACGAGCCGAAACGCCAAATACCCCCACTCTCACCTCATCGGGGACCCCAGTTGCTTAATGCGAAGCAGATCAAGACATCTGTCTGGTCCCTCCGGATGTAGCTCATGTCAAATCTCTCCCTCGTTTGGCCCTCTAGCATCCCATCAAAGCCCAGCAGCTTATTCCTACACGAGCCATACCCTGCTGCAGTAAGGCGCGGCCAATCTTTGTTCATAACAGTCGTGTGTGTGTGCGTCGTGGTATCATGCCAATTTAGTCATCCCAGCTCTTCTCGACAGTCTCACGAACACGCTTCGTGTATTCCTTTCGGTTATCTTTGTAGAGATTCGACGCTTCTACGTTCGCTGGGGAGCCCGTGTTTGGGTCATTAAGCAAACTGGTGATGCAAGTTAGCCAAGGTAGATCCATCGCTCGCAGATTGACATCCGCGATACCCAGAGTAGGACGGCTCACCTCTGAATGCTCGTCAACACTGCCGCGACGTCGTACGTGGGACTCCATCTGTTCTGCAGGATGTCCAGGCAAAGCTCTCCTGTAGCGTAGACGTTTGGGTGGAACATCTGGCTGATGAACTTGACTGCGGGCGGCTTGTTGGGGTATTGTTCCTCGAACTGCATGACGAGCCTGAACGTGCCGTCTTCGAAGGGAGTATCGGCGGGTCCAATAATTACAGCGTTCCTAGAGCATGCCTTGTCAGCCGATGCCGTTGGCACATCCGGCAGATTCGGAGTTTGGTCAAGCATACCAAGTCATGACATTGTCGGGGACCGGCGAGGCAGAAACGCCGGCGGGAGGATCAGTCTGCATACGCTACTCGGTACGTCAGTATCGCAAATTCAAAATAGCCCTGTTGAGTATCGTGGCTGACCTTGAAGTCACGCATCAAGCGACGGCGGGCGGCGGTAGACATGGTGGCGGTCGGCGACTGATTACAAAGACTGAGGGGTCGGAGGATCGCAACAGCCGTCGAGAAAGGACGGAAGCGAACCAAAAATTTGGTTCAAGGCGTGGGCGGTCGGTGCGAGAATCCTCTCTGGGTATCGAGAATGCTGGAAGTTATGCAGGTCTGCGTCGCTGATGTTGTATGATGGAAGAAGGTGTAGAAACGTTGAACGGGTCATATTCGACAGTGGGACAGAATGGCGCGGGAAGCACTCGCCTTCACCACCGCCTTCCGCTTGGGCCAATCGGTGAGTCCCATAATTTGGTCCAATCATAGTGGTCGATACTAAGCGCGAATCACCCGATACCAAAACGGCACGCAGGGGTTTCCAACACAAACACAATCACGATTCAAGCCACTCCATAACGCTTCTAGGCCTCGAGCTGGACCGTTGAACTGCATCTACAGAAATACGAAAGAGATTTGTTTGCCGCCTCTGCTTTGTCATGTAGCTGACAAGCGCACCTGAGAAGTTGAGCTATAAAAAGATACTCAGTTGCATCAACTCGCATGCAACTAGAGAGATGTAGCTTTTCGTCCGTCCGCATGAGCGGGCTAACGTTTTCTTCTGTGGCAACGCATTCAATATTTATACCTGCGCCGCAGAATTGACATAACGGCGAGGATGGGCCGTATGCCGCGAATTTCCGCGGGGAAATGTCCAAGATACAGGTCAGAGTGACAGAGTTGCAGGAGCTGCCGGAACCGGTTCCACTCCTTTGGCCCGACGAGCTTTCTGAACAGAATTGGTCTTACTCCCACGGTCCGGGGTGGGGGGCCGGTTCCCCTGGGGAGAGGTGACCTCACTCCTCACTAAGAAGCTCGGCCCCGCCCATGTATCCCCCATGGGCACCCCCCTCCTCTTAAGCCGAGGAAGACCGCAGGACCTGGGGTAATTATTGCCGTCCAGCGCCTTCCACATGCTTGCTTCATTCCTCTCGAAGTGAATTGTGAAGCCGCCATCCTATCTTTTTTTCCCTCTCTCCATTTCCCGTCTGCAAGATCGTCTCAAGTCTCTGTTACTCACTGCGTTTCTGCTGCGGAATATTGTAACACTACCACCATGTTTATGAGGCACTCATCGAGGCTTCCTGGCCAATTGGCTAGGCAAGCGGCTTCTCGTCAGTTCTCCACGAGAGCTGCGCTTCGGCAAGAGATTCGGGACGCGTACATTCTCAGTGCATCAAGAACACCGACAGCAAAGGTAGCAACTGTTCAGTGAACCTCTCCGAAGCTCCTCTAATTGACACGGTCTTTAGTTTAATGGTTCGTTTACGAGCGTAACCGCGCCGAAGCTTGGCGCCGTCGCCATTAAGTCTGCGCTCGAAAAGTCAAAGGTCCCTGTCGACAAGATCACCGACGTGTACATGGGCAATGTGCTACAAGGATCCGTTGGACAGGCGCCGGCTCGCCAGGCCGTGATCTTCGCCGGTCTCCCGTCCAGCGTGGAGGCAATCACCATCAACAAAGTCTGCGCATCCGGTCTGAAAGCTGTCGTCTTTGCTGCACAAAATATCCAGCTCGGTCTCTCGGAGGCACAGATTGCTGGGGGCATGGAGAACATGACGAGGGTGCCTTACTATGTACCTCGCGCTTCTAGCCTGCCGCCGTTCGGTCATGTCAAGATGGAGGACGGCCTGATCAAGGACGGTTTGACCGACGTCTACGACCAATTCCATATGGGCAACTGCGCCGAGAACACGGCTAAGAAGTACGAGATTTCTCGCGAGATGCAGGACGAGTACGCTATCGAGTCGTATAAGCGCGCCCAGGCTGCGTGGAAAGCCAAAGCTTTTGCCGAGGAGATCGCCCCCGTCACTGTTCCCGGAAAGAAGGGCGATACTGTAATTGAGTCCGATGAGGGCTACCTCGATGTTAAGTTCGACAGGGTCCCTACCTTGAAGCCGGCCTTTGTGCGCGACGGCACCGGCACCGTCACCGCTGCCAACTCCTCCACGCTGAACGACGGCGCCAGCGCGCTTGTTCTGGGCAGCAAGGACATTGCGCAACAATACGGCTCCGGCTCTCGAGTGCTGGCAAAGATCTGCGGGTCGGCCGATGCCGCAGTTGATCCTGTTGACTTCCCCATCGCCCCAGCCAAAGCTGTGCCTATCGCGCTCGAGAGGGCAGGTATTACTAAGGACCAGGTCGCTGTGTGGGAATTCAACGAAGCCTTTGCCGCTGTCATCAAGGCGAATGAAAAGGTATGCGAATCATCCATAATCGATCAATCGTGACTAATTTCGATGGCGTAGATTCTCGGATTAGAGGGTGCCAGGGTCAACCCCCTTGGAGGAGCAATTTCCCTCGGCCATGCCCTGGGTAGCTCCGGATCCCGAATTCTAGTCACCCTTCTGCACCAGTTGAAGCCTGGCGAGTACGGTGTTGCGGCCATCTGCAACGGAGGCGGCGCGGCCACGGCGATTGTCGTGCAGCGCGTCGAGTCTGTATAACCGGCTAAATGTTCGTCGGCGCGGGTACAGTTTCCGGCCGCGTGCGTCTAGGCTGGGAGAAAATGGAAGCGGCATGCACACGGTGCTTAGCTTCATGCGTGACTTGAGGGCTGCTTTCCGCGCAGATTGCGGTGATCACAGCGGGGTCGAGGCGCGTTGTAAACGAGGCGTAAAACTTTGAAATGTTGAAGAAGCCAGCTAGCAAAAGCAAATTGTATTTGGGTGCTTTATTAAAATAAACTATCCCATGTAGACTTCTTGGCGCAGATTGTCGGTAAAATTTCCACTTTGAAGTATGTTGAAGCTTGATACTGGAATAAAAGGCACACCACCGGCACCATACAACGGCTCCGCAACGGCCCAGCGCCAACGTCTCACCGAGCACACACCTTTGTTTCCCGTACACCGAAGAATCCACCTCACCTCACCTCGTCTGGCTCCAGCTCTCTCACCTTGAACTTCCAATCACGTCCCCTCCCATCACAACACCTTTACTTCCACGATCCGCGGCCTCGCCCCGCGTTCCGAAAAGATCCTCAGCTTCGGCACTTTACATAACTTCGTGCCGACGATGTCCCTATTAATCCAATTCCTCAGCCAGATCCGTACATTCGTCCGTGCTCAGAACATCGACGAGCTCCGGAATTGGCTTCTCGTCGAGCCCAACGCAAACCAGCAATATCACGCCCTCGCGAATGAGTTGCGAACGCAGTTCCGCTCATCACGGCATGGCGTCAATGGGAGTAACGGCGCAGCCAGCACAGCCCTAGAGAGCACGATTGAGAAATGCCTTCCCGAGGACGACGACGTGCCCGAGGGCCAGGGCTCGCCGTGGCCAGGCTTTGTGACTTTTATGAAGGACTACATGGTCTTCTGGCGCGATGTCGACTATGACGACCTTTTGGGCGCGCACACGTTGCTCAGCGGACTGGTGAAGTGAGTTCCTGAAGAGCCTCCCTCATCACCTCAACCGACGCAAACCTCAAGGCCATCCCCCGTGGCTTTTCCAGTGGAACCAGCAATCGGCTAACACCTACACAGCTCCTGTAGTACCGCCTTTGCCCACCCTACCTATGGAGGCATGCTTCTCAAGACAGCAATGTCCCTCTGTGAGTCACTCTCGCGCCTGACAATGATGTTGTCAAAGCGTCCGGATCTCACGCGCAACATCCGCAACGTCGACGCCGACGACCGCAAGTCCATCGCCGAGTCCTCGGCCGAGATCATCCAGAAGATCTTCACCACCTGCCTGACAGACCGCTCCAGCGCGCGGTACAGCAAGCCCGAAGGCAAGAAGGTTGGCGTTTACATGTTTGCCAACCTGGTGCTGAAGCTCCTCTTCGCCGTAAGTCTTCTGCTTCCTCTTGCCCCCATGTCCCAACCATCAAACGCATTGCCTGACAGACGGTCCGCAGTGCCGGAGAACGCATCTGGCAAAACAAATATTCACAAACATTTCCACAAACTCGCCGCCATTATCATTTTATCCGGCATCACAGCGCGTCAACTTTCTCTACTACCTAGGCCGCTTCAACCTCGCAAACTGCCACTTCCTCCGCGCGGCACTCTGCCTCGAAGAGGCGTACCTCCAGATCCCACCTCCCCTTACATCTCACCGCGCCCTGGTCCTCAGCTATCTGGTGCCCTGCAACTTTTTGCTAGGCCGTCTACCCTCCCAGCTCTTGCTTTCTCGCCCCGAAGCATCCGCATTGGTACCAGTCTACCAACCACTCATACAAGCGATTCGAAAGGGCGACTTTGTACTCTTTCAACACACCTTGGCCCAGCACGAGAAGTACCTCTTCGATAAGGGCCTCCTCCTCGTCCTCACCCACCGCCTGAGGCCTCTTCTCTGGCGCTCCCTCTCCCGCAGGACATTTCTCCTAACCTACTCGCCCGGCCAAGACGACGCCAACCCCTCCAACACAAACCGCCGCGCCGCAACCATGGACCTCGCAGACCTCCACACAACATCCAAGTACCTCCAACACCGCCTTGAAGGCTACATCCCCTCAAAATCCCCCTCCTCTTTCGCACCTTCAACGGCGTCCCCCGCTTTCCTCAAAGCAGTTAGCCACGACGCTGCGTCGACGCTGGTCCCGCCGCCCGGGGGACCCAAAAAGCTACGCCCCAACGAGGGACTGGTCTGGGGAAACTCCCCCGTAGAGATGGACGACGTGGAGATGAACGTCTCGGTGCTGATCCAGCTCGGTTTCATGCACGGCTTCATTGCGCACTCGCAGGGGAGATTCGCCGTCATGGGCGCTACGAAAAAGAGCCCCGTGCTGGCCGGTTGGCCGACGCCGTGGACGGCTATTCGGGAGAGACAGTACGAGGAGGACTTGGATCTGGACCACGTGCCTGGGTGGGTGAAGGGTTGAATGATCCACCACCGCGGGACTATCTAATGAGCTAGAACGTGTGCCAAGAGACTGAAGGTGCTAAGGGATACAAAGTTTCTATATAGGTACAGAAGTTTACCAAGTCGTGGAGAAAAGCAAAAATGATACCCTATTCATATCTGAGTGAGCCTGGAGTCGGCGTCCTATTTTGCTTGCTTCAAGCATGCCAGTGAAATTGACCAGCAAGGCAGAGTTCGGCGAGCGGAATCCTGATACAGATGGTCCCATCCTACGCAGACAGACTGCGATGAGCTCTCGTGTGAAGCCGGAGGCTTACTTGAACCTCTGCATGATGTCGCCAGCCGCCCCATGATGGAGAGCAGCAGGAAGCAGTAAACGTAGTTGGCTCCCCAGCGGACGTAGGTACATTGGCATACTTGCGTTGCATTAGGTGACGTACATGACTACATCTAGAATCTGGCTCTAGGGGAATGTTACAGTATAGAGAGATCAATGAAACATAGCTAGAATCTGCGCCACAACAGCAAGCACGGTTACGGCTGCGGCGTCCTCTGGATTCATAGCTTCCTTCATTAGGCGTACGAGATTATCTGCTTTGCCAAAGAATCACTCACGTTTGCCCATTAACAAGCACCGATAGAAGATCCTCTGCATCAACCGACGACGCAGAGTTCCGGCCTCATTCGCTTAAGTAAGATATCATTTCTTGTTCTACGTCGTTTAATCTGTCTGATTGATGGACGAGGTGGGACGGCAGGCCAAGCTCAATTTCAACATCAACAGCACAAACAAGAAGGACCAAGGAGACAAGCGATGTCAGGACTGCTACCGACTCTGGCCCAACCAGACGATTCGTTCGCGAGGATTCACGTGCGGCTGCTTGTCTTGGAAGATGGCTGTTGTCTGTCTAGAGAGGTGCTTGATCTGCTGATGGGTCGGCAGCGAGCAATCATAGCTCTGTTCATTGTCAACTTGAAACCCAACCATGCTTGAACAGAATCGTGGACGCCGCGTCAACAAACCGGCAAGCACAGACAACGTAATGTCTGTCGTTGCCATGTCGAGCATCAAAAAAGAGCCATCTTCACTACGACCCAAGCAAGGGGCCGCAAGCAATGAAAGCATCGAAGCAGTAAAAGAGAAATCTCCATCCAGAAGAATATGGTGTTCAAAAATTCCCTAGCCGGTACGAAGCCAACTAGGAGTGGTCATAGTTATAGTTTTCAACTAGCAAAAACACGATCTCGGACGAATCCTCACTGATACGCGTAAAGCCCTTGCACTCAGATGGAAAAGAAAGGAAAGGAAAGAAGACTGGAACTGGACGTGGGGTCGTCGAGGTTTTATACCCTCCATGGGGCGGGCCTCCACATGGTGGGGTGGGCAGGCAGGCAGGTAAAATGTAGGTTCCTTAGGTAAGGTAAGGTACGGAGTACCTTACCTTACTTTAGGCAGTAGTGGGTGGGACCAGCGATGAGCCGCGGTACGTACCTTTGGCCTCAGCGATGGTGCCCACTCGGACCGCTCAGGGGGGTAAAGGAAGACTTGGAATGGAAGCTGTCAGCACCCGTCCCCCGGTACGTACCCGCACCGAAGCTCCGTGGCCGCCGACTGCACATCTCGAAACCTGAAGCACGCGCGCCGAGTCCCGACATGCGAATATCGCCAACACCGCAAAGATGCTCTCTTTTATCCTGATCCAGAACCGCCAGTATGTATTAATCACACTCACCATGCAAAAACATGTGACAAGGTCCCGCTGACATTTCCCCCCGCGCGATCCAGGGGCAAGACCCGTCTCGCGAAGTGGTACGCTCCCTACAGCGATGATGAGAAGATCAAGATGAAGGGCGAGGTACGAATGCCGGCAACTCTGCTTCCTTTCATCCCACAAGCGCCCGTCTAACACGATGTCCCCTTCAACCGCACAGGTCCACCGCCTCGTCGCGCCCCGAGACCAGAAATACCAATCCAACTTTGTCGAGTTCCGCAACAACAAGATTGTCTATCGCCGCTACGCCGGCCTCTTCTTCTGCGCCTGCGTCGACACAAACGACAACGAGCTCGCCTTCCTCGAGGCCATCCACTTCTTCGTAGAGGTCCTCGACGCCTTCTTCGGCAACGTCTGCGAGCTCGACCTCGTTTTCAACTTTTACAAGGTCTACGCCATCCTCGATGAGGTGTTTCTAGCTGGCGAGATCGAGGAGACGAGCAAGCAGGTCGTGTTGACGAGGCTAGAACATCTGGATAAATTGGAGTGAGGAGTCGCCGATGTGGCGGATTCCCGGCACGGTCCGGTATTGTAGAAGACTGAAGGATCGCGCTTCTCCAGTCTGAGGCTTAATTACAGTTGGAGACTGGCGGACCTCTGCAGGTTATATATGGGCGTACGGGTGGGCCGGAGTCTGGAGTTTTATCAAGAGCGGCACGCACGCGACTGATTCAAACGTTGTTTGGCAAACTTTTGATTGCATGGGAATACAAGCTATGTAAAGGAATTTCAGGGAGAATCTCCCCTACTTGAACCTAGAAAACGGTGCTTTGTCTTCTTTCTCCAGTCGCAGCCCAGCTGTCTTTGAAGAATATTGCTGGGCATGATTTTGAGGAGATGATACCGCTAGATGTTCGTGGGCATCCCAGATACATTGACTGGGCTTGAGAATAACATCCTCACTGGCAAGTATAGCCAGGTTGCGCGTTCATCCGATTGCCCAATGCAACATGAAATACCACGAAACCAACCAAATAACTGCCCTAAAAATTGGTCTTCCAGTTCCCAGTCCCAAGCAAGTCTTACCCGGGTCAGACCCCATAGGCCAACTCTCGCCCGAGCTTTGAAACAGAACCTAGACAGACAAGAAAGAGAAGAAGAATATGCCGACGGCCGAGCTGAGGCCAACCTCCCCCGAATGATGGACAGTAAGAGTCGGCATCCCATCGTGAGCCAAGCGTTCTTGACAAAGGACAGATCCTCTGCTTCAAAGTCGAATGGAAATGAATAAGAATGTTGTCGGCTGCCTACTTGGTGCTGAGAGTCAAATGAAGCATCTGGTCCATGATAGCCATGTTAGAGCGGGATGAATTCAGCTGGGTAGTCATCAGATTGTACGGCTACTCGCTCCTTTTCGAAGTGGCGGAGCGTTCCTCCTCTTCGGTATCATACATCTCAATAGCGGTGCGTCGGCGAGCAATATTGACGTAAACGTTCTCGTGCTCCCTGCCTCGGAACAGAACCAAGACGGCACGGTCGTATGGGGGGTCTCTCCAGAGAGGCTTCAAGGTTTGCAATGGAACAATGACCTCCTCAATATGAGATGAGTCATGGATCGTCTCAATGGGGCTACTTAGAGCTTGGGTCAAATCCTCAGGGGCGTCCTCCATATAGACGTCATCGTCGCCATCGTCTTCGTTGTCGTAATCAATAGTACCGAGGTTTTCGGGTACAACACACTGGTCGTCCAGAGTCCCAGATGGCGAGGAAGAAGATTGCAGGATCTCACTTCCATCGACCGGCTTAGTGACGGCCATGTGGTCAGTGACTTCTGGCTTCGATTGAAAGAGGATCTCTCCCTCCAACGCCTCAAGAAAGTCATCCGCATCAACACTGGCTTGTTTCCACTGCATATCGGTTGATTCGCGTGGCTCTGTGGCCCCATTTGAATCCATAGTCCCGTCTATTTCCATGGAAACATCCCCCAATGTGTCTACTTGCTTCGCCTTTGTGTCGACAACCGAGTCTTGCTTGGCAGACACAAGCCTATGAACCGGTTCGTCAACGGAAGCAGTTTGCTGTACCACCTTGGGGGACTTGTCGTCGTCATCCCAAGGCAAGCCGCCGGCAAAGGGGTCCTCTTGCCGCTGTCTCTTCGATGGTCTCTGTATATCGTCCCAAGGCGAGAGCCTGCCGTCGGTGCGCCTTTTGGTCAACTTGGATCGAACCCTCGCCTCTTTCTCGCCCACATTCCACGCTGGAACCCGCTCCGTGTTTCTCTTCAGACACGACGGGCCCAGTTTCTCCGATTCTTTGGGACGATACGTAAGATCGAACTGTCGATGTTCATTAGAGTGGTGTGTATCATCAAGACGACGAGACGTATCAGGACGGTATGTATCGATAGATTGACGAGGTCCGTTGGGGCGATATGCGTCGATGCGCTGGCGGGGTCTTTCAGGACGATAATTATCATCGGCAAAGTGCGAGTCGATAGGGCGACACGAGGAAGAACGAGGGCGACTTCTGACTGGCTTAGAGTTGCTCCCGGATTTGAGAGGGCCTCCACCTGACACTAGGAAGCTGGGTGACTTGAATAGATCACTGCCTGGGTTGGTTTGCAAATATCGTGCTCGCTCCTCGTTCATGTAGGGTTCATTGACACTCGAACTTTGGCTGGCAGAAGCTGGTTTTGCTCGGCCAATAGAGCTGGAGTGCCAGGCCTTTCCCAGATTTCCTTCCGTTAGCCTTCCCAAAGAGCTCTGTCTCAAGTCTTCGCTCAGTATCGGCGTATTTTCAGGCCCGTTTTGGAGTGAATCGGTGGAACTGGTCGCTTGGTTCCGAGGACAATCTTGGACAAAGTGGCTTCGACGCTCGCCACAGAGGCGGCAAACGTAGCTCTTTGGAAGGAGCGGATCATGCGAGGGGCAATTCTGAAAGAAGTGGCCTGCGTTGGCAACAGCATCGTTAGTCTCCTGATGTCTTCTCTGATGGCTTCATGTAGAGCTACCTAGTACTCCGCAGCGTTTGCATACATAGGCCGCAGGCGGCGCTTGCTCGTTCAAGGAGGAATTACCAGACGCCTTCTCTGGTGGTAGCGTTCTGGACTTGAGCTGGTCCAATCGGGAAATGAGCTTCTGTCGAAGACTGAGACGGGAATCGTCAGGGTCGGGGCGGACGTTTCCTGGCTCTTGAGTCCCCGGGGTTGGATCGCTCGCTTGGGTGGAAACTCTAGCAGATTGAGGCAAATCTATCAGATCCACTGTCGAGGCTGCGTCTTTGAGGATAGACGGAGTGTTCAAATCTTGTCGGGCACGAGGCGACAATTTGTAGTTGATCTCGATGTCTCTTCTTGCAAGGTTGAAAGTCCGAACGCCTCCAGATCGGTCTTTGAGGTAGTCGTTCTTGTGCTGAGAAAAGGCGTTGATCACACGGCATTTTTCGTACTTTCTAGAGCTGAGATAGTCGCAGGCATCCCGGATGACTTTAGAAGAGGCCTTATGATTTGTGAGACCCAGGAAGGGAGCCTGCTTTGCAAGCCACTTTGTGTAGAGGTCCAGGAGGGTCTGATCATCGATATCTTGGGGATGTCGGCTGTTCAGCTCCCATTCGATGTCTCTCTGGCTCTGGCTATAGAAATCCCCAGGGCTCATCCCAAGGATATAGAGTTCTGAATCTGTCATGTTTGTTTGTTGTGCAAGCGTTGAGGAAAGTGTGGCGGAGAGCAGGGTGAGGTTGCTATGAAGTTTTTCGCTTGTCCTAAGAAACTTCAGGCTTCTTCTGGAGTCAGAGACTGACTGAATGTCAAAGAACACACGCCTGTGATCAAAACACAGGATAAAACCTGGAAGCTGAATCCGAACCGAGTACGAAAAACCGCGAGGATGATTGGAGATTAGAGCTTCTCCGGGAGCTTTCGTGTTTTGAAATGCGAATATGTGGTGGATTGAGGATATTGCAAAGATGATAGACTTGGCCGTGATTGCTAGCCGGGGCTGGTAAATGTTGTGAAAAGGAAAGCATAAGACAAGAAACAGAAAAAGGCCATCGGGCAAGGCAGGTAGGTACGCCTCCATGAGGAAGGACCACGAGGACGTGGGCCGACCCCTCCCTTTGGAGGGCAAGTCCAGCTTGGTCAAGATCTCCTTCCCTGAGATTTATGTCTGGCCATCCTTCTTCAAGCTCCTGTCTCTCCAACATGTATTGGTTATCTAGGTAGCTACTAGAAGCCCTTCTTCGGGGTTAGATTGTCTCTCGTTGGCTGTATCATCACAATAGCTTGGGACACTCGCCCTACTCATCTGATGGCTACATCTCAAATACCTTCGAATTTTGACTACATCCTGGGGTAAATACTGCATACCCCATACAGTGCAGAGATCAAGATCAAGTTAATGCAGAACGCCTGCAGTATGAATTAGTCCCGCGCCATGCCTAGACCTTGAACCATAAGCATACAAGCCCTCCAATACCCTCCAAATGTCCTCCATATCAAATTAATTCGTACCTGATCCTTGACGAAAGTGGTATCAGTCTCAACGTTTCAAAGCTTGGAATCTCCTCTCCAGCTCGGTTATGTCAGGTACGTTGCCTCCTGGACCCTTTGCAGCTGGCTTCTTCTGCGCTGCTGTGTCCATCTTCTTATTAGGCTTCAGCTCCAGTGAATTGAGCGTAACTTTCGGATGGACATTGTCCGTTGTCATCCTCGGCGGCGTGACAGTCAAAGGGCTGCTGGGGCCTCCAATCGTCCTCGGCGGTGTCGCCTTGCTCAGCTCCTCCTGTTCCTTGGCCACTTTAGAGCTGTTTCCCAACGGACCTTCCGGTATTCTCACTCCGATTCCACCACTCGGACTATCGTCATCGTCGTCGTCCAGCAGTTCCGGCGGCTCATCAGCCAGAGGTCGCTTCGGCCAGTCGACATTGTACGCCTTGGCAATCTCCTCCAGATACCCCTGTACGAGCTCTTCCCGCGGCGGCGTGACACTCAGCTTCTTGACAACCTTGTCCGACACCTTACCGTCTGAATTGTCCATCGCCGCAAGAACAAACTCCTTGCCGTACTTTTCCGCCAACAGCGTCCGCACCACCTGCAGCTCCTTAATCTCCGTTTTGGGCGCCGCATAGATGATGCTCTTTACGGCCTCCTCCAGCCCCGGGTCACAGGTCGAACCCTCGAGGAGTCCCGCGCGTGCAATCAACAGTTCGCAATACAGCTCCAGTATCTCGTGCAGCTCGGTTGTGATGTCGGATCGGATGATGTTCTCGACGCGGATGCGCGCAGAGTCGATTTTGCCCACCTCGAGGAGCTGCGCCATCGCGCGCCGTTGTGTCTTTCCCATGGAGTCATCGCGCTGTTGGACCATGCGCAGGCGCGCGATGGCCAACTTGAGCTGGACCTTGAGCTTCGTCTGTTGTACGGGAGATGGGTCCGGTTAGCAAAGCCATGTCGTCATAAGTGTCAGCGGGGCATCTCAAGGACGCGCGACTCACTACAACTGATGGCTGAGGAGGCATTCTGGTGGGTTTTTCCTTGTGATTTGAGAGAGAGAGGAAGATGTCACGAGGCCCGAGTCAAATGCGAGAGACACTGCCTCAAGTAAGTACGTAACGTGAGTAACGGGACGCAAGGCAACCGAGTTGAAGCCGCCCAGGAGAGTGGGCATGCCCGGAAGGGGTCAGTCTGCCTTATCTAATCGTTGCTGTTTGGTGGTATGGCTGGAGCTTGCGCCTCATTGCGGGGTACTCGTTCGTGCGCAGCCCAAGTGGGAAGGACCACCAGAGCGTATTCTAAAGCGGGCGAAACCAGTAAGGGACTTGCATGCCCCAGATTCAATACATTTGTCACTTACACTTGATGTATTGGTAACGAATTTACTTTTGCATACGGGCTCGTCCCACATCTCCTCGAACTTGGTTTTTTCAAATGACTATCTCATCAAGAGCAGCGTGGCGCTCGGTTACTCGTCGAGGATACAGGGCTAAGTCACTAGCAGCTGCTGGACAAGGAAAGAACTGCACTCACTGACTGGACCTTCTCATCCAGCCTTTAGAACGACTGTCCATCTACTATAACCCAGACACTGTAACGCGCGTAAGGAAGATTAAAAATCTAAAACAAAAACGCCTGTTCCATCTGCCCACCCGTGGGTATCGTTACATTGGCCCTATAGAAAAGTCGTGGTCGATTCGACGCATTTGTTGAAGAAAGACGCGTGACCAGCAGCCAGTATGCGCTCGAGAAAAGGAATCAGAACTAGGTAGATATTAGCGCGTACCCTATGCTTTACCGAGACGAAACGTACAATGTTGAGCGCGGTATGCTGTGGCAGCCTCGAACCATTGAGCATGGCTCGAGTCTTCTTGGGTCGCTGCTGAAGGCGTCTGAAGGCTTCCTGAACGTGACGAGGCTCAATGGGACTTCGTCCCTCGCTGGGCGGGTCGAAGAGACCAGTCGCCACCTTGCGCTTTTTTGACCCTGCGTTCTCACCGCCACTCTGTGCCTTAAACAGGTCCTCTTGCTCCTTGACCTTGAGTGCGTGCTCAGTTAGGGTCTGTACCATTTCGAAGGTCAAGAAACCCAAGATATCGACAATGTCGTCAGAAGGTTTGCTGTCTGTGACGATACCAAATCCAGCCCACTCTCGGAATCTTTTGCCTTTGCGGTACGTGAACGACGCTTGACGGTATTCGGACCATGTCACGTACTCCTCCTTCGTCATAGCCTTGGTGCGCTCGTCGGCCTTGCGGAGACGTTGGAGAGTGATGAAGTTCATCTCTTCCTCTTCTTCATCCTCCTCGTCATCACGTTCGGGGACTTCTTGGCTGTAAAATGAGGACGGCTCCCAGGGCAGGCCAACCTTGGCCTTTTTATTCTTCTTGGTCGCATCGTCGACTGGGCCACCAGGGACAACACCCCCACTGGGATCTTCGCCAGCACCAAGATCGGCTTCGCCTCCCTTGTCGTCTGAATCCTTGACGTTCTTTCTAACGTCTTTCCATGACAGGAACGTACGCAGACGAGAGACCTTGGCTTGATCGTGGCGAATTTGGAAGATCAGGTCGTTGATCGTGATGGCTCGCGCGCCACGACGAGCTGCGAGCTCAGTGCAGTTTCGAAGCTAGCAGGGCATAAGAAATCTAGCGACTTATAGCATCGGTAGAACTTACCAACTCAATCACTTGCTGGCGCACAATGTCTTCAATCATGCTGGTAGTTTCAATCGACGGTTCGGCGGTCTCACCAGAGACATACATCATCTTGTGCGCAACGTTAGTGAACCGGTCTGACCAGCCGTATGGTCTCTTCTCGTTTTCCGCACGCTTGGGAAAAACGAAAACAGGTTTGTTAGGCGCTGGGGTTCTGAGACGCTTGCCCCTTCCCTTTTGCTCTTCTCCACACGGGATGTCGAGGATAGACATGAAGCCGGAGTTGACCACAATGCCGCGAACTTGGTCGAAGGCGGATTGAAACAGCTCCATATTCTGGCGTTGAACACGCGCAAAGACCGCCGCCTTTGCTCTAGATTGCCTGTGGTATGTTGGTTTCCCCGTGAAAGTCTCGGGCTCGGCGTCGCTGCTATTGTCGACCAATGGCTCGGTACATTGTTCGAACATGCCGAGAGTCATTTGGAGACATCCGATGAGGTGACTCATAAGGCAACCGCCACCATTTCGGTCGTAGTGAGATCCCCATCTCACAAACTCCTGGTCCCCTTGACTCTTCATGGACGTACTCGTGTCTCTCTTCAGCCGAGTGTGGTGTTTTTTGAAGCAGTTGTTGGACACTCGTGGCGGAGGTATTGATGATATCTAGCCTTGTGCTAATTGCGGCGGATGGAAGGTTGCATCTTGGACAGAACACCAGCGCTCATATTTGGAAGGAGCGGAGGCCATCGTGGAGACCAGTCTAGCATGCAAGTGTGAGGGCATGAGTGTCAAGATGAGTAGTGGTCAACTACGAGCGGCAGGTGCCAAGTTCATGTGGTCCTCGACCGGGCCTCCAGCCATGGGCATGCCGGCTGCCATGTGCCTGCAACTCGCAAAGCAACAGAGAGCAATGCAAAATTACAAGAAGGAAAATCGACAGCGTCTTCACTCACCTGGCTGATCTCCTGGCGATATTTGAACGCCTTGTCATCCTTTGAAGCCATCTTGCCGGTGTTTCAAGACGAGCCTCACAGTAACTGTCTGTAACTTGGATGAATTGAATGATGTGTAGTTGAAGGCGGAGTGGCAGCTAATGTGAGACTGGGAGACACTGTTGAACGATGTGCCCAGGAGAGCAAGATCGACAATCGCACTGCTGACAAGCAGATGGCAGACCAAGGCCGGAACACGATCCTGATGAGTATGGTAATTTCAATTTTTTTTTGGAATCAGTAAAGATACCAAGAAAAGATTCCTTGAACCAATAGAGTCTATGGGAAAATTGTTGGTTGAATTGAGCATTAGAAAGGGTGAGAGTCGAAGAGCAAAGGCTGAGGAGTCTGGGCTGTGGTCCGGCTCAGCGACAGCGACACATGCTGGGGTGCACAGGCCTAGTTAGTAGACCCATAATTATTTATAGCAGGGGCCTTGGTACCTAAGGTAGAGGCACTTTGAGGAATCCTATCTGCTGACATCGGAAAAGATAACATCCGAACAGCGAATCGCCCTCCGTTTGCGCCTTACGTAAGGTGACGAGTTCATAACCCGTCACCTCAATCTACATGATTACACTGATTCACACACGATAACGTCAATGACAACAACATAATTGGGTCATTTATACTGCATTAATCAAAGCGAGCTTTGCCCAGGCCGCTTGACCGAGAGCTCCTTGTAGCCGGTCTATCCACATGACGCTCTGCAACCGAGACCGCGCGTTCTCCCACGACAGTTGCCTTACCCCTAAGTTTAACCACAAAGGCCACAACCAAGCCTCATCAGCCTCCAAGACGGAGATCGCGCCCACCATCAAAAGCCAGAGTGTGATACGCTCATTCATGAGCGTTTGAATGACGAGAGGCTGGCAAATATTCTTGAGGCTTTCTGTGAGATACTTGTAAGGAAGTTTGCCGCCTGGGATTTGCAATGTGGTTGATAGGAAAGCCAACATCCCGAGCCGGAGGCACTCATCAGACGGGGTATCGATTTGGTCCTGAAGGCGTATGAGCCGTGTTTGGATTGATCCCAGGGAGTCTTGGAAAAGTGAGCCGTCGAGCAGCGAATTACAGGCCAAGTGCTGGTTGATCAAGTTCACCAAATGCCTTAGGTCTTGCCACACAGCTGCCAGCCTCCAGTCACTCACGACATCGGAGAGAATGGTCTCAGCATGATAGTTGGGAGGTGTCAGCTGTGCGTCAAAGCACGAGTCCCAACCAACAGGGCTGGTGAAAAAACAAGGTGCGCCTCCCGTACCAAGAGCCCATGAGAGAGCCAGACTGTACCGTCAGAGTTGATCTCGATAGCAGACAGCAGATGCACTCACCGATCGAGCTTGAAATGTAGCTTCGGGTGACGTTGAAGATATTTCAGCCCCCCACGCAGGTGTACAATCTGTTGCAAGCCTGACAAGTGTACGGCTGTGGTGTTGAAGTCACCCCAAAGACCTGCCATCAAGGCCAGAGTGAGTACGACGTGGAATATTGCCTCGTTACGATGCGAATCTGGTTGAGAAAGCGCATCGTTTAGAAGCTGGATTGTGCGTCGGAGATGGAACTGTGTCATTTTCCCTGGCTGACGACGATGTACATGTTCATGTACGGCGGAGGAGTAGAACAAGGCGCTGTGGAGAAAGATTTTGTCCTGGAGAATCCATGAAAATGAGAGCGCTTCCGAATTGGCACTGCGTGGGAGGTCGACGCAGTGCTCGATGGGATAGAAGGTGCCCTTGAGAGCATTGATGTTGACCACTGGTCCCAGTCAAAAAGATGAAGTAAGATTGAGGGCAAGTAAAGGGGGTTGTCTCACGTCTGAAAAGAATCTCTTGAGAGGGCCGTCCCAATTCTTCTGCAAAGCGAATGAGAGACATGTCGCTGGGTGGCGGATGAGGGACCGGAGGCATCAATGCTACCCTGTCATTCCGAGCTCTCTCCTCTTTGTTTGTAGCCTGAGAATCTTCCTCATATTGCTTCTTTTTGTGCGTCTCGCAGGGCCGAGGTTTGAACGGGGTAAGCAACGGATTGAGCGTCTGGCGTTCTGCAGTGTCGCTCGCGGATTGGGCGGCCAGCCTCAGCGCTTTGCGAGCAGCTTGCTTGGAACGCCGCGAGCCCTCTTGCCGATTCCTACCGAGCATGCATCGGCTGCGGATGACAGATCGATCTGTGGACTGTGTCCGTCCCGTGTTGTTGACAGTCACGAACGCGAAGTTATCTGCCATTTGATCAAACTCCAAGTCCTAAGAGTTATGATAGTACCGATGGTTCTCAAATGACTTGATAAGTTGAGGAAAGCTATGATGAATGAGGACAAATGAATGAGACTTAAGATCAATAAAGGAGGAATTTCAGAGGTGGATGACCGGGACCACACAAGCCGCACCGTCACCGTCGCACGGAGGTGCTCCGGAGTTAAGACCCCACTCTACCAGACCACATTGTTTTCCGGTTCGGGCAAGCGTCTTACTTTCGTTACTACCGCAGTAGTCACCCTTCCCAGGTCCAGCACACGCATTTGGCTTTCAAATCCTGTCCCATTAGTTCTTGCCTCGAATATTCCGAGGTCAGATTGGATCAAGTTGATCTCAGTCCCGTCTCCATCTTTCATCACCCCTCGATGAAACATCGTTAGGGATAGTTTCCGAGAGGTGGTCTCTGACCGGCGGACCAGTGAAGACCTGTTGTGGCCTCCATAGCACAAAACGCTTTTCAAGCATCGCCTCCCGCCAGTGCGCCAGCACACCGGGAATGCGTGACAAGCTCGCCATGGCCACGATGATATCCGCTTCGAAGCCAAACGCAGTATACAGGAAGCACCCGTAGAGGTCCGCATTAGCTTTGAGATTGCGGCTGGTGAAGTACTCGTCGGTACTGGCAACGCTGTCAACCTCCATGGCGATGGAAAGTAAAGAATTCGACTCCACCCTGTCATTGTACTGGTCAATCATGGCGCGGATGAACTTGGATCGGGGGTCTACGGCCTTATAGATGCGGTGGCCGTAACCAAAGAGACGTTGCTTCTTGGCCTTGACGTCCGCTATCAGCATCGGCACGTTCTCCGGGGTCTTGAGATCTTCAAAGGTTTTGTAGGCTACTTCGATGGCGCCTCCGTGGAGCGGTCCATACCCAGAGACGAGGCCAGAGATACAGCATGCCAGGGGGTCAGTCAGGGTCGAGGCGGCGTGCAAGAAGGCGGCGGTCGAGTTGGTCATCTCATGATCGGCGTAGAGGATCCAGAGCTTTTCGAAACACTTGAGAGTTTCCTCATCGGGCTTGGTGCTGTGATTGTCTTCATGAAAGCCCATCATGCGCAGGACATTTGAGATGAAGGGTTCATCGGGCTCGGCGGGGGTGAAAGACTTGTTGCGCTTGCGGCAATACACGAGGGCAACAACAGTAGCGAGGGCGGAGATGCAGCTTATAAGGGCGGCATCGACCTTGTCGACCTGGCCCATATAAGCTGGCCGACCGGACCGGAGTATGCTAATGGCGCCTTCGTCTCGACTAGCATAGGCAGCCATGCCAGCAAAGACCATTGTGCTTGTCAAGGAATCTCGAGGAAAAGACTCAATAACTTGGATGACGTGCGGAGGGGGAACGCAACCGGTAGCAATCTTGTGCTGGAAGGTCTTCTTCTCGACCGCGTCAGGGAGATAACCCCAGATCAAGAGAAAGATGACCTCCTCGTAGTCGTGATTTTCGAATAGATACTCAATCGAGTAGCCACGGTATTGAATGGATCCCTGTTGGCCGTTGACAAAGGTAATATTCGACTCGACACAAGCGGTATTCAGGTATCCAGGATCCAAAACTCGCAGACCACACTCAAGTTGATCGACAGAGTTGGCATCAGACTGAAGAGCTGTGATCTTTCGAATCTCGAGGGCGTTGATGGCATTGCGCTCGATGGGAATCTCGTACCGCCGATGGGTGCGATTGTCGTAAACAGTCAAAGTCCCGCAAGAAAGGTCGGCCTTGGTCCGGACAAGTAGACGGTGCGCAAGCTGTGCTGACAGCTTCCATGCCTGGATAGCTGGGGGCATTCCCACTTTCAATAAAGCGAAGATAGGGTTTGATTGACTAAAAGACGAAGGAATTAGCAAAGCCGTAGCGGTGCCTTATGTTGCAAGCCATGCTCCATAGGAGGGTTCTGACACACCGATTCTTCTTCCCTCGTTTTTCATCGGGCCACCAAGACGGACGCCCTTGATGGAGCTTCTGGGCTTCATCATGCTTGGGGCTTTCCTTGATAGTAAGGCTCTCTGTGTTGGAATTTTGTTTACTCGACATCTGGGATTTGTTACTGGGTTTCATTTGGTTGTCCTGAGATTGGACTGTTTCATCAATGCAGAATCTGTTGTCCATGACGTCGAAAGTTTTCGCACTCCGGTCAATATCGATGTTTCTCATCTCTCTTCTATCGTCATTAGAGTAACTATATCCCTGAGAAACATCCCGGATTCTTATACTCTCTGGTTTCAGATGAAAGTGAACCACGTTGTGCCTGGGCAACTAGGAACGAGGAGGCGATTCAGGATTCGAGTGAGATAGCTAGCACATTATTTCCTGGTATTGTCGGAAGTCGCAACAGACCCCAATGGGGGCTGCATCTTGGTCGTTCAGGTCTCAACACAAGAGCTTTTAACCTATCGCAGGACCAGCTGTGATCATTATCGCGTAACCTTGAAGGTTCGTCCTATGGGCTGACCGAATGTCTGAAATAGGAGGCAAGGGGGGCCGTAATAACCATCGGCCCCAAAGAGCTATCATGAACATGTCACCAAGAGTCGGAAACATCGTTTTTGTTGATGTAAGGCTGCACTTCCTTGTGCGTAATCCCCGTCTGGGCACTGCCATCACTGTGAGTCTCTTCGAAAACTTGGGGCCGATTTATCCGCTCGAACCATCTGGAAAAGATAGAAGCCGGTTCTCAGCCAATACCAGTGATCTCAATCCTGGATATGTTGGCACATCAGGCCATGATGTAGCTTTGCCGTTCTTGTACATCAAAGCTGAGTCCGGCGTGGGGTCTTGCCTCGGCCAGACCTTGAATCTTTAAGTCACGGATGCAAGGCTCTATGTATCAAGTCTCGATACCGACAATCCTTGTTCGAGTAATGAGAAATCTTGTGTGAAGCCCGTCAAAGACATCACGATCTGGAAGCGCCGTACCGACTGAATAGTGTCGAAGTTAATTTCGAACGAAATCAGATAAGAGTCAAGTACATTAAGGTACTGAGAGGATAGACAGAGTGATTCTGGACGAAATGCTCATCTTGCTATGCCGACGGTAGGCCGAATGGTTTGGCATCTCGCTCACGGATCAAAAGCGGGGCAGCTTGAAATGTGTATATTCGAACCATTCTTGACGAAGAACAAAGGAGACTTCCTATACACCGACGCATTGCCCCATTGCACGCAATTTGGTATTTCTAAGTGAGCTTATATATGATGCCTCGGGGTCCAGATAACCGCCAACCTGCAGAAGGTCAAACCAGGAGTGTGAGAGACCATTGAACTTTGCACCAATGAACAAATATTTATGGAGACACATGGCCAGAGCCTTCCAAGACAACCGTGTCATTCCTTGTGAAAGTGTCGTTTTCGCGTATATGCCCGATGAGCAGCAGATATTCATCATGGCTTTCATTCACGAATTCTTGGCACTGTGGCAATCTGAGCCACTCCGTCACCGCACTCCGAGATACAAAGTCTGGTGGCATTGTTTGAGTATGACCATCACTCGGGTGCATTCCTGACCAACGAAGAGCCTGCCAAGTATCACATCCACACGATACAGGGGCTGTCGAATGGGAATGATCACGGGAGGGAATTCAGGCAAATGCTCCGGCCTCGATAGGAAGTGGATGATCAAGTAGCCTGAAGTGATCTTCTGAACTGCCGTCGTTGGATGAAATATTTAGGACCCTCCAGTTTTGTGTTGAGCAAAAGCCTAGCGTAGGAATTCCATCCTGTCTTAGTACGGTATAATGTGCATGAGGATCGCCACGGCCCGCTCAAGGCAATCAAAGGAACTGGTAGGTTGACTTCTCCACCATTCGTACGTCATCTGTCAGCCGCATAGTTTTGCATTCTCAAGGAGCGGCTTTCATAAAATGCCAAGACGCTGGTGATGGCGAAGCATGACTTGGCCCCGCGACCGTGGGCGGAGGTGATGCGCCGTGTCATGGCCCGCCGTCTTGGCCCGCAGGGCTTCACGGCTCGGGATCTCGAGTCGGCGGTGATTGTCACAAGTGACATCAACCTCCGGACAAGAGCCAACAATAGCTTTTTGAAGATCATTTCGTTGCAGTGCCTTCGTCGAACGATGAGTTTTTGATCTTCTTGGACTCCCGTTCAGTCGCACAATGTTGCCCGAGGAGCAACGGAGAATCAAGTCTCAATTGATACAAATTTGTGTCTTGCATTCAAAACGTCGACGATATAAAAGATATGGTGCAGCCAACGGCTACAGGGAAAGCAAACCAGCCTAGTACCAAACCTCAACGATTTAGTCTCAGGAATTTATTATCCAGTCACAATTTTTGAACGATGTCAGCCCGTCTCACCAAGATGTTGGGTACAGTACTGCCGAGCCGGTCAGTCGGTGAAAAGATACCAACGGAGTTCACCAAACTTTTATTCCCCTATGCCATTTTCTTCATAGCAGCAAGTTTATTGCTCTACTGTCTTTATAGACAAGCTCTTCCCAAACCGATTCCGGGCATTCCTTACAATGAGGCCGCTACGAAGAGCATACTTGGGGATGTGGCATCACTGCAAGAGGGAATAGCCCGGACGGGCGCTTTTCAGATATGGCTCCACGAACAAGCGGCTAAGCACAACTCGCCGCTTTTCCAAATCTTCATCCGCCCCTTCGGAAAACCTATGCTCATTCTCTCTGATTTCAGAGAGGCTCAAGATATGCTTTTGCGACGGAGCAAGGAGTTTGACAGAGCGAGTATCGTCGGTGACATGATCTCAGGGGCTGTGCCGAACCATCACATCATCATGAAGACGAACAGCGAGTGGAAGCATCACCGCAGACTCCTACAGGACCTCATGTCTCCCCAGTTCTTGACCGAAAACGCCGCGCCTACCATATACTCTGGCGTGCTGCAGCTCATCCAGCTCTGGAACGACAAGACTCGCATAGCAGAGGGCCGCCCCTTTCTGGCTGACTCCGACATCTACTACTGTGCTCTTGACGCGACAACAGCCTTTTCGTTCGGAGCCAATGCTAGTAGTGCTACCCGGCCGACCATGGAGTTCCTGAAAGGCTTAGGAGCTGACGATATTCGCCGACTCCAAGGAACAACGCCTGCTGGCGGCGAGGAGCCTCTGCACTTCCCTGATGCTGCGATCGATGAAAATCTCAAGGCATCTCTCGACGTAGCGGAGGCAATCGAGCAGCTTCAAGGATCACCTATCCCAAGAATTAAGTGGAAATTCGTCGAGAGGCAACCCGCTGTCCGTCGAGCAGTCCAGATCAAAAACGCTTTTATCCGCGAGGAGATCAGCAAGGCCTTGGAAAGAACGCAGAACTCCAAGGAGTCTAAGGGCCTTTCTTCTGCGGTTGAACTCATGGTTCTGAGGGAGAAAAAACTTGCCGACAATGATGGGAGGGAGCCAGACTTCTTCTCTTCCATGATGATGGACGAGGTAAGCCTTGTAGTGTCCGTTCTGCACCCAAATGCCGTCCCCAATCTCACAGATCTTTAGGTCTATGGACTCGTCGTGGCAGGACATGACACTACTAGCACCACTTTGTGTTGGGGCGTCAAGCTGCTGGGCGATAACCCACACCCCCAGTCTAAGCTCCGCGAAGTCCTCATGTCCGCCTTTACCGACGCTGTTGCTGAGAATCGAAACCCAACGATCAAGGAGATCACCGGCACCAAGATTCCATACCTAGATGCTGCACTGGAGGAGATACTTCGATGCGGCAGTGCCGCTGTTCTTCTCGACCGAGAAGCCATCTGCGACACGGAACTCCTTGGATACCGCATTCCAAAAGGCACCGTCATCCTCTCGGCCGCTCGTGGGCAGAGTATCCTGAAGCCCGCTATCCCAGTCGACGAGTCGAGGCGCAGCAAAAGCAGCCAGAACGCAAAGGCCAGAGCCTGGGACGACGCAGACATTGCACAATTCAAGCCGGAGCGCTGGCTAGTCGATCCTCAAGATCCGTCGCCCGAGTTCGACCAACAGGCCGGCCCCCAGCTTGCGTTTGGCTTCGGCACCCGCGGCTGCTACGGGCGACGTCTGGCGTACATCGAGATGCGCATCATTGTCACAATGATCGTGTGGAACTTCCAGTTGCTGCCTTGCCAGCAGGAGCTGTCTAGCTACGCGCCCAAGGAGGGCTTCACATATAAGCCCAAGGACTGCTACGTGCGCCTGCAGGCTCTAAGATGAACCGCGCATGAGAGGAACGGATTCGAAATTGTGAACTGCTGTCAACTGTTGCCATTCCTGTTTTCAGCATTTCTTAGCCGTCGTCAACTACAGAGAGCGCATTTAGATTTAGAACATGAGAACCAGGGTAACGGTGTAAATAATTCGCCAAATAAAATATTTTTATAACAAATTCATGCGTGGTCATCTCCCACGCTTGGGTTGTGGAATCCATTATGAAAGTGCTAGGCCCTGAGCTCATTGCCTTTGACCGGCACCGACGTTGGCACACAGGGAAAACATGAGCGCACACAGGGAAAACATGAGCGAAGCTACCGCCCGCCCCCGCCCTCTACTTCCTGCTTATGCTACCGATGCCTGGAGATCATACCTCGACAGGTGAGCGATTGTTAGAATTCAAGGCTTTGTCAAGCGGATGCCGACCTGGGCTTTGTTGATCTCGAGCGGGTGCCCCCTGCATCCACTGTCTCGGCCAGCTCCATCGCGGTGTCGAGTACATGTTGTCAGTACATGTATAGGGCCAGGAGGCATTAAATCTCTATATTTCAGTAAGAATTTGGCCGGAGCAAAGTCTTCAAACGTAGTTGCCGGCAACTCCTAACAGATGGGACAAAAAATAATGTACCTCAGTTTGATGTTCCCTCGTTGGGTACTACGTGTAGAGCGGCTAAACGGCTAACAAGAGGAAGAAACATTACCTTCATCGCTAAAGTCACACTACCTCGCTCGTTGATTTTATCCATGTAGATGACTTCTACTTTACATTTTGTTTGCTATCTCCTCAATCTGTGTAGACAACACCTAGGATGCTTGAGCACCAGCCTCGAATACGTTGATAACACCGTCGCCGTTCAGATCAGCCGGGTCACCGGGTGCTGCGGGAGTACCATTGGGATTGTTCCGGTCAAAAGTGCTTTGGAGCTGCTCAAGCAAGCTTGAGCCGTCACCGCCCCCGCCTCCGTTTCCACCCTGCTTTGGTTCCCTCGTGTCTAATGCGATGATGTCTTGGCCGTCATCGTCATGCTCAAGGTCTCGGTCGACAAGGATAGCGCCGCCAACGTCGCCGATGGGGTTGTTCGAGGCGACTCGTGCCTGGACATCCGAGATGACCTCCTTGCTAGCTAGCGGCTGGGGAAGTGCAGTCACGACACTGCTCAAGAAAAGAGCTGCGACAGTGGAAAACTTCATCTTGCTGATTGTAGAAGGAAATCGAAGGAGAAGAGGGGATTGCTGGCCCGAAGTAAAGTACAAAAATTATAAAAGTTTCCAGGTGAGGGCTACTGCCTGAGTAGCGAGGGAAGAAAAGCTGAAAGACTAGAGCAAGAGTATTGAGTATGAGATCGGCTCGTTCCAAGAGAGTACACATTTGGCTTCCTGGCGGTGTGGCCTTTATAGCAATCGCGCTCAGGTCTATATAGCCTCGATCGTTTCCACCAGGCCCGGGGTGTAAGCAAGCGTGACAGTGATACAAAACTGATTTGGTCTTCCTAGCTTGAGCATGTCAAAGTTGTTCTGATTGGAAGATCCTAGAATATGAGATGAAAAGCCTCTAGAGTCTCCATCGACAGAAAACGAGATGGTGTTTGACATGGCGGTACGGCGGCTGACTCGAGACCATCTGTTCAGGGCAGGAAAAGCACCCCTAACATGATAGCTACTATAGCGAAGTTTTCACTTATAGCCCGCTGAAGCTACTTGTTAATTTCGTCTCAACTGTTGGTGTGACATATGTCAGCGTCTCAAACTGCGGCCCCCATTTTCTTATTCTCTGACATCCCCTCAGCTTCAAACTATTCTTGGCTCGCTAAAATAGCACCAGACATCTGCACCTGTGTTTCATCTAAACATACGCGATCAAGCTATTGAATTCATCTCTTATTTCAGGAGTAAACCTAGCAGCTCTTGAGAATAAGCATGTCGCTCCAGATCAAAGCGAAAGCGACGAACCAGAGCAGCCCTCATGCAATCGCATGTTACGCGACAACTGTCATCTAGTCCCAAACGAACTACAAGATGCTTCCCACTGTGGAAAGATCAACCGGCTCTCTAAGCCGGGAATCCAAGTCAAAATAAGGCGACGGGACACGAGAGTCGATTTCTTGTCCGAGGAAAAGCTCGCAAAATGCTTTTGTTGACAGGAATACGCGGGCCATTCCTAAAGAAATGTCATTTCATCAGCATATGATCTAGATATGAGAATGTTCGCCCAGAAAGAAACATTTCAAGGTCCTCCGACACGAGTGTCCCAAACTGTGGATTTGAGAAGCATTGGAAAGAGGCAAAATACATACCGTGACCGTGATAGCCTCCGATCAGATACTGACCAGGCTTTTCAGGTAACTCTCCGATGAAAGGTAATAAGTCCTTGCTGAGACCCATGATGCCGCTCCAAGCGAATGGAACAGGATCTTCGACACCGGAGCTTGAACCTGTACTAGACTCTTTCCAGCCCTTGAAGGTCCGAGATGGTCCATCTTTGACATAATCTAGCACCTCGGGAACAGCAAAGGAGTCATCGCAGTCTCCGTAACCACCTTTGGGCCCGCTCGGATGTGCTCCTTCTCCTCCACCCCAGATCAGGAACCTTTGCGGCCCCGGACGTTGAATAAGATAGTCGTAGTTATCATCGGACACGAAGGCAAAGGATGTAGATAACGGTACGTCGACGTATGCGGGTGGAGGCGCGATGGCCGCAACGTGACCCTTTAAGGGAATGATGCGCCCATCGAGCTCTGGGAGCAGATGTGAGGCATACCCGTTAGTAGCGTGTACTACCTTATTAGCAATGATATCACCACGACTAGTCGAGACAGTCCAACGACCTGAGTCACTGTCGGTTTGGGAAATTTCCAGCACCGGGGTATTGGTCTCAAGGCGAAGGCCAGCCCCGAGAGACTTTCGTATCATGGCCATGGCCAGTTTATATGGCCATAGGCTTGACGCAGGAAATGTGATGGCGCCAAAGCAGCTCGTAATGCGAAGTGTTTGCTCGGCCTCGGCCTTTGACAAGACAGTGATTTCGGAGACGTCACCACCGGCTTCCTTGAAGCCATTGTAAGATTCGAGTCCGGCTTTCCAGGTATTTTCCGTCAGATACACATCCGCAGACCGATATTCGACGAGATTTATTTCTTTTTCCAGGCCGTTTTCTCTGATGTACGCCAAAGTTTCTCGGTGGTTGGTTGCCTCAAACGTGCATTGTGCCACAGCTACTTTAGGGCCATGTAGCTTAGAGTAAGCAGTGAATCCCCGGTAGCAATCGGGTTTGATATGTCCACCTATGACACAACGTCAAATCTCGTTGGCCGTAGTAAAGGACATAGATGTACTGGTTCAGAATACGGACTTGCTTACCATTTCTACCTGTAGCGCCACTCACCGCGGCTCGGGCTTCGAGCATCAACACGGACTTCGGTCTGTTGGGTGACTGAGCTGCGAGCAGTCGATGAGCGATTAAGGCCCCGGAAATACCAGACCCGATAATGACCACATCTGCTGAGGTCGGAAGGTCGTGACTGTAAGCGCTCGAACGTCAGCGAATTCGCACGTATCGACTAGTTCATCAAAAATAGACGAGGAGGCTGGGGCTGACGAGCATCGCTTGCCATGCTCATGTCAAATGCACGGTTGCAACAATGTTTGAAAAGGAAGAAAAGTATCCCAATGACCTTTGACTACAGGTAACGCAATCTCATTTACAAAATCAGGGTTTTAAAGCCATTTGACTTACGACTGGTGGTTGCTGATGACTGGATCTGGCTCAGACTGCCAGAACGAAGCTGTAGGGTTGCTGACTGGCAACGTCCCCGTGTAAGTTGAAACCGACGCCATTGAGACCTATTTGAAACAGATAGAGAAGAGCCGGTTAATGGTACCAAAATCCAGCTGTTACTGGGTTTCCTTCATGTTTGAAGCAGGCTAGGTATTTGACAGCTGCATTGAAGATGAGATAGTGCACTGATAAGACGTCCGATCACCGGAGGAAACGCGGGGAATACAGTCCCCCCAACTGAACTAGAACTTTCCCCACCGTCAACTCGAGAAGCAGATATTTTTTTAGTATGTTCTGGGATAAGCCATGCTTGTATTCAAATCTTCTCTGTGAACCCGATGTGAGAAGGTGACTCGATACCTCCAACGGCAGTAGTAAATGGGCTGCTTTCGCGTACATTCTCTAGATTACCTAGGTGACTGTGCTTGTCCCTTCTAAGCGCATCAAATTATGATTCCGGCCCGAAGCAAGGCGCACCCTCACTCGGGTAGTTTAGGCCTGCACGGGGTGTTTCCATGCTTGATATGATACCCAAGCCTGGAAAATACCGACGACCAGCCCCAATATCCCAATAATGATCGCGATGAATACCCCAATAAGTGTCGCCAGCATCACATGCCTTGCTTGACTCCGCCGTTCCAACCAGACATAAATAGGTCTTCGGGGTCTAGGGTTCTCGAGTTCGTCGTATAAATCCATTAGGCGAGAACCCCAGTAATGGTACTTGATATCCTTCTCGGATTCTCGAAGGTATGGCTGGTACCCAAGACTTAGACAGTCGGGGTCGAAGGAAGCCTTTGATACTAAAGAGCGTAGTAGAGTCCGTGATTCCTTGTCTAGGTCGAATAGAATATTCTGGAGAGAGTCTAATGTTTCCAGGGCTAGCTGCCGTGGCAGGATAGGTCTAAGATATGTCAGTGATTGTAGTCAAGAGCCCTATACTTTCAAGCCCTTACTCCTCCTTGGTATCCTTTGAGGCTTTCAGGCACTCCTTCAAGAAGGCAGTGTGGTGAAAGAGCTCGACGACTCCAGTCTTGCGATCCATCCGAAGATGATTCCGAAGGTTGTCTGTGCCTTGAAGAGACAGTCCAGCGACTTTCTTGAGCCTTGTTGCTCTCAGTGATGACTTGATACTGGGCAAGGACTCGTCAGGCTCATTGAGATCCGGGTGACCTCTGGCTGAGAACGTAGCTGAGACAAAGTCTCGCGCGGACTGGTCGTTCTTCCAGATGCTTGACTCGATATTTCCAGTTTGTCTCTCGTACGAGCAGCTAATCATCAGAATAGCCTTGATGGCAAGATTGAAGGCTTGCTTCTCGTCCTCTGGAATAGTGAAATTGCCTCCTTGCCGACATGAAAAGTACTCTTCTGTCAATTCAGTTCTCCGAACCTCTGGTTTAGATTTGATCAACATAATAATCTCATGCAGATCATCGTGCGATCGTAAAGCTTGAACCTCATCCGGTGGGAAAGCATCAGAGACGTACGACGCCGTCATCTCTCTATAGTACTGAAAATAGGGTTCAAACTTCGTCATCTCGGGCCTAGAATTCTTATTTTCATTGTCAACGCAAAGTTTCCAATCCCACAGAGCTTGGCCCAGTCGCTGTAGTTGCGACCTCGTAACCGACTCCAACGGAAATGTTTCCATCTCATACTCTTCCATAATGGGCAAAGAAGCCCAGGAGATGTTTGATCCGAAAACTTGAAGAAACTGCGACAGTGCAAGTCTCCTAGAATTTTAAAAGTTCTCGACCAGAGCTATGGTTATCAAGAATGAATGGAGCGAGGCGATCCTAGCTGCGGCACATGCACGCTGGAAGCAGGCTGCGTGATTGAGAGCTGTCATTGGATCGTCCGCAGATTTTGCCGACTTTGCCGCCGTGACTGCATACACATTACAGGAGGCAGTGTCGGGGGCTTAGCTGTTAACGTGGCAGCGATTATTGGAGTCTTGCTTTCGAAATGTGACCTAGGAAACCCAAGTCCGCCTGATTAACCTCACCTTACATGTAGAAGCCGTTTTGCCCCAGCTCTGAACCAGCCAAACATTTCTTTTCTTTCTTCTTGCTGTGTAAGCCTTCGAATTGTAGTCACCATGGCCGATGTATCTTTGGCAGTCGTCACTCGCGACGAAATCATCAGCTGCTTCAAAGAAATGCCTCGGAAGCCATGGACTTCAAATCCAGCTTCACGCCACGTCACTCCTACTTCAGAACCTTCGTCAATATCGAGAAATTTCACAGATTCAGGATACTCGTCTCCAGATGATCCTATCGCGTCTCACACCCAAAATAGAGTCCAAGACAGCAAGTTGCCTAGTCTTAAAGGAATTCCAGTCAAGTTGGGAGGCCAAAATCTCCTCAGATTCAAAAGCAGACCAAGCAAGCCTACGAAAGATCGTTTCAACTACATCATTGATCAGATAGAGCCATTGTTACTAGCTCGCTTGAAGAAGACTGGAAAGCGAGTTGGATCAATGGCATTTCGAACAATGATACTCGGGACAAATGAAGAGGACGCCAGTGAGCATATTGTCGTGCTTTGTCCCAACCAGCTGTTGGAGACTTTCAATGACTTCTTCGATAAGAACAAGATAATCAAAGAGTTATGTGAGCCGACCGAAGAGTCACCGAAATTCAGAATCATCGTTGAGGGTCGAGAACCACGTTTAACGGCGAAGCTGTGGCACTCACTCATGTCAATAGGCCACACTTCCATCGATCTTGAGAACCTTTTCAGCCCTCAGATGTCGAGTGTTTGCGGACGTTCTCTGAGACTCACAAATGTCCAGAAAGATGTGAGGGCCGCTACTTTCGGCGTTATGATCAAGGTGGTGAACACGGTTGGCCAAAGCAAGCTGTACGGAATGACGGCCGGCCATGTCTTCAACGACGAAAACACGACGACAAGCTCTGAAGAGCTGAGCCTCGAAGACTTCGAAAGATGTAGCTCAATAAAATTTTCGCGGGGTTTGGGCTACTACGATTCCGGAGACAGAGGAATGTTTCGCACATGCAAAGTCTTGAAGAAGGACGGATCCCAAGAGAAAGGCCCGGATTTCGATTGGGCATTAGTCGAATCTACGGAACTTTTTGGAGTCGGCTCGAATAGGTGCCCAGTAAAACACACGTCAGGAAGAGCCATTGAGTACTCCCTCACGACCAATTTTGGAACTTTTTCGGGGGATGACACTCAACAGGAGGTTGAGATGATTGCAGACGTCGATGGAAGTAGGCCTGGGCTCCTGTCAAGTGAGCCAGCTAGGGTTTGGTTGGAAACGGCAGATGCGTTCACGCCGGCGTATATTCTCACATTGAACGACGGCGAGGGTAATTTTCACAACATTTCGTGCTAAATCAAATGACTTTGGACTAACTTCCGTTCACAGTGGGCGAAGGCGACTCCGGTGCGTGGGTTGTGGGGTCATCCTCTTACGACGTTTTTGGCCACACAATTGCAGCAGACATGTTTGGCGACGCATACGTTGTCCCTTTGGATCAAACATTCAGAGACATTCAAACAAGTCTGGGCGCAGAATCCGTTCATCTAGCTTCTCCGCAAGACTTAGCGCCAAGTAAACCCCCCCAACCCTCCCACGAGTTCTTCTCCGATGAACGGTTGGACTTCGGCCCCTGTTTAGGACATTCCGATCACAATTCCGTGGTTTTCCTCCCTGATGTGTATAGTTGGAAGCCAGGTGATACGCATGGACTGATAACCTCTATGAATGTCGGTGCTACAAGTTCAGATTCCGCCTACGGTTCGATCAATGTCACCCCGCAGTCAGAGAGCTCTGAAGTCATCAGCCCAGAATGTTCATTAGAAGGGAGTAGTTTTGCACCTGACACTGATCCATTTGCCGACGTCATTCGTCAGGAAGTTCAACCTGAATTGCCTTCTGGCTTGGGAAAACGGAGAAGAGTGTTGGCAGGACTACCGCGACGTCCCAGGTTGTCGTTGGCCAATGTCAGCGAGGATGGCATTCCTGCTGGGCGGACAGCCAAGCGGAGGCGTCAATCAACGGGGGCTTATGTGGATGAGACCTTTTTCGAAAAATTATCGTGATGGAACGATATGTTCAGGAAATAGACAGACCGAAGGATAACCTGAACAGACGCTTAGTAGACTTGGTACTGAGCATGTGCATTAAACAATTTGCCCAATTCCTTCTGGGTCTGGCTCATCTTGGAGACATCCACGAACCGATTGGTGAGAATCACAATCTGCTTATGAGAGGCACCAAGACTTGTTCCAGAAGATAAGACAGCTTGAGAAGATAAACAGACTTCCCTCTCGGAGTATAACGGGTATTATTGAACAGAGAATAGAACAAAAAGAAGGAAGCCTAGAAACAAGAGAATAAGCTTCCATCGGAAACATATCCTCCCTCCTCCTGCAGCCCCTGTTTTTACATGTACATACAAGACATCCAGTTGAGAATGCTGTCCTCACGGCCCTGCGCGTTCGCGTTTCGCCTGCCCATGCCGTTGAATCCCTCAGCCCCTTTGCCGTGTCCTGTCCTGTCCTGTCCAGAAGTTTCCCAATGATGTGTGTGGATATGTTTGTCATTAAAACGGACGCGACAGTCGTGATGCCGGGTCCAGGGGGTAAACGCAATGCCGTCACCGTCGTCGTTGTTGAGTCTGACGGTCTTTCTTGATTCATGAATGTGATTTCGGTGGTCGCGTACTCTACATGGGGGCTGGGGCCTCGTCAACCATCTCAGCGTCCTCGGTGACGGCGAGCACGGCGTCGAGCACACCGTCGGGACCCTCGCCTTCGTACGTCTTGCCGCCCTCGTACGTCTTTCGTCTCCAGCCGCAGGAATCCGCCGGATCCTTGATCCACTCCGTTGTGGGAAAGTAGTGCTCATTCTTCTTCATGGTGATGACCCAAGGCACGCTGTCGAAAGTGACAGCCTTCAGCCGGAAATCTGCAAAAGACACGGTTAGCTGATGGGAAAAAAAAACACTAAGTCGCAAAGTCACTCACAGGTGTTGTCTGGGATCTTCTGGACGGATGCGAGGAAGGTCTCCAGATCAGGCGTCGCCTTGCCGTTCACATGAGTGATGAAGTTGGTGGGCGCGAGGCCGTACTGGTAAGAAGGCGAACCACGGGTGCGGGCCGAGACATACACCTCGCTGTGCAGCTTGCTAATCTGCTGTCTGACGGCGTGGTGAGGTCGGTGCAGAACGGCTCCACAGAAGGAAATGGCATGATCGGTCTCGACATCGTCGGCGGCGACGGTGTGGGCCTTGATTTGGATCTCCTCGCAGTCACGGACAATGACGGCGTCGAGAACCTCGTGAGAGTACATGATGTCCAGCTCTGAAACCTTGGTAATGACCTTGCCATTGAGCATGAGCAAGATGTCACCCTCGAGCAGAGCACTAGACTGCTCACTGCGCTCGAAGGTTCGCTTGCTGACCATGAACAGCTGGTGGTGTGTCTTGTTGGCTTCGGTGACCTTGCTAATCCATTCGTCAGAGACGCCCATCACTCTAGCCTGAGCCATGGCGATGGCCCTGAACTCGACGGATAGCATGCGCAACTTGGGAACGATGCCTTGTTGGATCTGAGACACGACAGGTAGCAGAGTGGGCGTGGCAAGGCCAAGATGGTACTCCTCATCACGGTTGCTGCAAGGAGAGCGCTCGCCCAAGTAAGTGAGCCAGAGGGCTTGAACCGTACCGTCGTCGGCAACGAGAACACCGCTTCCACACTGATTACTCAGGCTCGTGTCAACAGTGATGGCATCGACGTTGATGGCACGGTATCTAGGTGCACCAGAGTTGGCCGGGATAGCCACGGCGGTGACCTCAGTGACTGTAGTAGAGGCATGGACAATCTTTCCAATCCTATTGTATCCCATGAAGTTGGTGGAAGCTCCTTGGGTAATATTATCCGTGCTCAACCTCGCACTCTGGACGGGAGCATTGACCAGCTTCGGGTCGTACTGCACGATGGCATAGTTTTGCAGGGGGTGGAGGAAGACGACCTTGCCCTCGACGATGATCGAGTCCGCAATGGTGATTGTCACATCACACAAATCGTAAGGCACAATTGCTCTTGAGATGACAACGAGACCCTTGTCAGCATCGATCACCAGGCCCATGCCCCACTTCCTGTTCTTGGGGAAGCCGTCCAGCTTGACGGGCATTGTGCAGTTGACATGGACGAAGCTGCGCACCAGGTCAGCGATGGCCGTGTGCTTCACATTCTCAAGCTGGATGAAAGAAGCGGAGCGAGCAACAGGCGGCTTGGGAGGGAGGGGATCAGCAAGGTCAGTGAAGTCCCAGAGTCCCGTCTCGTCGTTTCGGACGGCCATCTTCATCTTGGCTGACCAATGTCGGTCAACGTAGACGATTGTGGTGTTCAGAGTGTGCAGGTCACGCAGGTGCTTATAAGTGGCAACTACGCGGGACTTGTCCGGGATCGTCTTCATCACCTCGATGAAGGTTTCCAGATCAGGGGTCTTCTTGTGGTCCACGGTCTGAATCAGCCAGCCGTTGTCCGCATTGTCGAATCTGAAAGAGCCAGTCGCCTCGCAAACGAAGACACCTTGACACGCAACACCGTATAGACGGGCCTGCTGATATGACAGGCTGTGAAAGCTGGCACCTGCGACGGATACGAAGCGGTCAGGGGTGATCTGGTGCAGGTCACCAACCTTGACATCGACCTCAATATCCTCGCCGCCTCTCTGGAGCAGGAGATGGATGGTTTGGCCGACATTCGAGTCCAGCAAGTCATCCAGACGGATGAATTGACCCACACGCTCGCCGTTCACCTTGACAAGGATGTCGCCCTCCTCGATCTTTTGGTCAGACTGGCCCTTAGGAAGTACTATTTCGGCAACAAGCATATTGTTGTCCTTGGGGAAGTGCTGCCGAGTCGCGGCCTCCGTCTCTGGAGTCAGGCCGAGCCGTCTACACTCGTCGAAAGGCTTGAGGAGGAATTGGCACTGAATATCACCTCTCGTGACGGGCTTGCCCTGGCGAATGCACTCAAGGGCTCGTAATGGTCGGTCCAGGGGGAGAAAGTAGTCTGTCGAAGCACCATCGGATCGTCCACCAGCTTGCAGAGCCACGGCAAAGCCGTCAACGTTCACAACCGGACTGCCAGAACTACCGCCACTTGCGGCCGCGTTGGCTTGATAGTAGCAGGTGTTGAAGTCGCTGTATCCTTCTCCGTACTCCGGCGCATTTCTGTCGAGACGACTGATGAAGCCAGACAAGATACTGAGCTTCTCTCCGGCATCGTTACCCACAACTCTGATCTCAACACCAACTGTAGAGCCGTTAGCGGATCCACTCCCCGAAAATATAAACCATCAAGGTGGTTGCATACCCTTCGCAAGGTCTGGACGAAGTACCAGCGCATTCAGCTTCATGTACTTGACAGCCTTGGGGTCGAATCGTAGAATACCAAAGTCGTGAACAGGATCGCGGTAGACTGGGTACGCAGCAACCTCCTCGTGGTTGTCGAAGACAACGTAACCCCAGAACGGTCCGGCTCCAACGACGTGTCGGTTCGTCAAGATGTATCTGTAGTCCCACATCGTCAGCCCCCAACCTCCCATTACTCTGCAACGGTGGAAATCTTGACGTACCCCTTCTGAGCGTCCACCACAAAACCAGTTGCCTCACTCGTCAAGGCCGCGTCCGTGTCGAAGGAGCATGTCTGGCAGAAGCGAATGGAGACGACGTTGCTGACAACGTTCTCGATGGTCTTTTGCCACGCCTCCGGCTCCTGCGTGATGGGAAACATGCCGTTCAGCCTCGCTGCATCCTCGAATTCGCTCTCCTCTTCCTCCTCGACGAGCTCAACCTCGGGCGTATTGTCGCCGGCAGACAGCTTGCCGTTCAGGGCGCGGTGCTGCTTATGCGGTCGCAGACCCTCGGGACTCGTAGGAGCCTTGCGCTTGGAGCGCGGCGATGCGCTGTTGCCGTTCATGTTTGTGGTCTCGGTCGTTGTGTTTTGGGTAGAGGAAGGTTGGTTTTTGTGCTGCGGCGTCGACGAGGGATCGGGTCCGACGGCTGCTAAGAAGGGGCGGCGAGTCTGGGCGAAGACGGTTCGTCGCGTGGCCTTATAGCTAAAGTCTCTGTGAGAACTGGCTAAAGCTATGCGGGAGTAGCCGCGTTGTGAGAACGGGAGGAGCTCTTGTAGGCGTCCAAAAAGCTGGGGGGAGGCAAGGGTGAGGGTGGTGGTGGTGGTGGTGGTGGTGGATGCTGTCCAAGGTCGTCGTGGTGATACTGCCGGGGTGGATGCAAAGCTCAAGCAAGTCCCTCTGCCTGTAAAGACGGAGCGCATCCAGCAAGAGAAGGGGAACGAAAAGGGTTGCAACCTTCAGCTGCGGATACGGAAAAGAACAATGCCTTTGTCAATGAACGGCGGGGAATTGGCTGCTAGGTTATCAGGGTAAAGTGTGGCAGAAACTGAAGCTGCTGCGCATGTGATCCCCGGTAAGTGGTAAGTGTGGCAGAGGGGATCAAAAAAGAGTTGTGCTGCATCCAACGACTTTTCCACGTCGTTTGTCGTCAAAAATTTCAGGTGCGGGACGATGGCAAACAAACAGGATCTGTCCGAAATGGGGGCCACCCAGGTGAGATCACCAGGCTAGATGCATAAGAGCCCGCTGAATGGGTGCATGTCCCGGGTGGATGCCCATCCCTGCCACGGTCCCCACTAATTCCCCGGTTGCTGATGTAATGTGACACTAGCGTCCCTGTTGAAGCCCGTACAGTTCGCTAACTTAACACTCCCGACGGCAGACGTCAACGAGTGTGTGTGCCTGGCCCGCAGCTCTAAATGGGACGGAATGGATCATGCTCTCACGCACCACACCACCAACGACCGAACTCCAGGCTGCAAGACTATGCAGGTCTCACAATGTACTGATCGAATGACCGGCTAGGATGCACCTTCAATGGTAGTCTGTCTTCGGCATCCTGATTCGTTCAGCAACAGGCTTATCGATTTGTCGGGCAAGGTTTCGGGGCTTCACCTCCACCCACCAAGTCGATTGATATGTTTTCCCATACGAGCAAGCACTCGTCGCCACTGCTCTCCATCCGCAACTGATCCCATCCTGTCTTTCCTACCTTAATTCTCCAGTACTCGAATATCTCCGGGGAGAGAAGAGGTCACAAAGAGAAGAGACACGGCGAAAGAGCGCGAGGCCTAAGGCGATGGGGACAGCAAGAGAGTCAAAACACGAGTCAAGAGTATTCTTTCTGATTTCTGCTGGCCTGAATTACCTAAGAGACGTATGTGAACGTAAGAGCGATGGGTCACAAAGTCTGTCCCCAATTCCAAGCCATTTTCAGCGTGATATCCGTTCCCGTCGCGGAACCCAATGAATGCCATGCGCAGCCATGTAGAATGAGATGGCTATCTAGCAATGGCAGGAAGCATACGACAAGCTACTGCTCACCATCGTTGTCTTCCTTGGTCTCGGCTTGGGTCTCAGCCTCGGCCTCGGCCTCGGCCTTGACCTTAGCAGCCTTATTGGCCGGAGCGCGACGCTTCTTGGGGGTTCCGCCTGGTTAATAATATGAATCAGCTTTATGTTCTGACGAGAACGGTGAGTCTAAAGATGATACTTACCAGCGTTGGTCGCAGCAGCAGCGCGCTTCTTGGGGGTGGCCGCCTTGGTCTCCTCGCTGCCCTCCTGGTCGTCGGCCGCCTCGCCATCTTCGGCAGCAGCGACGGTCTTCTTCTTGGCCAGCGCCTTGCGGGCTTGGGAAAATGTCAGAATAGTGTGGAGGGAAGACTATGGAGTGAGTGAGAACTTACGGGTTTTGGCCTTTGGAGCAGGGGCCTCGCCGTCCTCGCTGATGTTGAGGTCACGCATCTGAGCCACAATAGCGGTCCACTGGCCCTGCATGGCCTTCAGAGTGCGACCTTCCATATTGACTCTCTTCCACTCAACGCCCCTGCCATCGGGCAGCAGAGTCGCGAGGACGCGCAGCACAAGCTGGAACTGCATACTGGTGTGTCAGCAAAGATTGAAAATGAAAGTGCCGCTGGATCAAGACCTACGCGCTCGGTATCGGTCCAAGCACCCACGCGGCCAGCAGCGGGAGCCGCCTCGCCGGCGTTGGTGGCAGCACCCTTGGTATCAGCCATGTTGAAAGGATGGTATTCTTGTGCTCTATCAGTATTTGTTTTTGTCAGCCGCTGAAGAAGATCTGCATATAGCAATAGTAGAGCGCGCGAGGGGCGAGAGAGATTAACAGAAGCGAGGCAAGATTTTAAGGCAAGGGCGAAAGTGATGATGATGATGATGATGAGAAGAGATGAAGGAAGGTATGCGACGTGAACAATGCGATTGAGTGTGCTGGTGATGGCGAGGGTTGAGTGAGGCGGATGGAGCTTGGTTCCCGGGATAAATAGCTCACATACAAAGTTGGAAGTGATGGTAGACGATGAAATAGATGCAGCTAACTTGAGTTGCTAAGATGCAATGGTATGTGGCTGAGAGCTCAAGCCTGAAAGTGAGGAGAATGTGATGGTGATGAAGTGAAGGTGAGGAAGTGAGAAGAGTTGAGTGAGAGGGTGGAAGAAGGGGTTTTTATTTGAGAGAAGGTGGGAATGAAGATGGCCTTTGGGAGTGTAAAACAGGAAGGAAGGTTAGAGAAAGGTAGGTCCAAGACATCTCCTTCCTCGCGCCCGTCCTTCTTTCCTTTCCAGGAGAGCCACCTAGAGCTCTTTTAGCGAGGACTGACGGGTATGAGTTCTCGGAGTAAGGTCTTCAGAGGCAATGGATGGAGGGATGGCAAGAGGACAGGAATGAGGCAGTTAACTCGCCCAGAAGCCGCTTCACCTTTGATGATCCCAAAACAGGTTACCTGTTCGGAAAACCCCATGTCTGGCCAGTTGTAACATCTCGCCTTCCAGACAAACTCATGAAGATAAGGGGAAGGGAAAAGAAACCACAAGTCACCAAGGAAGCCTTTTCCTCAACTCACATAGAACAGCAGAGATTTCTGAGCAATGTCCCCAAGTGGTGTCCATCCTGATGCCAGCACATGTTCGAAGCCCTGTGCTTCTGAGCCGATTTCTGGAAAGACCTCATCTTGGGCGTAGGCTTTGCAGGCCGCAAGGGGGGAAGAGTCAACGCGCCCCGCGTGCCAGTATCCGTGGACATGATTCTCGACAGAGGGAAAAGGGGGAGGAGAAGCAAAGTAGAGTGGCTTCAAATGCTGATTTCGATTCCGCCAGCGACAGGTGGTTGTTTCAGGCTTGAGCCATTCAATAGGTAATGATTGCAATTATCTGAATGGGAAAAGAGAATGACAGCCGGTCTACTTGGATGAGCGTCACTAATTAAGCGTGGCCAGATGTTTACATAACTGGATCGTGAAATCTCGAAACCTCGTTGGCTCATGGCACGCTCAAGTCTCCTCCTTTTCGGGGGAAATAGCAGTAAGCAAGGCATTACATGGTGAGAAGACGGACACAAAGGAAAAAGGCAAGGAAAGAAGTGAATGGAAATTATTCTAAAGCAAAGCAAAGCTAGAGAAAGAAATGAAATGTGTAGGGTCTTCGCGATGACTTCAACGCTTCCTAGGTAGATTGGAATCAATGTGAACTGATCTCATGAAACATCAGTCTACGGAGCATTCCCTGATCATACGATTACAGGCGCAGCAGAGGACAACACTTACTGCGCCATGCGAAACCAAAAAGCGTATACAGGAGAGTATTCACGAGCTGTGGAACAAATTCCCAACGACAAAATGCATAACTCTAATGATGCTGTTTGTCTATTTGTCTCCCCATACCTAGTCAGCGTTGAAGAGGACCAACCAAGCTTGGTGGGAGTAGCCTCAAAAGGAGGCCAAGATTCTGATACATATTACACAACCGGTCCATCCATCTTAGCCAAGGCAAGAAACAACCAAGGCCTGGCCATGCGAGGTCATGGTAACCATAGAGCAGCACGATCGTAAATAACCGAGCGAGAGACCCCAAAAAACCCAACGCGAAAGAGCATCTTAAGAATGTAGCGCAAGTACGAGGCATATATACACACGCCTTCCTCCCCTTCTATGTCATAGTGTTCTCTCGCTGTTTACGATGTCGGCGAGTGAGTGTATATGCAACGCGGCCTGATCGAGTGTGCAGGTCATGAGAGACAAGGTCGAACGGTGGTTAATATCCTCCCAAATGCCGGGTATCGTTCCGTGTCGTTTCCCATTTAGTCCGAGCTTTCGTCAAAGTTGAAAAATACACTTCCGTAAGTGAAGAACAAGGATTTTGAAGGCAGAAGAATCCTTCCCGGGCAGGAGGCGCAAACAGAATAAGAGCCGTCACTCATGCCATCTTGCCCTTGTACACCATGAACTCGCGGATGCGTGCTTCATGGTCTTCGCATGCAACAGCCCACTTTCTTCGAACCTCCTTATCTTGTGCCATCCACTCAAGATACTCATGAATCTCGTCGTCGCCGCGAGAGACGAGGAAGGAATAACCCTTGCGAGCTCGGAGATCAGCGATGTTTGCCTTGCGAGCATTGAAATGCTCAATGACTTGAGCGTTGAAGATCTCCCATCTCAGAACGTAACTCTGGAAGTCCTGTGTGTACTTCTGCCAGGCACCGCCAGTTGGCTTCAGATTGACCGCAAAAGTAGGCGGCGGTCGGGGTGCCTGCGGGATGACCGGGAAATCGAGCGAAGGTTTCTTCTCCTTCTCGATCGGAGCGCGGCCCGACGGCTGGCTCTCGAAAGGCAGATTCATCTTGAGATCATTCAGGGAACCTAGGCCAGAAGGGTTCTGCGCGAATGGCGCCACATTCTTAAGATCAGCAAGGCTGGCCCTAAACTCCTCGCTGTCTTCGGAACCGGCGGCGTTTGGGTTGAAATCTGGCTTTCGCGCAGGTGGTTTGGGGCCGTTTTCCTGCAAGCCATTGCCAGGCCTCCATTCCGGACGAGATGGCTCCACAGGAATGTTTCTCGCGCTATTGGAATGATCTCGCTTCTGAGAAGTCCCCGTTTGTGGGGGATCGATATCCATGGCATTCGGGCTGTTCGCACCAATAGGCTCCGCCATTGACTTCCGTCCTCGCCACTCGCCCTCCTCGTCACTGTCGTAGTCATCATTCACCAGTCCTGCATTACCACCTGCCGTCGGCTTGACCTTGGTCTTTCTGGAGTTCACTCGAGAGATTCGGGTAGGGGATGTTGACGTAGAATGCGTCGAGTGTGGCACAAAGTTTTGAGCTCCAATCTGCTGAGTCCAGTCCTGAGCGTCAAACTTTCCTTCGGCAGAAGGTGAGCCTGTCGGCTGAACCGAGATGTCTTTCTGGTGCCTCAGACTTGGGCGCTTGATCGGTGATCGACGGCCTACGCGGCTTCCAGACTGCGAACGAACCTTGGCGGCTTGGTCCTGGATCGGACTACCGGCACTGAATTTCCAGGCATCGGGCCCATCACCGTTTACAAAGCTAGTGTTAATTTCCTCAGTGCTCCTCCGGCTGAATGTCGGTTGCTCTGGCGCGGTTCGAGTAAAAGTATCATCGTCGATCGGGAAATTGAAGCTATTAGTAGTAGTCTTGTCAGCTTGGTTCAGTGTAACATCGTGACCAGGGTCAACTGTGTGGCGCCTGTCACGACCGAGCGGCGTCATGTCTGGGGCCTGTCTTTTCACAAGCTTGCTCAGAAGTTCACCCTGCTTTCGCTCGAATGGCGTGAGGGAGTGGCTTCTCGACCTATCTCCACTGGGAGAGGGCGAGTCGTACAATTCTGTCTTGCTTGACTGCTCGGGAAACGGATGTTGTGTTGGATGCCCTTTGCAAGCCTTGGCTCCAGGCTCGTTCCGCACATTTGGATACGCAAGAAGAGAAATAGAAACCGGAAAAAAAGACGTTTCGTACATTGAAGCTCCTTGTGTCGTGTGGGTATTCCCTGCTCCTGCGGTGGACGTTAGCTTTTGCAGGAACTTGCCGCTATTAAGACCTCACCATTGGGGTTCTGGGAAACCGCGGGCTTTGGCTGCGCATTGTCCGGAGAAGGACCAGTAGCCGTGTTCGGCGGCGTGTATCTTGCGCTTGCGCGTGATCTAAATGGATCCTTGGGCGAGTGAGACGCAGTGGCGCTCGCCGAGTTAGGGCGATCATCTTGCGGCGTCGAAGTCGAAGTACGCGGGCTTGACGCCTCAGTCCTTGCTTGGCGTGGAACACTCTGGGCGCGTTGACGAGCGCTGCCGGGTGAAAGGTTGGGGGCGTAGCTTTCCTGAGGTGGCCGAGGGCTTTCGCGTGTGCTTTTTGCTCGTCCCACGGAGATGCCATCGAAAGGATTCAGTTTCTCGCCGCCATGTGACATGTAGGGAGTGCTTTGGCGGGAATCTGAGTAGGCCTCTCTAAATTGTGCTAGGGGATCCGGCACCCCTGCCTCTTGTTGTCTACGAGCATTGTCTGCGAAAATGTTGGTGTGTCGGGACGAGGTGGAGTAATTGGAGGAGTTCACAGGAGGCTCATCTGCAGGGACTGGCGAGTGAGGAGTGTAGCCAGGTTTCCGTCCAAAGGAAGCCTCCGCCCTCTGTTTTTGAGAAGGAGTCCGGGGGACAGGTCGCTTCGGGGTCTCGGGCTTGGCGGGCTTCGGCTGAGACTGGCCGGCCCGGCCTTTCATATTCTCAAAGGCGTGCCAGGCATTGCGCTTCGCTTCCGGGTCGTCTCTTGTCTGCGCTTTAGCTGTGGGGGCCGCGCCCGAAGCAAAATTGCGATATCTGCTGGCCCCCGAGGCAGGCGGAGGCGGCGGCGGATTACGAGCTGTCGCATTACGACGAGGCGGGGGAGGAAAGTTGGCACCGGCATTCTGCCAGGGGTTGCCTCGGACTCCGGACGCTGTGGGATATCTCGATCGCGTTCTCCCAGCATCATATCTGGCTCGTTGTTGAGGGTCAGTAAGGATTTCGTGAGCTGACTGGATGACCTGGAATCGGGAGTTGACTTCGGCTTCTCTGCCCGGATTTCGATCGGGGTGGTACTTGAGTGCTGGCTTGGGTTAATCAACTCGTCCGATATGAAGAGATCAACTTGGCCGTACCTAGCTTCCGAAACTGCTTCTTGATCTCGTTGGTATCTGCGTCTGCTGCAAGCTCCAGGTCCGCGTAGTAATCGCGGCTCATATCGACTCCTCCCATCCTGACGGTGGGTGCTCGCTCAAGAGACTTAAAACTCTTGAAATGCTGACTGCTTTGTCCAAAACGCCTGCCAAGCTCAGGATATCTCGATGTGATGAGGATTCGTAGGGCCGTAAACCAAATAAAGCAGGCTCGAGGTTATCAAAAATAGTTTCTCCCGTCAGTGTTCAAGGGTGATGGGACGTAGAAACACGGCCTTGTGTTGGGCAGGTCTTGGTGTGGCGTAGCTCACAAGAGCCGCCTGCGTAAATGGTGGCTGAGTAAAGTGACGTGACAGTCGAGGTTCGCAAAACGATCGGCTTCTCTTAGCACCGTTATTTCGATTCAGCAGCAAGTAGTCGCACAAGCTGTCTGTGGCTTCGACTTCTACCACGTTGGCAGACGTAGGTTCGTCGTCGGAAGGTCGATCGAAAGCTATGTGTGTCTGCAAGAGGGATGGATGCGAAAGAATGAGTGGACTAAGGCAACAAAAGAGTCAGCAGTCGTGTCACGGGTAAGTTGGAACAAAGTAGTAGAGGTTTTAGCAATCGGAAGTTATCGCGGTGAAAGGCACGACAATGGTGTCAGACGAGGTAAGCAACCAGGGAAGTAACACGAGGGTAGCAGTCGCCCAGTCGTAAGAAGACGGGGAAGAGGATCGGCAGCTATTCCCCACGGATCTGAAAGGTTTGCTGTTTGTTGCCCGTAGCAGCGTTATGTCGAACAGGCGACTACTGCACAGCAAGGATATGCGTTGATGCTAGATGACGGAAGCAGGCACCGCGGGGGAGGAAGAGAAGCGATCCGAAGCAGGGTGGGCGGGCTTGCCAGGTTGAGAGATCGGGCCAACCAGTCGGCGGATGGGGGGGGAGGGGAGCGGCAGGAAGGTCGTCGGCAGCGGTTGGTCCTTCACCGTCCTCCTGCTTGACCATCACATAGAGAAAGACGCGGTGATGATTGGGTAGATGCGCTGCGACATGCGTGTGTGGGAAAGCAACTCACCGAGATGACGTCAAACTGGAAGGCGGCTGCTGCTACAGCAGATGCCAAAAGCTGACAGCCGTGGGCGAATGTCGGACAAGAGCCGCGGGTGCCCGACGGGAGAAGCGAGATGGAAGAAAGGCAGATTTATGCGACGTTGTTCCAAGGAAAGGGGTCGCGGGTAGTTCGTCAACGCGAGAAGAAAGGAGCCGCATCAGCAGGTGCGAAACCGAAAAGGAAGAAGCAAATATGAACTGAACCTTTTGTTTTTGACGGGCCGTCCGATTCCACCTCTGTCCGGTTGCGGGGGCAGCAGGAGGGATGGATGGGGTAAATGGAAGGCTCTAATTTTTTTTAGAAGAGTTTCCAGGGACTCCCCGGCTTTCTGGCTCCCTGGCCTCGAGCTCCCCGGCCGTTGCCTGCTTGCGCGGCACCCTTTGACTCTGCTTGCTTCTCTCCACTAACACAGACGACACCCTCCCGCCTGGCGACAAGACGCGTGTAAGTGCGCTTGATGTCGGTCTCGCCCCATTCTTCAAGCAAACTGGAATGTATCTAGGCAGTAAGAGGACATCTGCGAATCAGGTAGCTGAGTGCGATCAACATACATATCGTCGCCATGGTGGGGACTTCATCGCCTCAAGCCTCACCCGAGTTGCCTAACCTTCCTCTAGTCAGCCTGTTCAGCTGGGCTAAGCCACCGTTCTAGCGTGGAACCTCGGCAGGCGTGATGCGAATCGCCTGGACTAACGGAGTTCCAACGGAGTTGATGAGGGATTCAAAGCTCCCATGTTGCCTCAGGTACTTAGTCTACTTACAGCACTACCTCGATTCGACGGCTTCTATGCCGCTACATTCCAGTCATGGGTATCCTCATGTCTCGAGACAAAACGTTCAAAGGCGAGTCCAAATTCGGCAACCCCATGCCGGCCTGAGCCAACACTGAAGTAACGTATTACTAGTAGACAGTAGCTTGAAATCTCCGACTGTACAATGGTAGCAAGAAGAAGGAAGGCATCAATGGCGGAACCCCCACCAACTGTGCCTCACATCTGCTCAAGATATATCTTCCTCAACATTCCCTTAAGCCAGATGGATCGCCTGAGCTGCCTATAGATAGGAGAGTGAGTATGTTGAAACATATCGAGGCGACTTCTATTGACAACCAGGTCGTTGTCCCAAACCAAACATTGCCCGGTTTCCCGTGTTTGCTCATCCGCAGTAAGCCGGCCGGACGCCTCCCCCGCATGAACCAAGTCCGCGCGAGCTGGGGCCAACTGCTATGCCAGTCGAACCTACGCCAGGTAAACAATCCCCATAGCCACATCAGCATGCGTCTGGCGCCAACGATGCCGCTTTTTTTCCTCTCAAGCTTGCGTCCATCACTAGTCTACGCAAAAATAAGTCATGAGAGGGGACGATTAACTATTTGGTACCAAACACATGGGCTAGACGACGTCAGGATCAGGACCCGCCCCCGCCATCTATACAGACAAGGGTTGTATGGCTGCTATGGTGTCCCGCTGTCCTGCCTCAGCAACGGTGATATTTCATTGTCATGTCATTGTGGTATTCTGATCCCAAGATAACCCGACATAGGAATGATATCCCTCAACCTGTCTGGCCAAAGTCATTCATCTCAAGTTGCCCGACGGGTGAACAAGAGGGGAAGACTACACCTGTATCCATTGGCAGTCTCCTTAACTCATGTCGCATCCCCTCGCTCTTTTCACACAGATAATCCAGATACGTCATCACGTCATCGAGTCTTCCCGCTCAAATTTTTGATGTCGTGGCGGTCACCCTAATGTAGTCTTTGATTCCCTGACAGATGCACCAGAGCAGACCCCCGCTGCAACCCAACTCGCGCAAATCAATCCTTGAACGCCATCGCTGTGAAATTGTTTCCCAGCCCCTCTTATTTACTTATACATGCATAGTAGGCTTTGGTTGTTGTATGGAAGTTGGGTACTCTTGTCCTCGGTCTCGTGACCACAAAGACAGCCATCTCTATGAGTTTCTCTTGGGGGTTCCCTCATTGACCCTCACAGCTGGGTCGGCGCAGTGGTCTTCGTCCATCCTCTATTCTTCATGTTCACCTCGACAGCCCTCCAGATCGCCTCTGCAGCTTCTTTGTCCCGGAACTTTGCCGCTTCCTGGGCGCCGGTTCCATCGCGCCAACGGTCAACGCCAAGCTGCAATACACGATGGCCCCAGTCCTTCACGCTGTCTGGCGGTTGCTCGCCGCGCCAGCCGATAAAGATGCCCAAGATACGGCGGAACAGATCCGGGGGAGAGCTCCACTTGTAGTTCTTGAACTGCCACGACTGACCGGTGGTAAAGACGGCGACGACGCGGTTCCAGTACTCGGGCTTGAACTGCTCAGGGCCCTCGACGAGAATGAAGCGCATGGGTCGCGATGGGTCGATGTCCTTCATGACACGGGAGACGTGCAGCATGCTGGCGGCAGCGCTACCGTCGGGTTGCACATAGCGTCCTCCCTCAAGAAAGGAGCGAATATTGGAAAGGCGCAGAAGGGACGAGGCGGAGGGCGAGAGGAGTATGATAGGGTCAGGTCGGCGCGTCGGGGCCTTCTGGTTGAGCGCGAGGGATGGGTTGGCGCTTATGTTCGACGAGCCGTTGGGCTTCTTCTGGATAAAAGGAACGGCGAGCTTGCGGACATGGGAAAAGTCCTGAGAAGATTTGAGTCAGTCATGTGCAGGTGGGTTGAGAGTTTGAGCGCGACTCACCGTGTGCTTCACGCCGCGCAACACAGAGTTGCGATCCCCCATCTTGCGCTCCCCATTGTAGATGACTGCCAATCTAGGATCCAGAGTGCCTCGTCCAGCTCGACTCGCAGCAGTTGCCGGAGCAGTTTTGGACGCGCTCGCACTAGCTCCCTCCTTGCCATCCTTGTCGCCAGCCAGAGGCTTGATGTGTTCACTCTCCTCACTGGCACCTTCCAACCAAGTAAACAAATCCAAGCGTTCGACGAAGGCAAGGTTCTGGACAGTTCCTAGGCTGCCCAGCTCTTCGTTTAGGCGGGTCGCGCTCGCGTTGTACTCGGGAATCGCAACATCCTTGTTTAGCCAGGCGAAGTAAATGGATCGCAGGTCGACAGGGCGGTCGCTGGAGATGAAGCGTGTCGGTGTCGAGAGCGATACAGAGACGGGAGCTGGGTGAGAGAAGAGCAGATGGGTAGCTTTCGAAAGAGGTACCTCGGTGGCAGAGGCATCGGCTGAAGCTGTAGGAACTGCAGGTCGTTTCGATGCGATAGATTGCCGCAGCAGGAGCAATGGATCCTGCTCGTTAGCAGCCATGATGGGAAGTCGAAATAATGATTACTAGGATGGTTCGCGCGTCTTCCTAGAGCTTCCGGAGGCCTGAAAAGATGACCAGGAGGTGTAGAGTACTGAATTGAGCGTGACTTGAGTTGTATATGAAGATGCGACGGGGAATTTACCAGCCTCGAAAGTTGGGTCTAGAGGTTCAGCCTCACAACCTGGCTGCCGACGATTTCAGCCACACCCGGGACCCACCACCCCATCAACCACATCTCTGTGCAGCTGCGCCACACGTGTACCTCTTACAACCGTCCAAGGCTTCAAGATGCCTTCTCTTGGTCTTTTTATCTGCACCCACCTTGGCAGTAATAGGTTTGACGATGACTTCTTCCCTGATGAAGCATGAACGATCTGATAGGACTGTAAGAATGTATTGATTTTCGTGTCTACTAGGTCATGATTGAAGGTGAAGCCGATCTCAGTCCCACATTGATCTCTCGTCGGTCTGCGAGGTGACTGATACTTCTGATTTTTGGCGCATGTCACTCAGTTTTTGCTCGAGCTTGAGTGCAGACTCCTTCCTCCCCCTTCCGTGATAAACACAAAGTCCTTTACCGCCTGACAAGTGCTTTGGGTTCGCGGGGCACATTGGACTATTGGGTAGATGCTCCGGGATGTCAAACTCGAAATTGCGAGGTCCTGTCAGTCTCCGCTTTGGTTGTGTTCTCTGCTTCGCTTCCCACCACTCCTTTGGTTTTTTCGGGAGACTGTCGTCGCATTTTGTGTAGTTCCTTTTGGCGCTCATAGATCTGGCCGGTTGAGTCGCGTCCCAGGAATCATTGTCGTCCCCAGGTGGTACCATGTCTGTGAAAAAGCCTCGTGGCTTCCCATCCGCAGTATCCTCGTGCGTTGGCGGAGTTCTCACCCTTGTAGCTTCCTGGAGTGACGGTCAGTTGAAGATTGCTCGGAAGGAGGTGTTTCCAACACACTCACTCCAGCAGGATATGGCGTCAGGGTATAGTCAGTTTGGCCTATTCCTTGGCATTAGTTCACATCAAAGCCGGCGATTATGCATGCATCCTACGACTCAGAAAGCCCTCGGGATCAGGCGTCACAGGTGGCGTTTTTCCGGCCAAAAAGTCTCGCACAGAGCTTGTGGCACTGCTGATGGTGTTGTCTGACCCTTTGCGATGCCAAGGGGCCTTTCCGAACCAACCCGTGCCTGTTGCCGCAGACTTTTGATCTTCTTTATTGTTGAACCAAATCAGCGTCTTGGATATCGGAGAGCTTGAAACGTTCTTCGGCGCATTGATGAGTTGCTCAGAGGCCAAAGTTTCAGATACCGACCAAGACGATTGTTTCTGTATAACATCAGAATCTGCTCCGTTTGGTCCCCCGATGATATACTGACAGTCTTGTTCTTGAACAAAGAGAACATTTTAATGCTTTTCCGGCTCTGGCTGCTCTGACTTATCGACGGAGCACGAGAATCCGCACGGTGAATTGATCTCAATGGCTGTGACAGCTCCGACGGAGGCTGTTGGGGCGGTGTTGGCAGTTCCTCGTCAGGTACATTCAGGGTATGTTGAATGCTGGGCATCCGGTCTAAACTTGGTCGTACTGCGTGAGTCGGCGGGCGCTGTAAGGATAGGACTAGAGCTTCCTCCGAGAAGGGGCTCAGGGGGCCATTGGAGCCGAGTGCGGACCTTGGTGACGGGGAAGCATCCGTCACCAGGATCTCCTGTTCACTAGCACTGACGTTGCGAATCTTGGGGGATTTGTTGGCCCATCTCCAACGCTTATTCGCACTGCCTTGGCGATGTTTCTCTGAGGTAATCTCTCGCTCAGCCCAATAGCCTTCCGGAAACCAGACCTACTCGCATCCTTCTTTGGGGGGCCTGGGGGGGTCATGATAGCTCCCAGGTCGCTGAGTCAGTGGCCAGTCTCTTGGCGACGGCTGAGTCGGAGTTGATCTTGTGCTGGGACGGGGCAGTGACTGCGGAGTAGCAGGTGTTATTGGCAGCGACCCAAAATAACCGTCACATTGTAGGGGCTTGGGAGTACTGGATCCATCCCAACTATCTCCAGGCTCATAAGGCGATCCCTCAGGACAAGTGATCCGGAGCGCCGTTTTGAAGGACAGCCTTTGTACATCGCGATGGGCTATGGGATAAGACTGCGACGACGGTCTGCGATCAGAATCAGCGAATAGAGCCGCCATTGTCGGTATTTGGCAGACTTACGAGCGTCTGCGAGTCCGGACGGGATTCTGGAAGGGGTCCTGGAATGCCACAATACTACTCATCGATAGACCACTTGCCGAGCCTTGACGTCCCGTCGCTTCACGATTGTTGTTAAGTGACAGACTAGAGGCCATTAGGCCAAGGACGGCTTACTTGGGATTCGTGGAGTTAGGGGTCCGCCGAATTGGCAGGGATAGGCAGGCTATAGGGACGATCATAAAGATACTCGATAGATGATTAAGAAAAAAAGGGTTTAGAACGAAGTCTGGTCGGAAGCCCTGTCGCATGGCTTTGGGAGTTCGGTGATGAAGGCGCCACGTGGTGGTCCCCGTTCATGTAGACCTTCGGCCAACAAAGGCAAGACCAGACACCTACTTACTTAGATAGGGTGAGTAAAGGGGCTCCTGCTTCTGTGAAGTGGGAAGTTCAGAGACCACGTGAGGAAACACAACATGACGTCAGGAGCTTCTCAGAATCCATTCGATTTAGGATTGCGGGTATCAAATCAGACCTGCTAACGCCTTTTAATGCCCAGGGGTTGGCCAAGCTCCATTTCCCATGTCCCAATTTTTTTCATGTGTCGTTCAATCCACGAGCATCGTATCATCGCCGTCGAACACGGCGCTCTGCTGCTCAACAGCCACTCCTTTTCCTCTGCCAGCCAATAACTCTCGCCTGATTTCAGGCGCAATCGAGTGGTGGCCGTGAGTCAACAGCAAGTCCAGCAACGCCTCTCGCTGATCCTCACTCAGGTCGTTCCTGTATCTTTGGGCGAACACCAAAAGATTTTGGTGGAAGACGACGGGGAGCGACTTAACCATATCTCCAGAGAAGGACTGACCCTCCTTGATGGATGCAGGGTCCACGCTTCTGAATCGCAAGAAATGGAATACGAGCGAGTCGATGACCTGGTACGGGAGGGCGTACTTCTTCTCTAGCAAAGCCCTGATAAAGATGTTGGCCGCGCCACCGCCCTCGGTACCCTGCGAGGCTTCCTGTGCAGCACTGTCACTGCGTTAGCACAAAAACCCACCAATCCTAACGAGCGGGAGAACTCACATCTCAGTAATACCCTTCAGGGCCGCAGCGGAATGAAGTACCGGCACTGACACTCTGACGAGTACAGCAGAAACAATATGCGCCTCGCGAACCGTGCAGCCGCTGGAAAGAAGAGGGAACAAGAAGCCGAGGAAGAACGCTCGGGGCTTGTACAGACTCTTCTTCAGCGCATTGAACAAGTGCACATTCAGCTTTTTATTCTCGTAGATATCCTCGCGGACCTTGTCGAGGACAACAATCTCCATGAACTTCTGACAGACGATGGGCTTCGAGGCGGAAAAGATCCTCGTCGCCTGGTATACAGCGTTGGGCGACCACTTTTGGGGCTCCGTAACCTCAATGATGTCCTCCCAGTGAGGCAGAGTTGGCAGGATTTTGAAGGGTTTAGGCAATGGGCCGCTCTTGTATCGTGACAAAATATGCCCAACCCTAATAAGGTTAGCGACAGTCTTCCGGCGAGGGCAAAACCGAGGTGCCTACTTTGTGTACACTTCAATGACCTTCGGAGGAAGCTCATAATCCTCATCACGGACGGGCACGCCTGCTGCTTTCCGGGCCTCGGCAGCCTCGTGGGCCGCGATCTTCTCCAGGATGAGCTCCGTCAAGTTGGTGCCACCGCCAGCCATCTCGTCGTCGGGGCCCTTGCTACCCCAGCCGTGCTGGTTCAGCATCGCAGCAGGGTCATCTTCAGCTTCGGGCAAGAACTTTCGGTAGGTCTCGAGGTCTTCGGGGTCAATCTCGATCTCCTCAACGATTTCGTCCTCCTCACCCCAGGCCTCTTCGTCGTCGTATGCCTGCTCGTCGCCCACATCGGCACCATATCTCGATTCGATTCCGAAAAGGTCGACGGTAGGTTTCGCTACGGTTTCTGGCTTCGCAGAGCCGTCCTCTTCGGCAAGCTCTCGGCCTAGCTTGAGAATATTGCGACTCCGTGTCGCATCAACGAAGCCGTCACCATTGTCGTCTTCGTCCGCGTTCTTGCCCTTCTTCTTCTTTGGCGCCTTATTCTTCAAAGGACCTGTAGCAAGGATATCATCCTGCAGAGGGTTGTGTCTCCGCGACTGGCGGTCGGTTGGGGTGGTAGCCTTGCCCATTTTCGAGAGATACTCAGTCACAAATGATCGTGGGTGGAGTTCGACAGGCGGGATTGGCGGTGCCTCTTTATTTTTTTTTTCCTGTGAGCCAGAAATTTTTGATTTTCTTATCGATTGCCCCGCGCCTAGGCAATTAGTGCCCAGAACCCAGGACCGGGCTTCTTACGGGGCCTGTGTAGCATTTTGTCCAATCAAACCCCCTGATGTTGACTTCATCGGCGAGCAAAGCGAATGCCCCGCCACCACACCCCCACCAAAAAGCTTCTGCAAGTGACTCCGCGAGTCTGTCTTATAATGAAAGCGAGACACCTCTCTTAGAAAAAGCTTGGAAAGTTGACCTACTCACGCAATTATAGGTTTGGTTTCACTATATCCACTGGAAAATAACTCAAAATGCCTACAGAATTGGAAGAGGTAGGCTTACTTCGTCACAAATGCTTAGCTGGACTCGTCTCATGGTGTGACAGCTCGTGGGCTTCATCGCCCACCCTAATGCGAATCTAAGAAAGGTGGCCATCGAGAACCTTGTCGGCTTCTCACAGGCGGACCCGTCAATATTCAAGTCAGATAACTTGACGCCGGTCAAGCACCTCAAGTTCCTAGTCAGAGACCACCCTGTAAGTCCAAGCCTCCCGTCGCTTCCCTGATCCGGAGATTAACGGTACCCAGAAAATCGCAGAACATGCGTTGACAATCCTCATAAACCTCACTGCCGAGAAAGATGTTCTGGAGAATGTGGCGACAGACCAGAAGTTTATCGACATTCTCCTGGACTTGGTAGTAGTACGTCAACCTATCTGTCTTGACAAAGGACTATCCAGTCAAGGAACTATGCCATTGACTGACATCCTTCCTCACAGAAACCTGACGAGGCAAATGCCAACCTGATGGCTATGCTTCTTGCCAACCTGGCAAAGTGGGATGGCCTCAATACTATTGTAACCAAGAAGCAGACACCGCCAGAGGAGCTCAAGTCCAACGACTTGGTTCTCAACCAGCTAGTCGATCTCTTCGTCAAGGAGAAGGGAGCCTACAACAAAGACGCCGACTACGACTACCTCGCCTATCTCTTTGCAGATCTCACCAAACACGCCGAAGTACGCCAGCACTTTGTCACAAGGCAAGACTACGACGAAGTCATCCCCATCACCAAGCTGAAGGTCTTCACCGAGCACCAGTCCGAGATCCGGAGGAAGGGCGTCGCGAGCACAATCAAGAACGTTGCCTTTGAGATCCAGTTCCACCCGACCTTCATGGACGAGGACGAGGTCGACATCCTTCCCTACATCCTACTGCCCATCACCGGCAACGAAGAATACGACGAGGACGACACCATGGGCATGCTGCCTGACCTGCAGCTTTTGCCCCCCGACAAGAAGCGCGACTCGGACCCCAAGATCATCCAGACCCACATCGAGACACTCCTGCTGTTCACCACGACGAGAGGCGGCCGTGATCTGCTGAGACGGGTCAGCGTGTACCCCATCATCCGCGAAAACCACTCCCGCGTCAATGACGAGGGCGTGAAGGATGCCTGCGATCGTCTGGTGCAAGTGCTGATGAGAGACGAGGAGCCGGAGGACGGCGACGGCGAGCGGGAGTCCAAGCCCAAGGAGCTGACCAACGGCTCAAAGGTCGAGGAGGTTGAAGATGACGATGACAATGAGATTGTCGAGGTCTAGCCGGTATCGTGATGAGGTTTTGTATTTGTTCCCTTTGGTCATGGCTCACGTAGAGGGGGGAATACCCAGGTCCAGAAGAAGCTGAAACATTGGTTGTGTTTTTTCATCTAGGGAAACTTGGGCCAGAAGTGACATGCATAGCGAAGCCCCTGGATCAGTGACCGGATCGGAGGGTATACAATTGATCTATCCGTCGGTCCTAGTAAATATTTGGGGCAGGTAGCCCGGTTGTCTGGATGTGTGAGGAAGTGACTATCTTCATCGCTGCCTGCACAGGCGCTGGGTTCGATCCTCATCCTGGGCACTTTTTTGCCGTTATTGGGCTACTTATCCTCTCGTTCCTTCCTTCATCTTGCGACAGAATTTCTCGAGTGTGGGGCACACGCCGACGACGTCCCATCAAGACCCAGTGACAACAGCATACTACCTTAGATTTGGAAGGGAGAATCTTATTTGATCTACCTAGTGCGTTCGATATCTCACAGTTTCTTCTCCCATCCCTTTTTGGTGGAAATAAAAGCTCAGACTCAGCCCTCACTTAGGGTAGTCCAGACCTTTCCCCGAATCCCCTACTCGACGGTGACAGTCACCTTACTCTTGTCTTTCCCACAAAGTCAGCTTCTCTTTCCCAGTTAAACCCCCACAGCGGGGATATCTAGGCACATTGAATGACTTACAAAAGGCAACATGGTCCTTGATCTCCTTGGCTCCATCCTTGGGCGTGGGATAATACCAAGCTGCGTCCTTGAGCTTGTCATCTACACCCCACCATCCCCATCGCATCGTCAGCCAAGCCTCCCGTCATTAGAAAGTACAAGTTGAGAAGTCAACCCGAATGACCATGAAACTCACCTCCGACATTGAGCGAGTAATAATTTGCAGTCCCCTTCCAAGGACAAAACGTCGTCGTGTCCGTCTTCTCAAACGCCTCCGTCTTCACCGCCGACGGCGGGAAATAGACGTTGCCCTCGACCTCCTCCCACTCCGTCGCCTCCGCCAGCGTGGTGCCGTTCACGACGGCCTTTGCTTTTCCTGACTTTGTCATTTTTTTCCGTTCTGTTCCGTTTCCTTTCCTTTTACACTGTTAAACCCGTGGTACGTAATCTGCTGGTTCGAGATGAATGTTTGCGTCCGGCAGATAAGATATTTGGTGGTCGGGTCAACAGCTTGTAAGCAGAAACTCATTACGAGGAGGAGGAGGGGTGCGGGGAACGCAGTCATCTATGCGCCATTGAATCTTCTTCGAGTCTCCAACGTCATTTTGTCTTTATGATTTATAAGCACCAGTCGTCCAATGTTTTGCTCTCTGGGTCACCGTCACATTGCCTTCACGATGTTTGCTGGTGCACAATAGAGGGTAATTAGTGTTAGCCTTGGACAGGTGTTATGAAACATCCTAGAAGGTTGCGTCCCGATATCAAAAAAATTAAAGCTGCTTCTCTTTTTATCTAATGCTAGTCCCTTAACGCCTGATGGGTATATGCGTTTGTTTCATTATATATTCAAATACACAATTCAAAGGTTAATGATGTCGATCTCTGAGAAATCGGGCGGGTTGGCGCCGTACACCACGCGAACCTTGCTGTCAAGAGCCGTTCCCTCGTTGCTGATCCAAATGTGTTCGCTATACTCCTTTGTGCGCCGGATCTCATCGTCGCTCACCCCAATATCGTCACGGGGCAGCCAGACTGCAGGTGCGCGCGCCCGAAGAGCGTAATGCTTGAACGCGTTCTTAACGAGTGCATCGCGCTCATCGGGCGTCAAGTCTTCAATTTCGTCGTGGAAACCGCCATACAACGCTTCTCCCAGTGCCCGTTGAGCCTCGAGATCTTTGTTACGCTGCTGGCGTCGGTACTCAGCCGCCGTGTGTACTGGCGCCGGGCCCATCTTCCAGGTCTTGCTGCGCAGGTTCTTGCCTTCCCGCTTAGCCCAGTGGCCGACGTCCTTCACTTTACGCATAGTCGAAGGCTTCCTTTTCGGCACTCCATTATTCATGTTTTGCATTTCAATATCGCGGTTGTCTGATCCGGCACCGTCCCCGTTCCTCATGGGCGTCTTCTCGTCGTCGTCGTCGTCATCATCGAGGAGTCCTAGGCGCTTATTTTGCGCTCGCTGGAACGCTTCGTCTCTGATAACTGCCTCGTCCTCGACAGTGATGGGCAAATACCGGAACAGCGGCGAAAAAGACGTATTGAGCGAAATTTGATAGACAGCCGTCAGCCCAATAGTGATCAGCATGATGATGCCCTGCGGCACAGCGGTATTCTTGCCGTGAGTGTCTTGCACGATGAAAAACAAGCCTGCCAAGCAAGCTTCCATCACGTACAGGCCTGTGAATGTCTGATTGATCGCACGGGGATACAAGACGCCACCTGTGTCGTTCTCGAACCGTGTGACATAGAGCATGCTATAGCGTTGAGCGAACCACAGCAGGCCAAACGTCAGGACCGCGAACAGCGAAATCAGCGGTGCGACAACGCTGTAGACAAGTGCAATGCACGCAAAGTTGGTGTAGACTGGAAAGAATTGGCCCCACGCGATTTTTGACAACGTCGTGTTCCGCTTCCATTTGTCGCGGGCTGTCGAGTCGAGAATTCTGGCCAGAATATACCAAACCAACACAGCGCCGATTTGAAGCAACGTTCCAGAACTGACAGACAATGCCTGGAGTAACATATAGGAGAAGAAGTAGTTTGAAGCTCTCGGGAGGTTGTCGGCAAGGAGATCTAGAATATTCGTGACATTGGTAAGGCCTTCGAAATTCCTCGCCAACGTTTCGGCCGAGGCAGTGAAGAACGATGCGATGGATACGACGAGGAAGACTTGGATGAATAGAAAGACGAAATAGAATCGTTGGACGAATTCTGCTTTCTGAGATCCTGTCTTGACGCCCCGAAAGAGGGCTAATTGTTCGAGAATATGGGGGACGACGAAGAGTAAGAGAGCGAGCAGAATCGCCGGCAAGACACCAGCGATGGCAGAAGCGACCTTGTCGATGGGAGCCTTTTTCACCCAGCTCAACCAAGGAAACTGCTCAACCAGGCCATCAATGTTGGCAATCGATGCCGTAAAAGCAATAGGAATAGCCCAGAAGAAGGCCATGGCCGCGATGACGATAGTGGCGGTGCCAGACCTGATCGACTCATGCCACCACTCCATGGCCATGTTATCCCAAATAACATCCTTTGGCGAGACTTCGTTGATTCGAGGTGACATGTGCTTTGGAACGTGGTGCATGAGACTCTGGCAAGCCATGTGCGCTGAGACCTGGTGGTTGAATTGGATGAAAGCGGAGTTCATGAGGGGATACCGCTCAGGATGTGCTTGGTCGTCCTCAATCTCGACGTTTAGACGGGCCAGCTCAGAGCGACACCAGTAGATAGTGTCGACCTTGGGGCCAAAAGTAAGCCAGGCAAGCCAATTCGGGAAACCCCAGCGCGGAAGTCGATGAGTCGGCCTGTCCTTCTCCTTGATCCATTTGCGCCATTCTGCGTCATCGTCCAAGATGTTCTTGTATTCGCCTCCGATAGCATTGCACTCGGGATAGTCGACTGGGATTTGGTCATCGTCGCCCATGAAGGGAATGTAGGACTTGATCTTCTGCCACACGGTCTTATCCTTTGATGCTTTGTTGAATGGGTACTCTCCGCCGTCGAATCCCTGAGGTACAGGGGACGCGTAGCCGCCAGCAGGGGCTTTCCAAAATTGCCAGAATTTGCGCGTTTCCTGATCGTACATGTGGTCCAGGTTGCTGACTTTGCGAACGGTGTTGCCGTTGCCAAATGGCTCGTAGCTTCGCTTGTAGTTCGGATCGGCGGTTTCATGGGAGACAGCAGAAACATTCCGAGAGTGAGTCTTTTGAGTCCCGATGTTTGCAAGCGGTTCGACATGCTCCTCCGTGGTGTCATTTGCACTTTTGGCCGTGGCGGGTCGTTCGTTGTCGGCCAGGATTTGAACTTTGCGCGGACAATTATTTGGGTGTAGCATGGCGAAGCCGTTTGTGGTCTCGACGGTGTCGTCGACATCTTCAGTAAATTCCTTGATTTCTCGTTGAGCCTTTCCAAGGCCGCCAAGCAATCCTTTTCCAACCTTGGTGACACCATCGCCGATAAGGCCAAGCCCGAAGCCCTTAGACTGAGGTCGATTACCATCTTCGGATGAGTCCGAGGATGACATGCTCGAACGTCTTGACTTTGCATCATCGTTGTTCTCGTTGATCACAGCGCTGATATCATGAGGAACCTCATCATGCTCACCGGAACTAACACCTTGGCCGGCTTCGGCCCTCTTTTTAGCCTCGGCATCTTCCGCTTGTCTCCTGAGAGCCTGCTCTTGCCTTGTCGGACCCTTGGACTTGGACGCTTTTCTCGTAGCCTTTTCTTCCTGCTTTTTCCTCTTGAGTTGCTTCTTCTTTGCAGCTTTGACAAGATCCGTTTCAGCGGCTTCGAGTTTCAGATGGACGTCTTCCCGCTGCTGAATCTTTTCGAGGAGTGGAGTCAAGTCGCGGTTAAGCCAGATGTTCCGAATTTGACCAGGAAATACGTCGAATAGACCCATAAGGGCGTCTTCCGTCAGCCATTTGGAAGGGATGCTATTCACAAGGATAGTTGTGGCAGAAGCACGGAGCCGATGCTCAGCACTCGTCAGGTAGTCCTGACGAACTTTGACATAAACACGTAGTTCAAAGAAGAAGACTGTGCAGACCCAAATGATCACAAGCAATGCAAGGATCAAGTGTGCCCAGTATCGACCAGTGTGGTTCTTACCCACATTGCCCCATGCCAAAGTGTCCAGGCCGGTAGGTACAGATGAATCGTCGGTGTTGGCTCTGGCCATGAGGCGGACTTGATCAGAGCTGGTGCCATTAGTGGTCTTATTTTTGGCATCGTCGACGAGATTGTGGCCTTGGCCATCGCTATAATTCAGCGGAGTCAAAATGGGAATGACGATTGCCGCGATTGGAATGAAGATGGTGAGAAGAGTTCTGAGGTATCGTAAGAAGAAGTAGGCATCCAATCCGCACTTCTTGATGATCTCTCGGTCGTCGTATTTAACCAGCGTGCTGATTAGGCTCCATGGTGCGCTAGGGGGTGAATCGGTTCTTTCGCGCTCGGGGACCAGATATGTTTTTGGCTTACTACGGATTGTTAGCACAGGACTGCAAGGGATAGCCTAAGGTTATGCGCACAAGATACGCGCGATCTTGTTTCTCAGAAGCAGAAAGGCGAGGATTTGGATGGCGAAGACCACCAGACCAGTGGCCAGGGCAGTGAGAAACGCAACAAGGGTAATTCCTTGGTATTTCTCGCTGCCTGCGACATTGAGTGATGATGGAGTAGCGGCCTCAGTCGACGACGTTGACGAGGCACTCGATGTTATGGTTCCATTGGCGCTCAATGTTGCAGAGAGTGTAGTGGAGAGGGCGGTCGAGAAAGAGGAGGCGAGAGACGACGCGAGGGTGCCCGTCAGAGTGGCCGAGCCTGAGGGTGTCGCAGTTGCAGTCGTCGACATCGTCCGCAAAGTTGGCCTAAGAGATACCGATGTGTCGACTCACTGGGTGGCTACCAGCCTCGACAGCTATGAGATGTCGTTGTCGTATTCGTTTGGGCGTTGAGAAGATTTTGTTGGTAAAGGTAGACTTGGCGGCGAAGAGGTAGATCGAAATGAGGTCGGCCCGGCCTAAGGACGAGAAGCGTTGGAGGGGTGAGGGTTCGTAGGTAGTTTACGACGCCACCAAAATAGGCATGGTGGTCGTGTCGAAGTGTGTATTTTTGAAGTGTCGCAGGATTATCGCGCAGATAGGTTCACGGCTTCTGGATGTAGCAGAAGTCAAGTAATTAATTAGACGGGCCAAGAGATGACGAGAGAAAGATAGCAAGAGGTCAAGAGGCCAAAGGCGAGAGCAGTGCCAAGGAATCGCAGCCAAAGGGTTTGGCCGAATTAGTTGTGGTTCTTTGATTGGCGGACAAGGTGCAGATGCAACCACGACCAGGGCCCTGACAGGGGTACTGCAGGTGCACTTTACTGCTTCAAGTTGCTGCGGGCCCGCAGAGGCAATCGCTGTTGCTGGTTTTCCTTACTTCGCTTCAGGAGCCCTGCAACTAGTGACATCAGCGGCTTCATTGGTTATTCGCTTCAAACGAAACAGACCCCTGCCACCCTGCGGGACAAAGTGGGATCCCGCCGCGCTTCGCCCTGACTCTGGCCCAATCATTTGCCAGTTTCCAATGTCGCCAGACTACCGCTTGGGCAGGGGACCTCGACGGATGCCTCTGTATCTCTGCACCTTTGTCTCTCCCGCCTCTATTCGTACCCTTCCCTCTCCCAACGACAAGCCGTTGCTAGCTCCCTTTTCATACGGATACATACAGCAAGACCCTTGACGGGCCTCTCTACGGCCCTTCCGTCGTCCAGTCTGTACAAGAAATGTGGCAGATGTGGGCAGCCTTTCACCACCCCACATTGACGCGCTATTCTGACACATGCCTTCAAAATAGAATCAGCGCGCGCTTCGTCCCAACTGGCAATCCAGACACTCGTCGCTAGCCGAACCAACCTGTCCCCCGGGTCCAAGACTTGAATACCCATGAGAACATCACCGTTCGTCGATTCCCCCCAGTCCAAAGAAACAATACAATCATGGACGCGACAACTAGCTTGTTTGTGCGTGCTGAACAATAGAGCACTTGTGGTTGTTCGTTGCCATCCGTGGAGCCATCGATTGGCCGGGTCATCCCTGTGCCAGCAAGGCGAAAGGACAATGAACCTTATCCACTTGGATATGCTTACCCAGAGACGATGTCGTGGCTAAATGGGGCGAGGTTGCGTGGCTGTGCCACTCTCGATGTCCTTGGTGGACTCGTTGTGGAATTCGCCAACCCTTTTGTTGCCGTCGTCCGCGCCGTATCCGTACACCGGCCTTTCAAATCGTGGGTATCCCAACCGAGTTGACTTGAAGCAAGCTACCTGCGCCTCGGAAAATGAAGCTTTCGCCGAGACGCCGCCCATTCATGTCTCCCGATAGCAAGAAAGCGATGGCTACCTACGCCACGGTCTAGTCTGTCTGCGTCACCAACGTTGCCAAGGCACAGACGCGCAGAAGCTGGTTAATGACCACCAGCGGGAACGAGGGCCTCTTTTTTCCGCGTACCACACTGGTCCATTAGGAACCCATTTCTTGGCACAATGTCCCGACAACACCACCAGCCGTCGCATGAAATGTCCGAAAGAGGGAGCTGAGAATGACACAGAGGATGCAAAATCCTGCTCTCGACTGAGATACATCATTCATGAACAACTGGCTCCGCATGTCATCGCCACACCTCCTCCGTCATTCGTCCACCTGTCCACCCATGCAAACCCTTGCAGTCTAACAGCTTTGGATTCCAGGCTTTGCAGATGTCGGAACGAACCTAGCCAATCCAGGATCGTGCTGTGGGAGTCCCAGGGAGCGGGGGGAGAGATGGGAGTGAAGCGAGCCTTCGCCAGGGGCTCCCACCCCTTAAGTAGGCGAGGCAAATCATAAGAGTCCCGGCACCGGGGCACCGTGCCGTTGTCTCTCGCAGCATGACGACAAGATTTCGGTCCTCCCTCCGCATCCTGGCCGAACACGGGGATTTCCCCCCCAGAACTGGAGGGGCGCCTGTGAGCAAACCGCTATGTACGGCACCACAATACGAACACAATCGCCGCTGTGAACGATGAATCTAGCGAGCTACATTCCCACACAGACCGGCCACCTCCCTATGTCTCTGTTTTGGACGCACGCATGCCGACTTTCACATCCGAATCGCACCCGTGACTAAGCCAATTCATTTGACTCGACAGCTGACAGCTTCGTCAACCAGCAGCACCACCACCAACACTGGCTAAATATTTAAGCAACTTTGACCGCCCGGAATTGGGGTTCGGCAGTATTCTAAAGTTCGCATTGCCCCACAGCGCCGCCAGCGCGTCGGTAGTTGGCTCGTCTGCCCAGGGCAATCCCGATGAAATCGTATTTACTTCCCGTCCTGCGATCCCGGCTCTCAACCAGCTCACCAAACCAAGGGGAGTTAGGGAATATCGCAGCATCCCCCTCATTCTCGATCGCTTCCCCGCTTCTCCAGCTGATGATGGATCCCGACCCCCCACATACCCCTCCATATGAGGCTCCGTGCCGCCTACTTCTTAAGTAGCCTTTGGGACGACAAATACCAGAAACCTTCGTCTAGATGAGCTCTGCAATCGTTACGCTTCGAGAGGGAAACTACGTTACCGTACCGGACACAATGGCAGACCCAAAGGATTTGAAGATTGCCATCATCGGCGCAGGTAATAGGGCACCTGCTTCATGCACCCTGAACGCTGTTCACTAACACGAACCCGCATAGGAATGGGCGGCCTGGGTTGCGCACTTGCACTGGCCAAAAAGGGATTCAAGCACATCGATGTCTACGAGACAGCCTCCAACCTCGGCTTCGTCGGCGCGGGCATCCAAATGCCGCCAAATGTCGTCCGGGTACTCGATCGCCTAGGCTGCTGGCCCGAAATCGAGAAGACGTGTACAGACGTGAAGAGCTCGAGCATTCGACGTAGGAAGAATCTCTCTACAAATTACCTGTTGAAGCACACCGTACTGATAGCAGCATAGAGGGCGCCACCAACGTCGAGCTCGCCCACGTCGAGATGCCCAACATCCGGGAACTCTACGGTTTCCCCCACTGCAACGGCCACCGCTCCTCCCTCGCCGGCGGCATGTACGACGCCTGCAAGAAGGAGTCCGCCATCACATTCCACTTAGCGACGGCGCTGTTATCTGTTGAATCATTTGCGCCCAAACCAAAGTTCACGCTGCAGCCGCGCGACGCCGAGGCCTACGCCACCGAGTCCGACGTCCTCATCGCTTGCGACGGCATCAAGAGCATTATCCGCGCTCAGCTGCTCAAGTCCGTCGGCGCCGTCGGCGGGGAGGAGGACACTGGCCAGGCCGCGTACCGCATCATGCTCAAGCGAGAGCAGATCGCCGACGACCCGGAGCTCCTCGCCCTCCTTGACTCGGACGAGGTCATCCGCTGGATCGGTGAGAAGCGCCACATCATCGCCTACCCCGTCTCCTCCCACACAATCTACAACCTCTCCACCACCCAGCCCGACTCCAACTTCGCCGTCGCGACGAACGCGACCTATACTACAAAGGGCTCCAAGAAGGCCATGCTCGACGTCTTCCACGACTTCTGCCCGCTCGTCCACCGCATGCTCAACCTCGTTCCGGACGGCGAGGTCTGCGAATGGCGCCTGCGCATGCACAAACCCTTACCGACCTGGGTCCACACCGACGGGCCCGTCGCCCTGCTCGGCGATGCATGCCACCCGACCCTCCCGCACCTCAGCCAGGGCGCCGCCATGGCCATTGAGGACGGTTCCGTCATCGCCGAGGTGCTCGCCCGCGCGCCCGATACCGCACCCGCCACGCTCCGGCGCTGCCTCAAGGCTTACGAGCTCTCCCGCCGCGACTGGACCTCCCAGCTCGTCAACATGGCCTTCCTCTCCGGCAAGCAGCTGCACCTCGGCGAGGGCAAGGCCAAGGAAGAGCGCGATCGCATGTTTGCCGAGTCAAGGCAGACCGGCGCAGTGCCGGATAAGTGGGCCTCGCCCGACGTGCAGAAGATGATTTATACCAACGACTGCGTGGCCAACATCCAAAGAGACTTTGACGAATTTTTCAGTGCCGTAGCATAGGACTGGCTGACGGCAATTCTTTTGATTGTTGATACTTCTTTAAATACTTATGAAATCCTCCCCCCCAATTTTAGATAGCTACGCGCACGTGTCCGTTCGGTGTTCACTTCTGCCCTCCGTTACCCCTCTAGTGTGAAAGCTTCCGTGGCGTTTTGCCTAGGATGCTTGCGTCCTCCGCCAAGCTACCTCGATGAGTGGTCTGGACCATACCCTGCACTCGAGCACAGCCCAGCTCTAACAGTACTCGCATCATACAATTTTGAGTTCAAAATCAGGACAACAAGCTCAAGGCGCAACCGTGATGAATTATGATATGCGGCATCGGCTATCAAAAGCACTGTCTCGAGTAAGCACGCGGCTGGATCCGGACTTCCCGAATCCTACCAGCCCATCAGGTTGAAAGAAGAAGGAAACCACGAAGACACAAGAAAGAACACTCAAAACGATAGAGAGAGGTTGTTTCCTGCAAAAAACTGTTCGCCCGTCTCTCCGTAGACCGAGAACCATAACTCTCCCAAATCCAAACTCGAGAAACGAAGAACCCCCGTTGCCCCATTGACGCCGTTCAAGACATGCCAGAATCCCCCGCTTTGCCGACAACGATGAAAGTGCAATGCCGGGCGATCCCTCCGACGCTGGCTTAATCCGAGCACGATCAGCGGGAGGTCTGTTGTTTCCTCTCCGCGCTATGCCATGCATATCTCAGCACCGCATCGTTTCGTCTCCATGCGAGATCTCTCCGTGCAAGCTTTCTTCTTCTTCTCCTCTTTCCCACCATCCATTCAGACGAGTGCTGATTTGATTTCGTTCGCAAGGCTAAGTTGGGTGGGGTATCGTGGGTTTGTATTCGCAAAATCGCTCCGTTCAAGGACGAATAGTCGTTCCGGGGCCTTTTAAAATAAGCAGTCGAGACAGCAGCAGCACGCGAGCGCACCGAGCAGACCGGCCATGAGGCCGCCACCCGCGCCGCCGCCACGGTTGTCTTGGTAGTAGCCGCCTTGGGGCGGGTACTGTTGTCCGTATTGGCCTTGGGGTGGGTATTGGCCCTGAGGAGGGTATTGTCCGGGAGGATATTGTCCGGGAGGGTACTGCCCGGGAGGCGGGTAGGGGCCCTGCTGGTGGCCGTAGTTCATCTCCGGACCCGGGGAGTAGTACTGTCCGGGCGGAGGGGTGCCGTAGCCTCCAGGGCCACCGGGGGGTGGCGGAGAGCCGTAGCCCTGGTAGGCTTGTTGCGGGTGTTGAGGGGGAGGACCGCCGTACGCGGGGGGCTTGTCGTTATCGGCCATTGTAGGATGAAGTTTTGATGTTGTGGTTATGGCGGAAGAGGATGAGTGGTGGGCGCCGGTTCGAGAGATTCGCGGGAGGAGAGCGGATGGAGGTGAAGTAAATTACTTCTTGAGGCTTCCTTGGCCTCGACGACGATTTGAAGGGGAAGAGTGAGGTATGGTCTATTTGCTCGAAGCGTGTGGCGAGATCCCCTTTGTCGGACGGAGAAGGCGGAGGGCTCGGAGGCAGGATTACGTGTAGAGAATGGAAGAGGAAGAATGCAGTTGCGGATGGCGGAGGGGGAGAAATCGGTAAGAGAACTTAAAGGAACGGGTATCGAAGAGCCACACACACATACATACGAACAGAATGAACACACCACCCGGAAGAACGTGGCGATGTTGGGGAAAATAATGGGAGGACGTACCTTAGGATGGAGAAGGACGTGCGTACGTGCGTGCGTGGATGGATTGGACGGGAAAGAGCCAAGCCGCGATTTTGGGGGAGGCAACCTGCCTGACCCTTGTCGGTGAGGTAGGTAGGTAGGTACCTTGGCTATTTTTCGCCTGGCCGCACCTGCTGGTCGCCTGCGACTTTCCGCGCTGTCTTGCGTTTTAGCGGGCGGCGTCAAGTTTGCGAATTGCTCGTGACTCTAGCCTGAAGTACTATGTAGGCTTATGCGCACCAAGTCTCTGGGCGCGAGCCGCCCCGTTTGCGACTGGGTGATCTTGGGGCCTTGGGGGTCTTGGAAGGGGTCTTGGAGTATTCCTAAGCTTGTCTTTGCCAATGTATTCTTTTGTTGGGTCCAGCTACGGATACTTTGCAGTGTAATTGCGATGGGATCCGTACTTCTCCGTTTTTGACGGAGGTTCCCCTCTTAGTTATTTACAGGAAGATGAACGTTCTGCGACAGTGAGGACTAATATCCGCACAATTCATTGACGAAAAGCAGAAATTCATTAAAGTTAGATGAATAGACACAAGCTCTCTGCCCCAGGCTTCCTCCCTCCTTCGTCCCATCTCACATGCGCGACGCAAGGCGACAAAGTGTATTCGGGAACAGAGAGAAACAAAACACTGCATCAAGGAGTAACATCCAAAGCAGCACCTGTGACATTTGCCAGCCCCAAACTGTTCCTGTCTCGAATTCGTCCGCCTCCTTTTCCTCCCCCACCAGTCAAGCTTACCCAACCAACCCCTCCGGCTCTTCGGCTCTCCGGAAAGACGCAGCAATCCAATGAGAGGCCAGCCATCATCCCAAAGGTCGCGTTCGCATTGCCCCAACCGAACATATCGCTGCTGCTAGAGCTCCCACCACACCGTCCCTGCACGACAACCTCGGCCGGGATGGTACACAGCCAATCAGCGACACCGCCGGCGTAGCATCCCCGTTCGACCTGCTCGGGTCCTCGGCGACGCAGCATGTCACCGCGGCGTTCAAACATGGTCTGGCAGACGGGTGGGTCGCGGAACGGTGCTCCGCCGCCGCCGCCGACGGATGATGATAAGCCCCACTGTTGCCGCTAAAGCTGCCGATATTCACGGCAGGACGCCGACGTTCAGTGAAGCACCCGATCGTCTCCGCTCCCCTCTTCTCCGACCTCTTCCCTGACCCGGACATTGCGCCAGAGTTTTTTCGGCAGCGACGCTGCCCGCAATAGAGAAAGAAGTCCATGTGAGGAGGCCGAGGGTCCCCCGAGCCCCAGAGCGTGAATGTACCGTCGTCGTCGTGTCGGGTACCTAGGAGGCACCCGCTGTTTACCGCCGCCACCATCGCCCCCTTTTTCTTTCCCTTTCTGTTGCCGTATTCTTGGCGGTTGATGGCACTGTCGGCAGGGCTACTGAAACGATTGTTGACTAGTTCTTAGAGGGAGCCATGGGCTTTTCCCCCTCCTTCCACTTCGTCTTTGGTTCCACAGACTATACCCCAAGTCTCGGGGTTGACAAGTTGCTTCGTGTAGGTGACACCCGCACGTCCCGATTTTTGTAAGGTGCTGCTTGACGCCTTTCCGCACCCGTGCGTCCTGGGGCAAGCGCGCTCTCACCGTAGATCGTCTTAACTATTGTGCTAAACAAGCACCTACAGCATCTTTCGATTCTGGACCCGGGCCGTGCCTGGGCTCCCTTATCAGCTTCCCGAAGCTCGATGTGAGCTTGGACACGACGGAGTTGCCCATGGCGCCAACCCTACTCGTGACGCTGGCCAGTTTGCTCCCTAGGGACCCGATCAGCTGGCCGATCCTGGAACCCCAGTGTGCCCATCTTTGCCTTTGCTATCGCCGTATAAAGCCCCATCGGCGGCATTTTGGCGGCCGCGAGGATCTTGATTAGTATGGCCAAGCCCGAGATGATAGTTATGCGAGCCATGATTTCTATGAACAGGTTATTTTTTCACTACCTATGAATACATAATGTCGAGTTGCAAGAGGCTGCTCACGCACTACTTGGAGGAAGAATTGGAAAGGGGAGGTTGAGGAGAATATGTCACATGAATCTTTGACAAGCTCGGCTTCAAGGCAGCTGAGAGTGGTATGTTGGGGAGCAGCTCGTGGCTCATCGGATTCCTTGACTGATCAGGTTTCCGCCATTTTTAATTGACGAGGACTCATTACGCTTTAAGGAAAGGGGGGGCATTGGGGAAGTCAAATCGACAACAACATTACGCCCACTAGAGAAAACGACAGCAATTCTCTAGCAAAACGCTAATATTCTGAACAAGGTCTGGTATTCACAGTCACAGCGCACCACGCCTGCCCTACGTTCACACCCCTATCCCGAGGTTGATAGGCAAAGAGTAGAAGTTTAGAGACGGGCGATGAGACTGGGGGGAGATCAAGAGAAGCCCACTGCCGATAGACCGAAACACTATGACTCGCTCGTTTGGAAAGCCCGTGGAGCTCACGTGGGAAGGAAGGGTGGGGGATCTGACGTGATTTGTGGGTTTGTTATTGAACAGCTCGCATCAACTATTGATGTGTCTCCGCACGCCACACGCCTGTGTGGACAGAACTTGCTGTTTCTCTTCTATAAATGAGACCATTGGGGTTGACTGTGAACCTGGATGAGGAGGAGGTTCAACCATAGATCCTGATATCTCAACGTTTATCTTTAAAAAGTGTTGACCAGCAATTAGTGGATGCTGTAAACGTGTTTGTTATACATGAATTGGCCCTTACAAAGGTTAGGATAGTAGTGGGCGCAGAGAAGGACATATATATTGAGCAATCGAGACAGGTAAAAATGTAGACACATACAGGAAGAGCAAAAGTTCCGAAACCGAGAATCGAACTCGGGGCTATGCCTAACCTTTCATATCAATGAGAGGGCATCATGTTGGCCACTACACCATATCGGACAGGGATAACATAATCTTGAAATTTGTACACTAGATAGGCTCCACAACCGTGCCAACGATATCTCAACGGCTCCCACCCACTACTCATTCATCAGATTGGCTATCGCGGTCTATAAAGAGAGATTGAACCCTTTTTCTCGGAGTCCAACGTCCTCGAGCAGTATTTGGAGCATACCGTGACAAATCTCAATGGCTAGTTTTGTTCTCTCCTGAGATAATCATACTGCCAAGCGTCCTTCTCCAAACGCTGGCAATCAACCCGAGCCTGCATGGCATCCTCCTTCCTTCACTAACACGATCTGGCAGACCAACCCGAAGCCCCCACCCGCGTCACTACCCAAGAGACAACAGAAAAAGAAATCCCTCGAGAATTCATCACAACCGAATCGTTGATCATTTAACGTGGAAAACTTCAGGCCGCTGGCAAATGTTTCATCATTGTGCATCGCTTCGCTATTCGGATCAAATGAGAGATGAAAGTCGAGGAGATCGAGGCACGCAAGCCTAAGAGTCGCTCCCGGAGATGAATCGGTGTCGCTTCAATGGCCCAGAGTGGCCATGAGAGTCGGCAGTCCCCGTCTTCGCAGGTCGCCATTCACCTCTTCGGCGTGTTCGAGAAAGTGTCCTTCCATCGAATCCCAGAGAGACGCCGGCGGTACTGCAAAATCCATTAGCGATTTTACTTTCTTTATCATAGGCCAGCCGAGGAAATGACTCACCTTCCAGCACCCCGCTTCTTTCCAAGGCGTATTGTGTTACCGCACAATGAGTGCTTATCTGGAACATGAATCCTGAGCCCAGAATGTCAGTGACGCCGTGGTGTTGCTGTGTGTTGCCTCTCTTACCGAGATATCCTTCTCCAATGCGTTGGGCCTTTAATTCGTTGGTGGTGGCCTGCAAAAACGCCTCATGGGTTTCTGTAAACCTATGTTAATGTCTCGCCTCCTGTCTCGGGAAGGGATTCCTGCAGGCTTACCTCCATGAGGCATGAAGCTAGATTGGAAACTCAGGCCACCAGCTTCCAAGTTGCGACTGGTGCCTTTGTAGCCGCCGTATACGATACCCACTACCTCCGTCGCCATGTTTCGATGGTAATACTACACTCCGTCAGCCAAGCAATTGTCATTCCGAACAAGAACACACGTACGGGAGGCCGAAAGGTATTTGTTGCCGAAGACCACTTTGGCGTGAAGAACATGACGTCTGTTGCGGGTACGCCGGGCATCTTGGACTTTACCGTCAAGACGGTGTACAAACTAGGATCGGCTTGGTCCTTATCCACAAAGGCGGCGTTGACAAACTTCTCGGCGGCATATTTGAAGGGTACATAACTTTCAGACGGCGTCAGGCTTGCTTGCACTTCAGCAGAAAAATGTGGTTCTTGGTGCGGGCATTCTCTTACTTGCCATCCCATGCAACCACGTCAAAGGGCGTGTGATTCTGTTTGCAGGACCACAGCTTCCCGGCCACTTTATACACGACTACACCGCGTCATCAGCGTGGGTACTTCTTGGCAAGTGATAAGGCAGACTCACTTTCCCACTCTGACGTATCCATATCAAAGGAGGCGACGGGAAATTCGAAATCGCGAGGCAGAGCCATCCCGTTGCTTCCGAGCGGACCAAGTTCTGGCAGCTCGTACCGGCCTCCGAATATCTCTTGGACGTCTAAGCCCATCAGCTGGCTATCCTAATGCATGTAGAATCGCCAAATGACTCACAACCCCGTGCCGGGCCATCCGGCAACTCGACCTTGAAGCGGATGCCACTTTGGATCACCGCCAGCTCGCCAGGTCGTACCATCATCCTGGAAAGATCGTCAACGGACTTTATTAGTGAGAGGAACCAAGAACTGCCCACCTCCCAAATTCTGTCTGGATGTCTAGCCTGCCGGTTTGAGGCACGAAAAGCATGTCGCCGTCATTGCTGCAGAATGCGCGTTTTTTCATTGAAGAATTTGCGGCGTACACATGCACAGCCAACCCGTCCTTGGTTGTCGGATCGCCGTGCCCAACTATCGTCTTGAGCCCCTGGACGAAGTCGATGGCTGGCCCTTCGCTTTTCGGTACGGGAAATGCTCTCCAACAAAGTCCACCGGGAACAAACTCAACTTTGTCGTTTCCAGAAGTGAATCTTGACTCGATCTGAATGGCAAAAAGAAGTCAGGTATGGGCCCAGTTTGAAGGTAGTTGCGTTACGGCAGAAGAGAGGGGACCCAAGAAAAAAGAAAGACGACTTACATCTGGGTTTCGTGACAATTTTGTGAGATCTCCGTGGGCCACAGACGGGAAGATACGATAAAACCAGGCATTTTGAATGTTGGCTCTGGAGGCAACGAACGTCGAACCGTTGAGCTGTTCAGAATAGAGATTGTACTTCACTTTCTGTGGTACATTACATGACCGAGGCAGAGTCCCAGGGCTTCTTGAATTAGCTCACATGCTTTGTTGAGGTTTTGGCGATGTCAACTTACATGGCTTCGGAAGAAAACCTGTTCCCAAATCCAACTTGATAGACATACGGGTCGTTCGGAGAGGACTCCGTAGTAAACGCATGTTGGGCAGAGGCGCCCAATGTTGAAACGCGGTCTGGTCCCCCGGGAAACCTCTCGGAGTTGGGAATGATGGCCCCCATTGCTGCTTGGAATATGAAAGAAGTCGAGGACAGTAGTGAATCTAGACCTTGATGTCTCACGGCGGTTCGATGAGCGTTGTGAAATGCAATGGTCGTGTTGTTGCAGACAGAAGCAGACGGGCCTCACAAGTGATAAATGTCATGTTCCCCCTACGACATTTGTGGCGTCCCCAGCTGGCAGTTGGTCACTATTGACCGCACAACTAACTTTGGGCCGAGAGCAGGCCCTTGCATCCGATGACACTAATAGAGATCAATCGGACCAGTGTTCGGTTGCGCAGAGCGCAAGGATAGACAGATCTCTTTGGGTAGGTACCAGCGGTACTTCAAGTCAGTACGTATTCCCAAGTGGCCGGGCGAGGGAACGTCCCGCCCTTTGCCTGCCGGCATGCGGGAGTACAGGAACTGGGTTCCTGGGCATCTGGTGTGCCTTGTCTTCCCATCCCTTCTGCCCCCCACCACCATCAACACTGATTCGCTGCAACTCAAACCGAACAAACTCCTTCGGGCATTGGCCAGATCTCAGGATGTCACCAGAAGAGCGAAACACTAGTGCAATGCCTTCTGAGAATGGGTCGATGTAAGCTTTGGTCAACATTCGCCCTTGCGCTACTTGGCGGGCGGCCTTAGTGGGAAATATCAGGCTAGAGCAGGCTCAATTCTCGCAGAAGCGGTCGAGGTGATGACCGCAATTTGGCCATTTCCCATCTGGGGCACCCGTCGTGCAGCAAGATCAGTCGGTCCATCTCCGAGCCAGGATCCCGTGCTTGGTTTCGAACGCATTTCCGCCTCTGAAGACGCGAAATGTCTTGAGATCGCGGAGGAAATGGCCAGTTACGGCCATGTCCGGCACCTACGGATTGATCCATGAATTGATCCATCAGTCCCGTATGTTCCGTGGATTTCGCTCGTGACCCAATGTGGCGGAGACGGGGCAGGGCAATGTACTCGAAAAGTATCCGTACTGAAGACTTGACTATACGGATATAGAGTGAAGGTGTTGAAAGCGACCGGGTGACAGGTGTCACATCCCTGACAAATGAAAGGCCATGACTGGACTCTATGTGGCGCGCAGAGATAAACCGCCCAGTCGCCCGCCCAGTCGCCCGCCCAGTCGCGGCCGGCAATCACTAGCCCCAGATGGTGATGAGATTGGGATTCGGCAGTGGGTGATAGTCGGATCTTTGCGCACTGTAGCCTCTCACCTTCAATCATGTTTGGTGCCGGCGTTTGGGCAACGTGTTAGTCGCGAAGGCATTGCGCTTACACCGTTGCCAGTGGCCACAAGTAGAGTCAGACACAGAACGAGCCCGTCAGCTTCTTCGAGCTGACACTGGCTAAAGCATGCCTTTTCAGGTTTTATAGTCGGATGTGGACGAGGTGTCTCGGTACCAAAGTGCGTTGGATACGTGGGGAGGTTCCTGCAAGGGCCGTCCAACCCTCATCGTCCACGAATACCTAGTCTGTGACGATAGACTACCCAGCCTAGTGGACAGTGTCCCTCTGCACTAGGCACGCACTTAAGAGAGGCCCCTGCCGATCGCCTCTGGCACAAGCCGCTGTCAGACCGGCCTAAGTTGGCATTGAGTATCTCTATCAGCCCCCCTTATTTGACTTCATATTGGTCGCTCCAATGGTATTTCTGCTGCATGTAGTAAAGCTCGCTTGCTCGTCTACTGTGCGGTCATCAGTTTGCATTGTTAGCCCTGAGCAAGATTGCCCCTGGAGGCGCCGAGTTGTCGAAGTGCGCCCGCCGCAACGATGCGATCGATCACCGATAACCCTTGGACGAGAACGCTTCCTTTTTAGCCTTGGGCGAGAGGTCCGATCTGATCACAGAACGTAAGGAATGACATCCTGCAAAAATGGCGTGACTTCTCGGGTGACCTCAATCTGTAAGGGGGCAAGGGGGGGGGGGGGTTCGTCGACGGCCCGTTCGACGACATGGGCAATACTCTAGGGTGATCGAAAATTGCCCGGACAGGTAAAGTTTTTTAGGATATCTTCCAAAGAAGCCAAGTGCCGCCGCGAATACTCCCTGTATTCGAAGAGAAGATATGAAAAGATTCTGATGGCGTGTGAGGTAGCGTGTCTGGTAATGTAGCTCCGTGCATGAGAGGGTGCTTAAAAAAGCCGAGTTCGGAACTGGTAGGCACTTTTCGGGTACCGGGATGGTGCCTTCGAGACAGAGCTGGCGGGATGAAATAGTCCAAGGCGTGGTGGAAATACGACCGAGCCAATGAAGACCAACGATGAGATAGAATTCCAGTGCTTGTGGTGATGGTTGTGACGAAGTGGAGGCTAAGGCGGACGAGGTTAAGGTCCAGAGTCTAACAAGGCAAGGCGAGTGTACTAATTCTGTGGACTGGACAGTCGCCAAACTCGTTGCGGCGTAGTCGTGCAAAATGGCTTCGGGAGACTCCAGACTTTTCTCGGTTGTGCTGCGTTGCAACCGCCCGAGAAGCACTCCAACTCCGTAGGCAGATGCAGTTGGAGAAATAGTGAACCTAGTGTCTTAGTCCTCAACCGCGAGTGCAACTGCAACTACGATTGCAACTCCCAGCGCAACTACGTGCCGCCCACTCGATGCCAAGTGCGAGGCGGTTGGGTTCAGGATAACCGCCACAGCACGCTGGGTATTGGCATTGTAGGAAGCGAGTATCCGAAGACATGAGAAGCGCAAGGGGCAGCCGGGGAGTTCCAGGGAGCGACCGGCCCAAGTGGCCCGAAACGGCGTGTCCGCGACTGCAAGTTATGGCCTGTGTGTTGCGACTTCTGCCAGAATTGGGAGTATGCGTTAGCAGACCAAACCAGAAAGTCGGAAAGGCTAAAAAAAGTGAGGCATCTCGTCTTACAAGGCTGTGTGGCAGAGCAAGTAGGGATGACCATCGGGAGTATCGTCACTGAGAGTCTAGAGCCCAGAGGTTACGTAGGTACTGTGTAGAGGTTAGAGATGCCTGTCCGTCTAGGGGTGGATATTTGGCGAATCCTGATTTCGAGAAGGAAAAAAAGCCTATGCTGCTAGGACAGACCCATGACCTTGGGCCGTGACGCCTTTTCTTGGCGCGGCGGTTGCGAGGTGAGGTAGCATATGGACTCGGAGATGTGGTCAGTGCGAGACTGTGCCGTATATGCGGAATTGCCTGCCCGCAACTTGCAAGTCGCGCTCGCATGCCCCTCTCCCCCCACTGTAACGCCGAACTTTAGAGTTCACGGTCAGGAGGGGCAGCCCTGGGCGGTGTAAGCGGAGGGCAGGCCGGGCCAGGGATGGGATTGAGGTCATGGGAAAGGCAAAGACGACTTCAGCCGCCCGCCAAATCGGAGGGGTGATGGACAACGACACAGGTGGCGGGAAAGGCCCGCCTCGGAATCCGTTGTCTTAGGTAGCGTACTCGTTGGTCGTCCCTCGTCATGTATCCGTAATTCTGTACGACTCGAGGGGAAATGAGGTGGTTGTCGTAGTATAGATGAGAGCTGTGCATGGAGCCTAGGGACCAGTCTAATGCAAGTGGTCCTGTGTGTCTCTGCCTCTTGCTCGGGTTCGTGGGTGTAAAAAGTAAGGATTGAAGTCTTGGTCAGCTTGGCGTTTCCGGCTATACCTTGCTTGGCCCTGTCGAGCTGCAGACTGGAGTTGCGTAGAAGCAGATGGACAGAGGGGCAGAGGGGCAGAGAGGCAGAGAGGGCGGAGAGGATACTATCTTTGGATCGTCCTGTCTGCCCAAGTCAGGGTCCCGAAGAGGCGGGGCACAATGTCCTGTCGTTTGTCGATTCGGAGAGGATCAGAATCCATTCCAGTGTCCACCTCCCGAGGAAAACGCACGTTGCGGTGGGGCCATCGGCTATTCTGAGGTCCATCAGATTGGAGTGGTGCGCGACTTGCGACTTGCGGCTTGCGGCTTCCAATTGGTGAACTGTGTGCCTGAAAAGGAAAGGAATGAAAAGACGTTGGGCGAGGCGGCAAACGACTAGTGGCCTGGCGCGCTCGTTGGAGATTGGAGAATTCGGAGAAAGAGGTGACCCAGGTGCCAGGTCCAATCATCCATCGTGATTCTTGACTGCCCCGTGCACCTTCACCTGCACCAGCACCAGCACCAGCACCAGTGCCTCAACCAGCACTTGCATCTTCCAGGTTGAAGTGAGGCGCCTTCCATTTCATCCAGGTCATCTTCAACCTGCACCTGCCTCACGAATCACCCACCATAAGATACCTCACCTCCTTCGCCCACTTGATCTGCATTTGCACTTGCACTCGCATTTGCACCGCACCTGCATCTGCAATTGGCACTGGCACTAGCGCTGACCAACATTGGATCGCTCTTGCAGTCTCTCCCTTGCCATCCCACCTTCCCGTCAACTTCATTCAACCTCGCCCGCACCCTCCGCTCTGCATGTCCCACACAGAAGCACTTGCATCGTCCGGTAATTTTTTTTCCCTCGCTCTCAACCCCAAACAACGGGCACGCAGAGACGGTCATCCACCACCTGCCCACTCATCCGCCCACTCACCCACACACACCCACACACACATACTTACACACCTTCGTCTGACACGTAAACTGCTGGCTCGCCTGAGTCAACACATAAATCTCTTTTCGACGACGTGTTACTTGCACTGGTCGACAAAGATTCATCAACATCTCCCTGTCTCTGTCACCAAGCTTGTTCGTTGCCTTGTCTTTCGATACTACTTCGCGTCTGCGGCAGCCCTTAACTCAACCCAGGCGGTTGCAGCAAGGACCATCTCAGCGGACAACTCTCCGCCCCCGGTCCGGAGGGGAACGGCCAAAGCCTTCGAATCATATCAACAGGGCATCCACATCTTGCCGATCTCTCCTCAAGAGTCCAAAATCATAAAACATCTCAAATCCTGCTTGCTTCGCCTCAGGTGGCACCGACGGTACAGCCATACCACCATACCTGTGCCGAGTACTCGCACTTGGTCCCCGTACGTCGACACGTTTCCATCTCAGACCCCGCAGCTCTTGTAAACAACCGCGCGCGTCTGCTCCTCTCCATCACTGCATCCTTGGTCATCACCTCACTCAAGGTTTTCCAAGGTAATAATCGGTGTCGTCGACAATAACGAGACAACTGACTCTTGCGGTCTTGTGACTGCTGACTTCAACAACGGCGTTGTCATACAAGCTGCTTGGAGCTTCTTCCGGCAGGCATCTGTAACCTTGTGTCGTCCCAATACTAGTAATACGTGCCCCTTTAGGGTTAGGCTTTATCACTCAAGCCTTCTACAGGCCATTGGTTTCGGATCCTTGCTCAACTTCATCCGCATTACTTCCAGCCTTCAGTCGACTGACTGGTGAGGCCGCTTCGTTGAGCATCTAGTCAATCAACCAATATCGCCACTGCAAATATCCCACATCTTGACAAGGGAGGCATAGTCAGCGATACTGCTTTCTAGCCTGGCCTATTGATAGATAGGCTGGCTGCCTTGATCGCCGTTGGCAGTCTGAACAGGGACGGCAGCCTAGGCTTTGAGACGACTAGGGGCACCTGGCCAGTCCTGCAATCGCCACAGTATCTCCTCTTGCGCTACGCAGGGAGTTGCTAATCGCGTAAACCCGTCATACCCTCTTCATTCCCGGAGGAACCTGTCCTTCCGCCTGCAGAAAAGGCCACTTCAACGACAATGGCGGACACTCTGCAGATCCCGGACCCGGACGTGGCCTGGTTGGCTCCTCGCCTGCCGTCAGAATCTGCCATCCAGTCAGCGAAATCTCAGAAGCGTCCCTTTGTTACTCTGACCTTCGCAACATCACTAGATTCTTCTCTTTCCCTGGCCCCCGGGGTGCGTACGCGCCTTTCAGGTACCGAGTCCAAGGCTATGACACATCATCTTCGTCGTCACCATGCCGCCATCCTCGTTGGTGTTGGGACAGTTCTCGCCGATGATCCGGGGTTGAACTGCCGCATCGCTGGTGCAAATCTCGAATCCCAGCCACGCCCAATTGTCCTGGATCCTCGTGGCCGATGGGACTTCACCGAGCATAGCAAAGTTTTCGAAGTCGCCCGCGCCAACAACGGCTTGGCACCGTTTGTGCTAGTTGGCCCGTCTGCCGTCAACTCGGAGAGGAAGGCAGTTCTGGAAGCTCATGGCGGTAAATTTGTCATCCTCGAACCCCGGGAGACCGAACCAAGATTCGATTGGTCATCAATCCTTTCTGCTCTTCACGCCGAGGGTCTGGGAAGCGTCATGGTCGAAGGTGGCGGGCAGGTAATCAACTCCCTTCTTGACCCTGCCTACCAGCGGCTCGTCGACAGAGTTATTGTAACGATTGCGCCGACCTGGCTTGGCCGCGGCGGCGTTGTCGTTTCCCCCGACCGAGTCCAAAACATCGAGGGTAAACCTGTACCCGCCGCCAGGCTCTCGGATGTTGCGTGGCACCAGTTCGGCGAAGACATAGTTCTCTGCGGTCAACCATGCCTAGATGCCTAGGTGACTATTGCCCCTCCAACAGAGTGGCACGGCCAACACGGAAGTGGCCATCAGCTCACTCGTGCTAGACAGGCTTCGATCAAGTCTTGTGCTGCCAGTGGCAAGCCTCAGAGGACGTCATGAAAAACCACAGCTGCCCGATCACCGTCGAATGGTCAAGCAAGAAGCCGCCCCAACGAACTCGCCGTATTGCCGAAGAAACCGTGCCATTGTTGGTCAACTGTGGAAACTGCCCTAGTCTGTTAGGGCGCTGCAGATATCAACATGCCCCTGCTTTCCCACCAACCGGGGCGCTTAGCGAGAAATACGGTCTATCATACCTCGCTTGCCTGGATATATCCCCCCTTTCCTTTCTTACTCTGCCATTCAAACAGGACGTCCAGCCATCTTAGACGTGCCCTCGCTTCCTGATCTCCAACCATCTCAAGGGTGCGTAGAAAATCGCCGTCAGGACAAACGCGGACTCGAAGCCAATATCTCCAGTTGTCCTCGCGATCGGACCAGTGAACCAGGCTTGGTCCATCCCTGGTATGATGAGTCCGAAACTCAGTAAACTCGCTCCAATGGCAGCCAGTCCGGAAGGCAACAATCGGGCAACATTCCAAGCGACAGGGTCATACGAGTTGTAGTCCATTCGACGGAATAATACCAGCTCCTCAATAACGACCGCGTCGAAGCAGCCGGCCCAGTAACCGATCAACCCCAGGAAGTTCTCGAGCGAATCGGCCCACGACTCAGCAGCGCGGATTGCCATGGGAATCATGATTCCGAGTGCAACAACGACAAAGACAATTCGAGGAACCTTTGTGAAAACAGGGAGCATCTGCTGCATGCAGAGGGCAACTGAATACATAGACGTGGCGATATTGCCGATGACACTCAGTGCGAGGACCACCAATATAAATTTGCCGAAGCCACCAGCAGGAGCCAACATAGCGGCCATGACGCCGCCGATACCATACGTGTCCCATCCCGATTTCCATTCAGGGACATTGGTGAGCGCACCCCCGATCGCTGCTCCTAAGATAAGCAACGGGACCGACGGCGTCAAAATTCCTAGGTATATATAGGAAAATATTCTTAGCCTGAAAACCATCAGCAGTGTGACTAACCGAGAAACAGGCGTTGCTCACTTGGTCGTCTTATTTGGATTGTGGTAGGCAGTGAAATCCGACGCAGTCCCGCCAAAAGTTATGAAGTACCCGGCCATAATACCTCCATAGTTGAGTATTTGAGCTGCTGTTGGGGGAGGCGCCTCAGCCTGCTTCCACAGATGTTTTCCACCGCAGCCCACGGCAATAATAATTGCGACGAGGTTGGGAAGCCATTGCCAGCGTTCCCACATATGGAGTCCGCGGTAGCCTATGAACGAAGCCGCGAAGCTAACGAGGCATGCGATGACGATTCCGATTTGCACGTCAATATGTCCCGGGTTTACGGCTGCGAGGGTCTGGCCGCCAACAATCGAAGATGAGAGAGAAAATCCAGTCACAGTCGCGGCATTCAGGAGGAGAGGAATGCCCACGAGATAGTACCTGAGCCGCCGAATCATCAGACTACCGATCAAGTTATTTTTGACGAGGTGTCGACTTACCCAAACGAGTACCTGGCTTGGACGAGCTGCCTCAGTCCGGTATAGGAGCCAGCAATGCCCATGAACGCCGGAGGCACAATGGTCAACAATGAGAAAAAGACGATGACCAGCGACGCATCCCTCAGACTCAGTCCGAGCTGGGCTGTGGCTAAAGCACCTGTGGGGATTCTACAGCCGCAAGTCAGAAAACCCGAAGTCTTTGGCCTTCATCAGAGTAGTAGAATACACTCACGGCAACAAGCAAAGCAGACTTGTAAAGAAAACGGTGAAGAGATTGCTGTAATTGGTATTGGTCCGCTCGTCGAGGGGCACAGGTTGGATCCCATTCTCCTCCACGCCAGCATCTAGCAGCCTTTGGTACCATTTTGGATTTCGTCTCGCCTCTTTCCGATCTTGCTCGTCATCCTGGACGGTCAGCAAATGGGCAATGCCGCCACGGCTCTTGGAGTCAGGAGGCTGACTCTCCATGTCGTACGTCTCAGCCTGTTCCTTCAGCGTGACCGAGGCTCTGGAAGACATGACAGCGAAACTTGGATGCGGGGTTAAGAGGAAGGATGTTTGGGCGGCTATCACCTGCACTGATCCTTTGGCGGTATCCCGGGCGAAGCGACCACCAAACTTGGTCTTCCGCGGTTGCTTGCCAACCGCCTCTAGAAGGTACGCCCAGCAGTACGCAGCCTTGGGTATCGATTGAGCAGCAGGGCGAGATCTGGCAGGCTGGACCGACCGAAGGCAGGTCGTCGAAGCGGGGCTCCCGAAAATCCAAGCTTTTGTCTCTTGGAGAACAACTCGCCTTTCTTAGAGGCTTTCGGACCTCGTTGGCAGTTGAAGAAAACCTTCACTGTGCCCAAAAAGATGTATCAGTGCCACGGCCAAGTTATCGAACGCTGTCTTGCAACAGGCGGGCGGAGGAAAGCAGGTCGGGATGTTTTTGCCGCGCTGTTGCACAGAGCCTGTATACTCGGTGAATTCGGCCCGGGCTGCGTTGGTTCCAGGCGCTGGTGGCTTTTCTTCTGGGTGTTGTTATGGAGGTTGACTGACGAGCGCAGACGAAGCAGGAACTGGTGGACGATGATCGTCCGAAGAGACTTGTTGCAGAAGTCAGAGAGTGCAGTTGAAGCGAACGGGACGACGAGCGGACGGACACTGGCTCATGGATTTGTCCCTTTGCCTCGGGGGCGATGCACAGTTTGTGCAATATGGAAGGCAGTACGGCAAGCGGCAGCGGCAGTGGCTTTGACAGGCGATGATGGCTCAGATTGGCGACAATAACTAACGTCGGAATTACGAGTCGCCCGTATGCTAGCTCTCACCCTCCGAAACGGCTCGAGTCATCGTTATGCTTACGGACGGTCGAAGGTCGGTCCTTGATATGACGATCGCAGCCCCCCCGCAGCAGCAGCAGCAGCTACAGTTGGAAAGCACCGTTTCGCTCCAAAGGTTAGAGGCAGCGGGCAGAAGAGTCAACCGGGATTAGGGGGGGCGGCATGGGGGTGGAAGGGAACGAGCATGGATGAGGAGGGGTGGAGTTGCAGAGGATGAGCGAGGGTTGTGAAGGAACTGGACTGCGACTCCCAGCGCCTTGTTCCCAAGAGTCAAGACAACCGGTATCATTACTCCACGGGCTGCTGTTTTTCCTTTCCACAAAAACACAAATTTTATTCGCAACCCGTTCTCAAGTCTTTCAAGATTTAAACACGTACAAGTCTACCAATGTACCCATCCCGAGTTAATCCCAAGTGGGGTTTACTTCGTCAAGCGCGAAACAGATGGGGAAAGAAGGCAGCTTTAGTGAGGGGCAAGAGTGTGTCAAAACGTCGCTGTGGGAGTCTGGCCGGGGCCGGAAAGATTTTTTGGGGGAGCGATGAAAGGGCTGAGGAAAAGGTGTAAAGGGAGCAAAGACTCGAGAGAAAAAGGGCCAAGCTCTGGATTGGGTTTTGCTCGCGTGGGAATTATTGAGTTGCTTGAAAAGCACAGAATCCCCGTCACTACCCCTTCCCCTCCCTCACCTGCCTGGCCCAAGCTGCCTTACCTTCACCTTCACCTTACCTTGGCTGCCCAAGGTAGTGAGGGGCCTGACTCTGATTCTGGAACTCTACGCTCCCTTCCCAAGGTCCTCCCAACATGAGGTGTGTTGAAATGATCCCAATGCAAGCTTCGCCGCTTCGGGTGTCAGAATCCCACGGGGAAACCCTACCTATCTGAAGTTAGGAAAGCAACGGAGAAGCTAACAATGGAGAAGGGTATGTCCCGCCTACGTTAGTGTCAGCCTGGCGGTCGATCAACAAGTCCGCAAACGCCGCTGCCTTCTTTTGTTAGGGTTCTTTTTTCCTTAGTGCCTGGCTTTCAGCCCATCCCACCGTCGCCGCTTCTTTGGGGGGACGGCGTAGACGGCGTAGAGATCGTTCCATCAAACGTACTGCCAAATGCACCATGGCACATTCCTGACTGCCTTAACTTAGCCCAAGTCGTCGGGTTTCTTCGTCCGGACTCGGCGGCTTTCTTCTGGATTTCTTCTCCCGCCGGTTTTGGCCATGCCGTTGCAGCTTGATTGGTGTCTCCTTCTTCGTCCTCTCTCTCATCTCTCCGAGTCCCCTTGTCAACTTGTCTCACGGCCCCGCTGCACGTGCCTCCGATGCCCGACGGACGGCACTTCGTACTAGTTCGACGGCCTGCTCGGGCCAAGCAAAGCTGCCTGTATAGGTATAGCATTCACCAAAACTCTGACAGCTAAAGACCCTGTCAATTAGTTCACCTCCCTCGGGACGTGTTGCAGTTACCGGGTTGGCCAGCATCTAGTCCCTGCAGGCTAGGACTCGGCTCGAGCGGATGGCTTCGGTGACCGTCGAGCCGAGCCCAGCAAAAGAATTCCGTCTTGTGCAATTCAGTAGTCGCGCTGCTGCCCATCAAGTGATCGAGACGCCTGAGACGGCTTTTCAAGCTTGGGCGGCTATGTATTCCTCCGTCAAGATAACTATTATGCAGAAGTCGCGTCTTCCGCATACTTGGCCGACGTCAAATGTGTGCAAGCAAGCTATTAGCTGCATCTATCTCCCATTTAGGCAAAGGGAACGAACCCCGAGTTCCCGTAATGGAGGGCGAATGGCCACTAGCGTTGCGCCTGGACTGCAGCCCGCCCCCATGGAGGATTGGGGGCTCGATCCCAGTCCGCCGCGTGGCTCATGACTTGCGATGATTCTTCTATACGGCGTATTTGGCGTAATTCCAGATCTCAGTCGTTGCATCGCGCCTGACGATCCAGATCTTTCCATGCAGGAAGAGCCCTCCCTTCCCGCTCTTTCCCACTTCCGCGAGTCGTGACCCTGTCAATAGGGCATTTCGAACACCCTCAAAATGGCATCGCAATAGTCAATGCTGGATGGTGGCTTCATGCGGTGCGAGCCTGAAGGTTTGGTGCGTTTCGGCCATCGAGGCACTGCTAGCACAGAATATGGCAATGTCTGTCGCTGTCTGCCACGTCTTCAGGGCTCGCGTCTCGCCAGTGGCCGACTGCGTGATGCCTCGTGATATCTCTCCCTCTCGCCGTCAAAGAGTATCTACTCGTTGCCACGTCTTTCTCCCTTGCGCTAGGGTTTGGATGGAGGGTGACATGGCTGATGCAGTGGTTTGACACAGGACGAATAACGTCGCTCAAAACGCTTGTGTACATGACTCTCTCCAAGCGCTGGTTATTCTCTTCACCGTCGTTTTGAATGACGGCACGTACGAAGCGAAAACTCGTACCCGTCATGCGTACTCATGGAGAAGTTGGATACGTCGAGTCGGGGCCAGGAGATATTTCTTCCCTTGGTGATGGGCAAAGCTCCAATCAGACCTCTCTCTGGGAGGGTCCGAACTCTCGTCGAGAGGAGCCCTGTCGCAGGCTTGATCCGACTGCAGCTTGTCCTTCTGAAGTTGATAAGATCGACAAAGATAGATGGCAAATACCCCTACGCCTAGAAGAATTTCTGGATGACAAAAATCCCATTTTCAAAAATCCTGTTCAGAATTGGTGTCAGGCTCCGCATTATTGACGTGGACGTGGCCCCTCCAGTCAGTCCAGATGCAACATCGGCTATGTTGGCTTCAGTAAATGTTCATTTGGTCTTGGCTTGGCTACGTTGAGCAGCCGTCAATGGATAAGGTTGTGGACCTCAAAGCCACGAGCTCTACAAGGAATTTCCCATGCATGCTCAGAACGTCCAGATTTCTACTGTGCACGGTTTCATCAACCCGAAGCGTAGAAGCTTATCAATTGTGTATCGGCATAAGGGCTAGAACGCCTCACTTTGTCCTTTGCTCTTCAGGAAGAAACCGACTGTCGCAACAGCTCCTCTGCTCTGTGCCCGCGTGGTGTTATGGAGCATTCAAAATGTTTCGGATGACTGTCCGTTTGACGTCAGACTTTTACAGTTGCAACGGTTATGGAGCAGCACACCAACTTACCAGGTTCCACCATTGGTAAACGCAATCTTGGGCTCTATGACTTGGCCATCTGGTCCGACTTTCTTGCCAATTCTGAGAGTGGCAAGCATAGTTGCAACTGCTATCCAGACACTGTTTTCTGCGAGAAACCGTCCAACGCAGACTCGGCGTCCGAAGCCAAACTGACCAAGTGGCAAGGGTTCACCATGACCTCCAGAAGACTCTGGTTGGTATCTGTCCGGGTTGAAAGACTTGGGGTCCTGGTACACCCTCTCGTCCTGAGTCATGGCGCGTAAATTGAAGAAGACAACAGAACTGGGGAAATCAGTCAGTACTTCCTTCTAGAAGCATGCAGCTTTTCGTCCCGTTGAGGGGTGAGAGAGGGGCAAGTGAACCTACCCTTTAGGGATGAACATGCCGTTATAGACGTCGTTCTCGAGCGACTTGTGGGGAATTCCTAACGGTGCCAATGGCGACCACCTGTTTCTTGCTCGTCAGAAGCTATCCCACGTGGGCCTGGACCAGAATATCATGAGCAAACCTACCGATAGACTTCCTGAACAATATGGTCAATGTATTGGAGGGATGGCCTGTCTGAAAGATCCGGCAGTCTATCAAACCCGACCACGCGATCGATGCATGCCTGCGCTTTTTCTTGAATCTCAGGATGGAGGACCATGCTCAGAACGAAAACGATAATGGTGGCCCAAGTCTGGTGCAAGTCAGAGTCAGCACTATACCAAGCATCAGAGTGTCATCCTCGAGGAGCAAAGTTACCGTATCGGCCCCTGCGATGAAGATGGCTCCAGCTGCTCCCTTGATATCGTCAAGTGACCATTCATTGTCGAGTCCTCTCTTGGCGTTGGAAGTATAGGTTTCCAATAATCTATGTGCGAAGGAAGGGTTGTCCTTGCCGCGAGCCTTGATTTGTTAGTGCTGCGGGCGTGGATTCGGCCAGGAGGATATACTTACCAACTCTTCCTGAGCAACAGCAAACGGAACGTCATGCAACTTCCGTATAGCCCATCCCCATTCTCGCGCGAATTTTAGCGACCAGTCTCGAACTAGCCAGACGGGCAGATGGCGGGCTATAGCACCGGCGATCGTTACTAAAAGAGCGAGAATTGGGATTGTTTTCCATCCGCGACTTACCAGGGGGAAAGATGTCAACGATGCTGTTGGCGGGTGCACCGCCGTTTCCAGTGGCATACATGGCATCTTCGGCAATCTTGACGTACGGATCGTTGTCCTCATGAACGTCAACGCCGTAACTCACCTTGAGAACAATGGCAACGGCGAATCTGGACTCGTCAGCTAAGGAACGGCAATCAAAGCCACGAAGCGGCTTACCTTTTCATGGACATTTGCCAGTTGTCAGGGCTGCCGATGATGCTATGGACGGACTTTCGGGCCTCGACGACCTGCAGAGGGTACCACTGCCGGACATTGGTGTTGCTGAAAGTAGTCTGCAGTAGCTTTCGGTGCATCTGCCAGCGGGGTCCGAAGGGAAGGAAGGTCAGCGTCTTGCCCCAGCCCATGCTGCGGAGGGGACAGCCTGCATCAGCATGCCAACAAGACATTTCAGGGTCGAAGTCGGGGCGACTTACACCTCAAACAGAGTGAACCTGGGCCGGTCACAGTAATTGGCCCCCTTACGGTCGAGGAGATCCTTGGCGGCCTCGACACTGTTCAGCACCACCATGGACTGGCCAAGAGATTTGACATGAATGACATCTGAGTCTGGCATTATATTAGCCATGGAGAGTTCCTCGAAGAAGCCGCAAGGAGGGAGGAGCTGGACTCACCATACTTCCTTGCCCACTCTGCGTATGTTTCGGCTGTTTTCTCTTTGGGTATAATACGCAGGTGGCCGAGGAGAAACTCGCCCGGCGGACCCGGAGGTAATGGCGGGTGCCCCCATGATGACCGCCGTCTTATGAGGATGAGAAGGAGCACAATAGCTACACATGCAGCTGCTGCGGTCCAGGCTGGCGTACCTTGACCTAAATCCATTGGGATTTGGGAGTTGGGCAAGTTCATGATGATGGGTTTGAGCGTCCGAGCCCACTAGCGAGGAAAGTCTGGTGGTGCGAATTCGGACAAAGCTTCAAAGAGCAAAGAGACTCGAGAATCAGGCGAAGAACTGTTTGGGAGTCGGATATGGAAATCCAGCAAAGGGGTTCAGTCGAAGAAGAGTGAAGTCGACGCTAAGGGCATGGAGCTTGGGCAACCGGTGAATAGGAAGCCGCTTATTCGTGAAAGACACGGGAAGGAGGCGTCCATCTGGGTCCAGGATACGGCCCTTCCCTACTTGGTCCAGGAGCGCATAACGGTGTCTTGTGTCGAGCAAGAGAAGCAGATGACCGCAGACAATCTGGAAGAGAGCAGGAGCGCAGCAAGGAGGCAGGTGGATAGGATAGGCAGGTACGGTGAGGTACCTCCACTGCGAAGGGGAGTGAAGGGAAGGCACTATGCAAGTCACTCTCGTCCACTTCTCGTCCTCTCTGTGTCTTTCCCTGTCTTTTTCTCTTCGTCTCCTGTTTCTTGGTGTTTGCTCTCGGTCTCTCTGTCTCTCTTTCTCTCTCTGTCAAAGTCCACAAGTCATTCATCCCATCTTGACCCAACGACATCTACACTTTTCGCATCCACACACACTCTCTCTCACACACACTCACACGCGCGCCGCATTCGCAACCCACACCAACACAACCCCGGCCTGGGCCCAGACATGAACATGACGGCGTGCCAAATGCAGCATGGCGTGGCGGGCGTGGGAGACAAGAGGGGATCGAGTCTAACGGCATGCCGCATGCACCCTCAAAGTCTAATCCGGCGTGATGTCGTTCATTTCCACGTGTCGAACAGAACGAAACAGACGGTCGGTTCACGCCGGTGCCAGAACCGGCGGTGTCAGCGATTGCCGAGTGCCGCACAGCAAGCCCAGCCCAGCCCTCCATTCCGCTCATGGCGCCGAAAAGATGGATGCCTTTCTAGAAGACATTCATCTACGACCGGTGGAGAGGGAGGGAAGAGGAGGGTGTATGCTAGGTAAGGATTAACCTGAAGGACAAAGGTCCAGATCCTACCCTCTTTCATGGTGCCCCAGCAGCTAAAGATCCCGCCCCGGCGAGCGGCTGGCGGACGGACTGGAAGGTCAAGGTATGCACGGAAAGAAGACCTGACAGGTCCCATTGCAACACCCGATCGGATTGAGCATGAGCGGTAAGGGGGTCGGATACGCTTCCACTAACCTTCCATTCCTTAAAAGGTGGCTCCGTTCTTCGGCTCGGCTCTTTACAGTGTGAGTGTGCCGATTCCCAGTCCCAAGGTGTCAGTCTGTCCGCTTTGTTTCGGCAAGGTTGGTGACGGTAAAATGGGGTATGGATGACATCTGTCTCTCTAACTGACTAAGGTAAGGTGTCGGGTTCGATCTCTCTTTTTTTCACCCTACAGGTAGACATCTTGTGAGAAACCGCCCAGTGCCTTATTGTGCTGCTATGTCAAATTACCGAAAAAAAAACTAGCGACTGTGGGCCCTGCATTTTCCCTACTTTCACAGCGTTTTTCTGTGGGAATTCTCCAGCAATGCCAACAGCCCAAAGATGCGCCATCTCTGTCTCTTTCCGAACCCCTCCTGGTTCCTAGGGTCAATCCATCACGTACTATTGTAGGGAGAGCATGGAGCGAAGTCAGGGGGTCGGGTGGAACTTCGCTCCAACCGCGAACTTGGCAGCCATTGCCCCGCCAAGTGCATCATCATCCCACCTTCGTTGGCGGGGTCCTCTTACCGTTCGTCGGCTGGGAAAATCCAATGCCTCACATCCTCTTCTCTGCCCCTCACCCAATTTACCGTTATCTCAGCACCTCAGTATCCGAGCTGCATCCTTTCGCTCGAAAAAGGACGCCATTGTCTTGTATCCGTACAGATACCCGATTCGCGACCACACGATCCGGATCATAAAACATCTGTCAGCCTTTTCAGGAAGTCTTTGACAACGACAGTGTAATCAAGACATCATCACGGGGGGAAAACACAAGAAACCAAATACCGAGACGAGAGATCTCCACACTCACTCTGCAAACTGCCCAATATGGCCGCCTCCAAGACCCCCCAGATCACCGTTCTCGGCTCCCTCAATATCGACCTGACCTCCTATGTCCCCCACCACCCCTTGCCGGGCGAGACCCTCACGTCCAACTCTGTTGTCATCTCGCCGGGAGGAAAGGGCGCGAACCAGGCCGTCGCCTGCGCCAAGCTCTCCCGTTCCCGCGAATACCCCAACGATGCCGCCTCCGAATCCGCCTCCGTCTCCATGATCGGCGCCGTCGGCAGCGACTCGTACGGCGATCTCCTCCTCAAGAACCTCGGCGAGCACGGCGTCCGCACCGACCGCATCGCCGTCGGCAGCGACCTCAAGACCGGCATGGCCATCATCGTCGTCGACGAGCCTACCGGCCAGAACCGCATCATCCTCGCCCCCGAGGCAAACCACGCCGTCACCCCCGACAAGTTCGGCTCCCTCCCCCAGACCCTCGACCCGAAGCCCGACCTGCTGGTGATGCAGCTCGAGGTGCCCCTTGAGACTGTCCTCGCCGCCCTCCGCTCCGCAAAAGCCGCCTCCGTCCCCGTCCTCCTCAACCCCGCCCCGGCACAGCGTCTCCCCGACGAGGCCTACGACGGGCTCGCCCATCTCGTCGTCAACGAGACCGAGGCCGCCATCCTCTCCGGCTGCGACGAGTCCGAGCTCGACACCCCCGAGGGCCTCGAGCGCGTCGGCAAGTGGTTCATGGCAAAAAAGGTCAGCAACGTCATCATCACCCTTGGCGGCCGTGGCGTCTACTACGCCAACAAGGAGGGTGCCGCCGAGCTCATTGCCGCCCAAAAAGTCAAGGTCGTCGATACCACCGCCGCTGGCGACACCTTTGTCGGCTCCTACTGCGTCGCCGCCGTCACCGCCCAGGCCAAGGGCGAAGATTTTGACATTTCCTCGGCCATCAAGAGCGCCAACAACGCGGCGGCCAAGACCGTCGAGCGCAAGGGCGCGCAGACCTCTATTCCGTGGAGGGATGAGCTGCAGTAAAAGGAGACTGCGTAAAAGTAAATAATAGAGGAAAACGTAGCAAAAGTATGTCAAAAAACTAAGAAAAACGTTATTAATCATGCAATCTGTCAAGGAGGAGACAGCACCAAAAAAGAGTTCAGAGAACGATTGGCGGATCATATCTCGAACTGCTCCTAATTCGACTCTTACTCTTACAGGCGTGCATGTCTACAAACCCTCGAAACCAAGACTGAACAAAGTATAAGCTTTGAACCCTTGATCACCACCAACTCGTCCAACCCCAACGGTTGGAAGGTTTCCTCCCCTGGCTGCGGAGCGAATCTCCTCCACACGCCCCCTTCTTCTCTGCAGGATGACCGTCACCGCCGGTGCCAGCGATGGAAGATGCCAAGCTTCTCAGGACGCCCGGGCCTATCGAGCGCGGGCTTCTCAGTGTTGTCAAAGGATGCGCAAACCTATTTTTGAATCCGACCCCGGTTGCCGGCGCGTCGGGGCACGTTGCAGTTGATGGCACCCGCTCACCCTGTCCCGCACGGGGCCTATCCCAGTCCACCGCTGACGTCCTCCGATGCCCTGGAGACCACCCTTTGTACAGTGCTTCTGGCTGCCTGACTATCGCGTCTTTGCCGAGACTTGTCTCCCGCCTGGGAACTACCGGAGGCGTCTGAATGGCCATTGGCTTGTCCTCCTCTGACAGGTCCATTCTGGATAGTACCTCGACAAGCCTTGGCGGTGTTGATGGCCGCGCTGACATACGGTACATCGCATTACGAGCTCTCTGTAGCTCCCAACTACCATAGACGATGCTCATAATGGGGTTATATGTCAGGGCTCGGCTGGGAGACCATGGTGACCGGTGGTTGTGTCGCTTGATGGCGGCCGTAGCAAAAGTCTCTAATCTCGTGCCTGCTTCGGTCATGTTGTCGATGATGCCAGACCGACTTTTGCAAAAGAATGCCGAGTGATTGTACTTGACCAGGACGCGTATATACTCGAGGTTGGAGCTTCCCAGCTGGTATTCCAAGTCATCAATCAGCTCGTCTGATCTATGTCTGGCATGGCCAGGTTGTCTCATAGAGCGAGGCGAGTCGATGTGAAGTTGCACAAGCAGTAGTATCTTTTCGGAATTTCCAAGCGTTCTGCGCCTCAATCAGACAATGTCTACTGCCTCCAGATGACCGAACTCACGTCTGTTTAGGCTCGTCCTGGATAATCTCAAGGATGTAGCTATTCCCAAGTGGAACAACTTGTATGTCCATGCTGTGAATACACCCATATTGGAAAGGATCTAGGAGGACATTAGCACTGAAACACCAACAGGTATCTCAACACACCTGCAGAAGGTTGGTTATCATTTCCGTCGGCCAAGGTTGAATCATCCCTGGAAGAGATTGCAGCGCACGCTGATCCATTGAGTGGTCGGCATAGTTGTCCCGAAACTTCAATGGCGACCCAAAAAGTTGTCGTGCCGCCGTCAAGAGCCTTAACCTCCGGGGTGATGGAAATCCGTGGCACGAGAACAAGCGAAACGTCAGACATGGCGTTCTCTTCAGAAGAATCTGAGTAATAAGAAGTGTTGTATTTCGATGAATGGGGGTTTGCCTCAAAGCCATTGTTTGATGGCCCAGGGATGGCATGTGCAACAACGTCGTCCAAAATATGTGGTCCTGGAAGAGATGAGTAAATTGTACACACGATCTTGAACCAAGACTCACTATATGATTGTGTTTGTCCGCCAGGTGAAGATTGTTCCTGACCAACCCCAACCGAACCAGGTATTTGTCCGATCGCGTAGTTCCCTCGCTTCTTCCTCACCACGAGAGGCTCATCAAGCGGCCCCGGAAGACCGTCTAGACTCTTGTTCGTCTCGGCACTGAGTCTCCGCACGCCGTCCGATCCTCCTCGGCGCCCCCCTCCAGAACCACGCCCGAGTCTCTTGAGAACCTTGAGCGGCCGCGGGACTTCGGGAGCGCTCCTTCCCGATCCGTCCTTCTCCTCGTTGGCGAGAAACTCCATGTCAGACGACTGAACCTCGAGGGATGCCATGTCTCGGGCGGCGGCTGGATCTGGACCGTAGAAGTGGGCTGAGGTACCGGGAAGGAGGCGAAGCCGGCTTGCTCGTGGATGCCGTGCTGGATCGAAGGCGTGGGCGTGTCCCGGTACGTTCTGAGACTCTCGAGGTCTTGCCACGAATCTGCGTAGTTTTGCGTGCGGGTGGCGAGGCTGGTGATCGTGCTGTCGCTCGATTTCACGCGTCGGAGACCGAACCAGCGTCTCGGCGGCTTCGGTTCGATGGCGCCGGCTGCGTCTCTGAAGTTGCGGCAGATGAAGCAGGAGAGCAAAACCGCGATGATGAGCATGGGTATGACGGTTGCGAGAACGATGAGAACTACAGATACGGGAGGTGAGAGGCCCATAATAGAAGCAAGATGGCGATAAGCAATGTGCGCTATGATCTCTGAAGTTTTCGAATGATGATAGTTTATTGTTCAGGGGCCTTTGGAAGTGAATATGTCGCAAGGCTACTTGGGTGAAAGACAAGAGAATAAAGCTACGTAGGCATGTCTGCATCCCGGCAGCGGCAGAGGAGACGAACATGCAGGCTAAGGTAGGTTGGTAAGGTCATAAAGTTTTCGAGGTAGTCGCTGTCATACAGAGTCAAGTCCTTCATTCCGCCGCAGGCACGCCCTGCATGCTTCTGCGTCCTTCAGGGGTCGCGGGGCCGCTTCCCAACGTACGCAGCAAATTTTCCCTCACCGAGTCCACGTCGCCTTCCTCCATGGCAAGGAAGTTGATCTGTAACGGTGAGAGTCAGCAATCTGTCGTTCTTCTGTTGGTCAAGCACTTCAGAAAGTAAGGTACTCACCAGGTCGTCGCCTCCACCCGACGTCGCCCCGTACAAGACCGCCTCAGAGAGAGACGCCGCGATGCCCTTCTGCACCCTGTCCTCCCAAACGCCTTCCCAATTCCATTCTCCGGGCTTTCTAGAGACAGAAGGTGCACTGCCGATGGGTTTCCGAACGATGGAGTGAACACTCCCGCTGGTGGAAGGCTTCCTCTCGGGCAGTGGAGCCGGCGTGGCCTCCTCCTTCTCTTCCCCTTCTTCTTCCTTCTTCTCCTGGACAGACTCCCCAGCCTCTATTGCTTTATCGCCCTCCTGCTCCTTCTTCCCTTGCGGCTCCAGATCACCAGAGAAACTTTTGCCCGCCTGCCGCTGGCGCGTTCTCCACGCGTGCCATGCGCCAGGATTTCCCGCGGCTTCGAGAGGCACCGAGTCGAGCACCTTTTCGTCGTCGAATGTGCTCCGGATGTATCGCAAGACTTCGTATGTAGAGACCTCTCGCCTAGAGGTATCAAGGTACCCTGGGCGACCGCCGAGTGGTGTTGCTTTTGAGCCCGGCGTTGACGTTGTGCTGGACGGACCGCCGCCTCTGGCGGGAGTCGCGGGCGGTTGTTGTTGGCCGCTAACTTGTCTGCTACCAGCGTTGCTCCGGCTGCCCCGGCCAAACCAAGCAGGGAATCCGTGCCGTAAACTGAATCCCCCGGGTGGTAGGCGCTCTGCGTCGGTGGCGCTGACGGTGCCGTTGTCTTGAATATCGGTAGTGTACATGTAAGTTGTTAATGGCGTAATCAGAGGATGAAAGATGTCTGTTGAGAAGGTGACAAGTGGCGGTAATCGAGGGTACGTATCAGGAAATGAGATCTGGAACCTCAAGATGGCCGTAGCGTAAGGTCCTGCGAACGTCTCAGTCTTGTCCCGTTCCTCTCTCCACTCTGGTCTCTCTCATCATGACTGAGTCCGGGGCCTCCATACCATGCCTCACAAACATGACGCCGGACCACAGCATCGGGTCTCCTGGCGTTAAGCTTACGAAGACCCCCTCCGGACAAGCCTGCTTCAGACCGGCGCTGGCGTACAGGGGTTAGCATTTACCTGATTAATCAAACCTCATGCGGCGATGGCCTGGGTTGGGAGACTTACAATTCGGCCAGAAGGTGCTGTCGCCGCAACGACGGCATACTGCCCATCCTGAGACTTGCCATTTTAGTCTCTTACGAAGCATCAAAATGGAGGATTTAATGAGAGAAGGAATATGCCGTGATGAGATGAAGTGTTTTGAGACGGTTGAACGACGTCTCATTCATGCGTGAAGCCAGGCGGTCAGGAAAGGCGGTAAGACATTCTGCCGGCCTAATTCGTTATCGCGCTTAAAAAAAAAGAGCTTTATCTTATCGATGACAGAGCGCTGGTTTACCCCACCTCCACTGTACGTCACAAGCTACCCCGCCAAAAAAGTGTCTACGGCATGTGCTGCGATCTCGGTCATCTCGGCCGTCGCGTCGCTCAAAGCCGGCGGCTCGGGCGGATAGGAAGGTCAACGGAGGAGGTGCAGACGACAGAGTTCTCTAAGATATTCCCGAGGCCCAAAGGGCTTATGGATGGCAACGTGTTTTCGCCATGCATACCAATCGACGCGTGGACTCCTTCTCCACGATAACTACCATTCGTCCGAAAAGAAGGGGTAAAATTTTGGTCTCATGATCTATTCACATCCGAAAGCTGATATCCCAGACGCAATGTTCGTCACTCTTGCAGCCCTAGCATCTTTGTGCCACGTTTACATGTAGTACCCCAAAGCAGCGATGTCCCTGACGGGGTGGATGGAAGATGCCATGCTCGAAGGGCTTCCTACTGGGCCATTATTTCCCGAGGCGTGCCTCGATCTTGCCCTTCTCCTTCGCCTTGATCTCGGCCACCTCCTCTCTGGTAGAATCGAACCTCGCGTTCACCTGGTTGAAGGGGTTCTCCGGGCTCTTCTCAAATTCCTTTCTGATCTTGTCTTTCTTCTGCTGCTGACGCAGGCCCTGGCCCGAGCCGTCATCATCCATTTCCTTGAGCCGGCGCTCCTCGAACGCCGCGTACGCCGCCTTGAACCGTCGCTCGGGGTGTCGGTCAACCTTTGCGTTGTTATCGGAGCCCGTGAGAGAGAGGGCATCGAGGGCGTTGTCGATACCCGTGGCGTTGAGCGCGGCAAGCGAGCCTCCGCTCTGATCGCCGTCCAACTGTGACAGATCGAGCCCACGTGTCTTCTTGACGGCCGTCTTGTTGTTCTTCGGTCCAGCCCGCCCGGGGGTGTTGGCCTCCTCCTCCTTCAGAAGCGCATCCTTCTCGGCCTTCTTTCTGGCTGCCTCTGCCTTTTTGGCGGCTTCCGCCTCCCTAAGCGATGAATAGTGTGGTCAGCCATGGCACTGGGTGGGTTACCTCTGTGGGGTAAGTGAAGATTTCGATAGATTGGGAAACTTGATGCATGGAAGCCGGTGGTGTCACATGCGGCATAACACATTGTGGCGAGGAGGTTACCGGTAACATAGCCGTGACTCTTACTCACTTCTTTGCGGTTCCCTTGGCGCCCTTTCCCCAGTCAGCGTCTTCGGCGGCAGCCTTTTTCGCGTCCTCGACAGCGTTCTTCTGTGCAGCAGCCTCGGCCTTGCGGGCGTTCCCGGCGGCCTTCTTGCTGTTCTCGCCAGCTCCCTTCTTGCCAGCCATGTTGTCTCCTTGTGATGCTGGTATTCAGTCGGTGTTGGTCGGGGGTACGCGCGATATGCGATGCGAATGCGCTGCACTGCGACCAGGCGTTTGTATGCGCGTGCTGTATGTAGCTTGCTTCTTCTTTGTGTGCCTGCGTGCGTGGTTCGTGGCTTGCGCCCGGGATGTTGCAGTCGAGCAAGTGGTGCGTGTGAGGGATGTTGTGAAACCCGAGGGAAACGGGAGAGGGGAGAAAACAAGTTGGTTGTCGTTATTTCCTCCTCCACAAATGGGCTAAATGGAGACAGGAATGAGCAAAGCGGAGCGGAGCGTGAGGTAAGGTAGCGTTAGACCCTCCGCGGTGTACGGAGTGGTGGAAAGCAGCTACGGCCGGTGCGGTGGTTGTCAAAAGAAGCTGGAGGACAGTGTAAAGGCCGGGGATTTAATTCTCAAGCATTGGATGAAAGCCACCCTCGACCAGATGGGGAACGGCGACCAACAGACACGATCAGTGGATGACTCGGTGCGTAGTCATAGCATGGCCTTGGGGGGTGGGCAGAAGTCGCCTCGTGTTTCCCGGCTATCTAATTTTACTTCATCTGCTCACGTCGTACGCATTTGCAGGTCAGATCGAACCGAGCGAGTTAAAGTGTTGAGTAAGGTATCTCGGTGATGGAACCGCGACCGAGATACAGTGTCGGACTTTGTATTACACACAGTGCGGGTGATTGTGGAGACCGCACGTGCGTCACACGACAAGACTATTTGTACGTACAGAGTACTCCGCACGGTATAATCAACATACCTTACCTACCTAGGTAAGTTACAATACCGGCTCAAAAGTCTAGTTACACTGTTAAAGGTCACCCCACCACAAACCCTCAAGATCTTATTATTTCAATCAAGCACAGCATTTTTAAATATATTTTAAATTAAATAAATTTTGTAGTAATTTATTGTTTAAAATAGCATTTTAAAATTACAGGAATTATTCTTAAACCCGGCGGCGCAGTGTAAAGAAAGGGGTAGATAATACAAGGGGGTGAGGTATGGGGCTTAATAGTGTAACTAGACTTTTGAGCCGGTATTGTAAGTAGGTTTCTTAGGTATCCGTAGGCAGGTATCGAGTAGAGGCAAAGTAGGTCTCTTAGGCAGCTGTATGTTATTGGCCGCCTAGCAGCATCGTTTGTCGTCCTCCGTGACCATCTCAAACGTCGTCAGCACAGCATTCGATAGCTTGCACGCACGAGGCAAGATTGAGTAGGTCGGCATCGACGCAAGTTGCTCGCCGTTGCTCTCTTCCGGTCTCCATCAACGGGGCGAATGCCGGGTAGCCTCTTCCGTATCCCCCGACCATTGTCCGGATAGATTGAGCAATGTTCTTAATCTTGCCTGTCGCCAACCCGTCCGATCCGGTCCTTCCACTGGGCATGAATCACCCTCCATTGTTCTTCTCTAATCAGCATCCCGTGTTTGCTGAGCTTACGTTTGATGCAGGTCTTCGTGCCCCCGCACCAGCATTCGCGTCCTCGCACAAGATGTACCGGAGACCTGAATCCGACGTACCAAGCTACTTATGCTTCTGCTTCCACCGAGTAGATGCATCAGCCACTCAGGGAGAGCTTCGGTGAACGCAACCTGCAGTGCCCTGCCCTTTTCGGTATCGAGGCCTGCCATCGTAGGTCCGTCGAATTGTGCCACGTGCAGTTGGCTGTCTGGAGGCTTAGAGCCTGCAGGCGTTGATACGTTGCTAGGTCTGACAGCTTTGCATTCGACTTGCCGGGGGTGTTATCGTTCACTGGACGTTTGATGCTGCCTACCCTGGACATAGATCGGATCCAGGCTCATCGGACCGCTCCTACGTGGTAAGTCCTTTGATGCTAATGCAGTGTTCCCTCTTCACCATACCCATCCCATCTCTCCGCCGGCAACGTCCGAAAGGGCAATTTCTGTCCTTCTGTTACACAAAACGGCGCGACCATGGTTCGTTCCGCCCCAAACAGCTGGGTGATGGCCAACCGGAACCTGGCGGCCACGTCAAAACAGCAGGTCACACTGGTCTGCCCGGATCATGCCCGCTGTGACAGCCAAATATCTTCCGCACTGATGGCGATCAATTCTCAAACAAGGTGCATGAGCCCGACCTTTGCAGTCTCATACAATAGGTGCTAGAAATAGGTGCTAGAGTGACAGGCCGATGGTTGCCGAACGTGCATCCGTTGTCAGATACAAGCGTCAGATACAAGCCAATGTGAGGGATGAACCAAACAGAAGAGCAGCCAGACAGCCCATGCTTTCTGAATGTTTTTCTCTATATTCTTGGGTGCTTCCTCTCTAGCCTCCTGACTGCTAATCAGATGCAAAAAGGGGACGAGAGGGAGGGTACTAGAGCGCGAGCAGAGACACATGCGATTCGATACCTGTTGGAAGAAGGTGGCCCAGCTTCGCTGTCACAAAGTTACAAGCCCAAATCAGAATGTCTTTTCTCGATGATATCATACCGCGCGTCTCTATCCCAAGGGTTTTTGACACCCCCATGGCCCATTGCGTACACGTCAGTCCTCTGCTCTGACGTGTCGGCGATGTTGTGGTGCTGTGCCGTTGAGTGACCACACGGAAGAAAGCCTAGCCTCAGCTCCGTGGGCTTCAGCATCCTGGGACCAAAAGAGGAGTTTCGTTGACAGGAGCTCCAGAATAGACTCGGATAATTCAGAACACTTCCACCCCTGCGCCTTGTTCGAGGTGGCTCCAAAGCTATTATGGCCCGGCCCGCCAAAGTTAGTTGCCTAGGGCTGGCCAACCGTGGCATCTGCATTATTCTGAATTTCGGTGAGTCAACGGGCGAACCACCTTTTCTTGAGCAGGGCCCAGGAACTTGTCGCCAGTCTTGAGGCTCACACTCCCTTGGGTAGATATTCATTCTTGAAGTGGTCTAACCAGCGGTGTAAGCAAGTAATCACTGGCTCTGAGGCCCGGTGTGGGACCCATCACAGCCACGTATCGCAGCAACCGCAACGTCACCTTGTTGTTTTCCATGAAATATTGATTGCAGAGGCATCCGGACGCCCCGGGCCCCTTGTCGACCATAGGAGAGCTTCGCAATGGAGGGTGGCCGGCCAATTCGAGTTCTCGAGATCAAAAGCACGGATGCCAGGGCGAAAGAGCAAGGCGAGCAATGCCAGGCTTGCCGCTTCTGTTCAGACGCGCTGCGGGGATCATTTCACAACGGCTGGTCATGACAACAGCCGTGTGACGCGAAGCTGCCGCCCGCCCCTTCCCCCAGGGGGCTCAGCCTAGCTTGCCAGGCTTGAAGAATACGTGTTGAAGTTACGCTTGCTGGACGCAAGAAATACGTGTGTAATAGACCTTAAAGCCCTGTCTGGGTACAGTTCGAGCCCGGAAATTCCGTTCCTGGGGAGCAGGCTAGGATGTTGAGTCCCCATACGTAGTACTCATCCTGCTGGCTCTGGCGCAGGCTACCCCTGCAGACTCCCAGCTCATGGTGCCAATGTAAGAAAGGAGATGGCCTTGCAGGCGGTGAGAGATCTACAGGGCTGTAACCAGTTGGTAGGTGACATGTCATATATCGATTACGGGGAAAACTTACCAGGGGCGCGCGCGCGCAGAACCCAATGTAGGAGTCAAGCTTTAAGGCTTCCCACCTAGTATTTCTGCGGTGGAGAAGTAACCCCTTTCCCAGACAAAACAAAATCCCATATCTGGCGACCTACCGAGTCGGTGAGTCGACTGACCGAAGGTGAATACTTCTCGTGTGTCTGGACAAGGGTCCCTGAGCCGATGGGCACGCTGGATCCAATCATTAGTCATTGGTAGCAAAAGAAAGCGCTCGAAAAGGGCAACGACAGGGCTTAATGGTAGATGCTTAGCTTGGTGAGAATCAGCTGATGCCCGCCAGCATGGGTCAAGGTCGTAGTCGAGAAGAGGTACCTATTCCCGTACAAAGTATCCGTACACCTTCCGCAAATGAGGCCCAGGCCGGTGGGCAACAATATAGCATACAACCCTACTACCTTCCCGTAAGGTAGATATGGAGCCAATCATCAAAGGCCGGCCGTATTTGCACTGAGGAGTTTGCAGAGGCGCCAATAAGGGTATCAAGAAGCCTCTTGCGGTGCATTGTACGGGTATACAGCCGTACGTACGTACGTACGTACAGTAATATACGTGTTGGATGCTGGTAATGTCAAAGGGTGGAATCCTGCAGAGTTCAAGTTCTCTTTAATAAGCCAGATTTATCAAAACCTCGATGGCGTGCCTAACTACCATTTAGCCAAATCATCATCACTTGGAATTCGGCACAGCATTCGTACATACGTGAAGCTGGACAGCTTAGTGGTAAAAAAGTTATCGCAGGATGTAGGCAAGCCTTCATACAGTGGGATTGAACCACAGCTACTCCCCGGCGTGGGCTCGAACCACGAACCTCCAGATTAACAGTCTGACGCGCTAGCCAATTGTGCCACCGGGGATGCTCGAAACGAGTGAGTAGGTAGGGAGCCTTGGTTGTGACATCCTCGTCATTTCCGGCAGATATTCATGTGCAAAACCTCGTCAGCGTTCGTAGTTTGAAAGTGTGCTCCAGGGTTAGGGCGTCTTTGAAGCGGGAACTTGTCGTGGGCGGCACCGGGCCGCCCCAGAGAAGTGGGTACTTTAGTACAGCTGCAAACGAGAATCGTGCCCTTTTGCGACAGCAAACTGATATGAGTTGGTCATAGCAACACCTGAATCCCACGATGTTGCAGATGAAAACTACCATGGGCTGGGGCAATGAAGACAAATAAGAAACGAGCGGGATGGCTCTAGTCTTGGTGTGCTTGCCGTATCAGCCTAGGGATCACACACCACCGCCGTGGTAGGTATTAAAAGACGAACAAGGGGCTGACCGGGAGTAGTTTTGCAGGGGTTGCCTACATTCGGGCGAGGTTTGCGAGAGTAGGTTCGGAATGAATTTGGTAGTCAGCTCTTTGATGAGGCGGCTAGTTGTGACGGCCATGTGGGATCCCGCACAGCGATTGCGTTCCTCTAGGCCAGGTGTGAATGTCGCCTGGGTGCGCTAGTAAAGGCAAATGGCGACATGATGAGACGGAAAGCACGTAAATGGAGTCGAGGTAATAGGAGTCAGCTGTATCAGCCTCTGGAAAGCAAAACAACCAACTACGATTTGTGACCAGCGGGCAGCAAATGGAAGGGTGCCATGATGCGAAATGGTACCACATCGGATGTAATGATGTTGATTGAGGCGAGCGCCGTCGCGGATCCAGGTCAGAACTTCTGAAAGCATCGACAAACGCCGACCCCAGCAGAGAGATCTCGCAGGTCAGCGCCTGAACGGCTCGGCGGTGATGGACATGATGCATACCGGTGGGTGGCAGGCTGGTCTTGGCGTTGTCAACCAGAGGTAGCGTGACCATTTGCTAGGAAGCAGTCGTGGATGGGGGCTAAAATGCCATGTTACCAGTGGCTGGAAATTTGACTTGACTGCTGTTGTTGATGCAGACGGATGCCAGGATTCGGCGCAAGGGTATCACATACTCGCTTTATGGATAAAGCGCTTGGTAGCGTGATCAAATCAAGGATGGACGGTTTAACTCAGCCTGCGTGAAGTGAGGTGCGGGATGAAATGCGAGTCCCGACGTGAGAAGAGTCGCAATGTTAGACCAACGACCGGTTTCCGCTTCAGATGGTTTGATGTGCTTGGGACACGCATAGCGACAGCCCTGCAGATGCTAGCCGGCAAGCGAGACTGGGCAAGTGAAGGTGACCGAGGAGGGGATTGGGTAGCGTCATCACATCGAGTCGACGGTCACTGAAGGTCCCCTTGCAGGCCTTGCAGGTATCGCAAGAGAATGACGGGCCATCGAGGCGGGAGGCGGGAGGCGGAGAGCGGCATGCAGCATGCGGCGACGTGCTGGATACTGGATGATGCGGCCAAAGAAGGAAGACTGATCAGGTGATGCTGCGCAAGACATTAGTTCGTGATATGACAGATGCAGATCACGAGTTGCCCCCCCCGGACAGAGGTCTCAGCTTATTGACATTTGCCGAGCAGCTGGCGAATGTAGGGATGATAAGCAAGCGCCCATCACGGCACAAGCATGGAAAGGAAAGCGAACGACTGCAGGACAAGGAAGAAGGCAGCCGGATCCTGCAGCAACTGATGCCCACCGAGTGATTTTTTCATTTCTGATCATCTTAAGGCATCGAGATGAGGCGGCATGCTGCAGGCGGGAAGGGAAAAGTCGGAAGGTGGAGCGAACATTGGGGAGGACTGAGTATTAGTACAGAATCCCGACTGCGGGTAGGTACCTCTGAGGGCATTCGCAAGCTGCACTCAAGTTTAGGTAAGCTAGCTTGGCTCATTGTTGGTAGTAGGTTGCCGACGAACACTTCCGTCACCGGATGCTTCTTCCCACGCCGTTCGCACTGGAACATAGGTGTTCCTATATCAATAGCGTTTGTAGAACGGAGAAACGGGAGAAAGATGTAGACCTTGGCTAGAATTAGAACAAGGACATGCAGTCAAAGTGCGGTCAAAATGCGGTCAAAATCATCTGGACTAAAGTATACCTCAAGGTAAAGTACCGAGGTAAGGAACCTAAGGTAAGGTGAGGTTAGGTACCTTAGGTGGTACCTGCCATCTTGGCTTATCAGAGTCCCCCGTGCCTACCTAAGGAACCCTACCTTACCTTGCCTGCATGCCTGCTTGCCCACTTCCATCGGCTTACCCCATGTCTTAGGTAAGGTAAAGTGAGAAAGCATGGGAAGGGGATCTTGGGGGGAAGTAGGGAAGGTGCCTCCTCCCAGCCTAAGGTACCTTACCGCAGCCAAGGTACCTCTGCCAAACATGGGTTGAGACTCTGCTAACTGCTTCCCGTCCTCAAGGTAGGCACTTAGCTACCTTAGCTACCTTGATGTGGTTGTAGTATGCTCCTTGCTTTTTCGAGACACATGGTCCCAACGACCCACGATCTTCGCCTTGTGCGTTCCGTCCTTCTGTCTCGCGGAGCATGAACCATACGAGGCAAGATGTGCTGCTACCTTCTTGTTTTTCTCAATCCCAGATACGTTTGTGCAGTTACACGCTGAGGATACCTAGACACAGGCGCAGCTGCACCCCGAAAAAAACCAAGACCCCGTACCAGCTACGATTGCGTAACTGCACGTTCTACTGTCTGCGTGTCTAAGTTTGTGAGCTTCCTGCCCGCCCACAAGAAGCAACGTGGAAATGGAAGGTCCAGGCAGACAAAAGTTCAGAATCAGTCAGGACTGGACGTTACGTGCGTACGGATAGCTTTTGGGGTCTCTTGCCGTCCCTGTCGAACCCGTTGCCTCACCGACTGCATCCAACTTCAGAATCCCCCCCATAGAGGCGCATCTCGGATCGACAGCCACAGCCCAGAAGGAAATAGAGGCCTGTTATGCAACAGAAGCAGAACGACAAACGGCACGACAGAAGCGGGCAGGGCGGAGAAAAAAGGAAGCAACCCGGCACGCTTACGGCTTGCCAGGTTGCCTGGTTGCCCAGAGAGGAAAAAGCAACGCCGTCAGTCTCGGTCAATCCTCCATCATTGCTCGCGCATCACGCCCACCGCCAATCTCACCCTTGGATGCACGCTTCCTTTTTCCGCTCATCGATTTCCTTTCGCCAACCGCATCCATCCACCGTCTCAGACCATGCCATCCACAACTCACCTGCTGACGACTGGGCGAGAACAAAGTCAACGGGTCTCCGTTGTTTGTACCGGTGTGGTCGCGGCCATCTCTTCATGCTCGAGTCTTGACCGATTCTTATCGGCCCACACCCCCTCGTAGTTGTCGCCCCAGGAAAGTCAATCGACCATCGACACAATTGAGACAGACCCTCCGCATCGGCGACAACTGGCACGACAGAGAAGACAGACCAGACAGCCTGTCGGGGCTGAGACACGCCGATTTGACCACCCGTCCGTCATGGCATCAGACCCCATCTGGAGCGCTACATGCAGAGCTCACGGTGCAGGCTGCGGACTGCTGATACAAGGGCACCTGTTCGAATATACTTGCACCCCAATACCTAGGTAAGGTTCTCCCCAGTTGCAGTAGTCGCCTGCTCCAGGCTCCAGTGTCGCCTACGCTCCTTGTTGCGCACAACGTAGAGTACATAGTAGGTAAGGCCTCGATGCAAGCATTGATACATGCAGCCCGCAGTTTCCAGTCAATTGGGACGGGAGGGACGGGACACCACATCGTGGCATGCTTCCGTCCTCCTCTACGGATACCTTACGCAACAAAGCTTGGTGCTCCGCTCGTGCTCCGACTGGTGCTCGCGCCGCCGCCTCTTCGACTTGGAAGTCGTCTCGCCTTTACGCGAGGAGATCAACGTCGGGAAACGCAGTCTTGTGATTCGCCCGGCAAGCGGATGGCACTCCCCCGTGCTGGTAGTGTAAATTTGCTGCAAACCACGGGCTTGTTTGACCCTGAAATTGCTCCTCTTCGCAACCAACCCGGCCGTTGGGAGCACCCCCTGCTCTCGTCCGAGTCGTCCCCCACTCAGCCCGGGTTACCAGGAATACCCGAACCCAGCAACCCAGACTACAGAACCAGCGCCGCCAGAGCGAGATGATACCACCGGGGTTGAGGAAACTTCTAGAGCGCCGGGCGGCAGGTCTCTGACATTGTCGTCACCTCCGCGTGCGCGGGGCTTCCCACCCAACCGGACTGCAACTTGCTGCCCAGCGCTTGAGATCAAGGCATGAGATAAGGATGCCTTGATTCGCTCGCCATTTGATCACCAATGCTACTTTCTTTATCTAGCCGTCAACCGAAGTGTGCCATCCATCATTCTACACTGTTCATCGCCGGCCATGGCTAAGCAAACACCAGATAACCGGCCTGCCGACAACGCAGCCCGCACTCAAAACACCCGAGAATTGCCTCGTTGCCTCTCTCACCGTCTTGCCAACTAATTACACCACACCACCCCTGTGAACCGAGGACAGAAACGCGTAGTGGGGGATCACTCAAAGCCCACTCCATCTCATTTAGGAATTGGGAGAGAAGCTCCAAAGGTTCCACAGAAGAATTCGAAGCATCGGCATACAGACGAAATGGTAGCCACCAGGATCCCTCCCCGGCAAGACCGAAGATGATTCTGAAACTGACGACGAGAAGTCAAGGTTCTATGATCAGCCTTTCAAGCAGGGACGCATCCTGGCCTTGCTTCAACTAGCGAGCCCCGTTCCTGACTTTGACAGGTCATGTGGTTGTACAATTCCAAACCGGCCGTCCCATCGGAAGTGAACCACCCCTTTTCTGGATCCTGACTACACGCGAATTTAGCTAGGCTCGGTCAAGGGAGAGCTGGGAGAACATCCCCAGCCATTCGGCTGCTCCCCTTTGATGGGTCGCCAAGCGCCGCGTGGCGAAGGGCTAGGAGACTTTCCACTACCCCTGAGATCCGGTCATCCGGGTCCTGAGAACATTGCGTAAGAGCGAGGGTGCGTACTTTTCCGTACCTACACCGTTGGCCGCTCGGATAGGTTTTGCAACGAGCTCGCCGGTAGTGCTTTTCGCTCCGAACCAGCACCAAATAGCAAGATGAGGTGCTTGTTACGAATGTTAGTAATTGAAAGACTGCTCGTCATACGATTGCGAAAACAGCAGTTTGTAAAGGACCGGATCCCAACCAATCAGTCGTCTCCTCGATCACCAGTTCCTAGCGAGGTTGGAGCCGGGGGTTGCTGCATCACATCGGCTCCCTAATAATTGAAGGCGACATATTCCAGATTTGACTCATTCGCAGAGTAACGTTCTATCGGAAGTCTACAGCGGTGAATTGATCACTATTACCTGAGGAACATTGACTTCTTTAGAGTTTGTGCGATTGAGCTGGCACATCGACTGGCGACGACAAAGTCAAGCTGTCAACTTACCGTTGAACTTCGCAGGTCTAGTTGAGAATCACCTGCATTACACACCTACATAACATGATTGCCCCCTGCCTTTAACTACTCGCCCTGTTCCCCAGGCGAGAGGTCGATATGGGCACGGCTTCTAAGAGCTCCATGAACTATTTTCTATTCCTGTAGTGTAGAAACGCTCGAGGTGAGACGCAACAGTCTATCGTATCCGCACTCCCCCCTGAGCCCGCTGCTGAATGGGGAAGAAGTGAGTCGCTTGGTACACTTTGTAACCTTTCTATGCTTTTTTAATCATCCGCTAATGGTTGGAAACGATCTTTTCTGCTAAAAGATTGATATGATGATAGTCGGCGGTGGGACCGACAAACATTCAGGCAATGGAAAAATGGGACGGGGTAGGCGAGAGCGAACCGGATACACAGTACAACACGCTACCTGTGCACTGATACACTCTCAGAACCAGCTACCTGGCGTTTCGGCACCGGTTCCGGCACTCGCCCGATCAGGGCCCAGAGGGACGGTTGTATGGGGGTGCTTGGATGCTTCAATGGGATACTTTACTGGGAACCCCTGACCTAGCGTGGAAACGAAAGCCAATTTCCCTGATTGCGATGTTCCTGGAAGAGGATCACCGCCATTTCGTTTTGCGGGCCGACTTTTGTTGGTGCTCGTGGTCTCTAACCACACAGTACCCAAGACTCAGCTTTCTTCTTCAGCGGTCGACATCACTCGCAAATTGCACGATAACAGATGCTGCCATGTCTACCCTGCGCCAGGGTAGCACTGGGTTCACCAACGGCGAAAGCGCGGATGCTATCCGGTCACTCCTTGTCTTATTTTGGGGGAGGGGGGGATGAGCAGTAAGGTATATGGAGAAAACAGTCCCACGCCGCTGCAACAACTTGCAAGATCGCCGACAATGGCAAATGGCAAACTCTGTTTCCAAGAAGGGATTGAAGGAAGAGGTATTCCGGCTTCCGGCTCAAGAGCCCCGGCACGAAACGGCCGGTACGGCTGCTGTTGGGTAATGAGTGTAATGAGTGTAATGAGTTCAGCCAACAATTTCTCAATGGTTATGGGAAGTTCACGACACCACGAGCGGATCGCCCGTCACTACCGCGTAGAAGCCATCCTCTTCGCATAGGGTTACCGAAGTATTGCCGACCAGTGGTCAAGTGCGCCTGGGCAGAGGCGCTCACCTGTCCCATGGTGGAGGAAGATTCTGGGAGCGATGATGCAGCTTGGGGAAGAGTACCAGCCTTGCCACATGGTTCTGAACAGGGACCAGCCGTCGCCAATCCATTGCATTCGTACGGGTACTCATGCGCTACGTACAACAGTACAAACTGGGGTAGACCTCGCTTCTGGGCTCGACAGTGGAAAGCAGCGGTACCGACGGGGGGGGCAAGAGGAAGACAGACTCCAGAACACAACAAGCACGTCGCACGTCGCACGCCGCACGCCGCACTTGGCTCGAAACCAGTCGCTGTGCCCAAGCTCGAGCCCAAGCCCGCAATCTTCGTCAACCGCGCCCTCATTTTCCGCAACTCTCAAACTTTGCGCCGGCATTCAGCCCCTTGACCTTGTCTGATGGACCATCAATTTTGGGAGTGGCAAGTTCGCAACTAGCACCCTCCTGACCATCACCTACCGGTCCGGCTTCCGCGACGCCCAGACAAGCTATTCAATCGACGAGTTGTGACCGCCGAGTCCGAGCGTTGCTGCACAATGCCGGGCAAACCAGGACCCCTATGAAGCATTGGGAAGAAAATCAGTCGGCATGATGAACGGCGGCAGCTACCCGGAGCGACATTTAGACAGCCTCGCCTCGCTACAACAGTCTGCACTCTACGGATACAGGAGGTTGGCAGGCTAAAGTGACTGGTAATGCGAGATCTGTCAGCGAGGATTCTGCGACCAGGGTCAGAGAAATGACGGCCGACGGACCAGGATTGCGTAACCCTGTCAAAGAAGAAAAAAAGACTTTTTCCATTCATTACAACCCCGGCTGCTTCATTTGGCGGCTCGTGTTGTCAACTTCACTGACACGACGGATGCCTCTGGACCTCTGGTGGAGGGCCAATACTGCGGCCTGGTTTAGGTATTCGTACAGAACCTACCCAGCCCATGCTGGCCCAGTCCGTTGGTTCGTCTCCATCGCCCACTTGTCGCTATTAATCAAAGTGACACCAGGGTTATTTCGTGCTGCCCCAATAGTGCGGGAACAGTCGACGACTGCAACTACGGATACAGTCCAGATATCCTACGGGCCAAGCCAGAACAACGTCAATCCTCAGTCACTTACAGGACGGCAAGGTACAACAAGCACGTGAGTCCGCCGATCCAATCAGTCTGCCTCCAGATGCCGACGTGTGTCGGTTGAGTGGGCAAATCCAGGATGCGGAAACGCCTGCCGAGAGCAGGAACCGGGGCAACAGGATTGTTGTTGAACAGGACAGCAAGCAAACAGGCTGACTGTTTGCTAGCGCAACACAACCCTCCTTGCTGCGGAGTAAGATGCATCGTCAAGTGACCAGGCGCGCGCAAGTAAGATGCCGACATGTCACGATATGACTCTTTGAAAGAGGGGATAAGTAGAGGGATGGATGGGAAACTGAGGTTGGGCTTGCATCCCTCCGCCTGAGTCGGTTCGCTTGGGTACCCGTTCGCCCTACAACCTCTACACCGTTGAAAGGAGGGGGGGGGAGGGGGGGTAAATTCGACCGCTCGCAAAAAATGTGCCGTTTTCATTCCAATCGGAAGCTGTCGTGGTCAGGGTGCATGCGACCAACAGGACCTCGAGCCGTAGGCTGAGCGCTTGAGCAAGCTGCGGCAGCCTCGAGGGTCGTCCTCTTCAGACGTCACGGCACATGCAACGTCGACGCTTCCTTGGTTTCCAGTTACAGGCGGAAACTCGTCTCGGCCGATAGAGCTGTGCGACATTTGAGGCGCGCCTCTCCACAATCGCATACGGCCGCTGCAAGCACCAGTACTGTGCGACTATGGATGCCCTCTCGTATTCAGCAGCACATCGAAGCAAACACCTCAACGGGCCGTACGTTGTGTATCTGGCGACGCGAACTCATACTGCGAGTTGCGCGAGATGTGTGCGAATCTACCTCTTGGTACCAGAATTCCGACAGACATGCTTCGAGTCGATGTGAAGCGGCGGCGGCAGCGGCGACGGCTTCTTTTTCGAATTGCTACAGGCCGACGCTGGTGCCACAGGTGTTGATATCCGCCGGGAGGGACACTCCGCGGCCCAGGTCCTGCGTTCATTCACCGCCTCACAAAAGCGGACGACGAGGTGGTTCTTTCAGGCTGGCTTTGTTACTCAGATCCTCGGCGCTCTGATGCATGGTCTCCGGGGTGTGATAAGCTCCGCGTGCGACAGGAAGCTTACCCGCGTCCCACCTCAGTTTGCCCAACAACAGGGAGTCAGGGACAGCTCCAGAAGAACATTCAGGATCATCCGTCATGTCATGGAAGCCCCTGATGTCCCAATCAAAGGCAGCGAAGCTAACGTCTTGTACTGCCGCTCACCGCAAAAGATCAGGCAGCGCGGGGAACGGGATTACCTAGTTCACCCTGCTAAGGAGGCGGTCTATTGCTGAGCCACAGGGACAGCCTGGGTTTTTCCCCATGTCGCCCTCCCTCGACAACACAGTCGAGCTAGCGTTTGACCAGCCCTCGGCCGGTGGTTTGTCGCTTTCACTCTACAACCCAATGTCAACCCCCTGCTGCAGCAGAGCCATCTACTATAGTATGCGACCCAAGTGCCGGGGTGTGAACCTTGGGCCGTAAAGTACGCACCTTGCGTGCCTCACATCGCGGCGGACAGGTTGCATCTCGTCCTCTCGTCTGTCCTTGAAAGGCAAGGATACAATAGTTCAGTGTTGGGATGCCCGGCTCGCTACCCATCGAACGACGTCTGAGGGAAGGCTTCTGCTCTGTCCTGTCACTATGGCGCGCATGCGCCTAGCAAAGTCCGTTCCCGTGATGTCCGTAACAGAAAATTTGAACTGGAAGGGGAATACTCAACCCCCGATACAGCCTGAAGAACGAAACTCGACGCGGGGCATCAGAGCTTGATTTTCCGAGACGAGGACATCGTGTCTCCGAATGCACTACTAAATACACGATGCAGTCGCCACCGGGGCAGACAAGGCGAGATAGGAGCAAGGGACCGGGACCGGGACGGGACAGTTGCCGCTGCGTAGCGCATCGCAGCCTTTTGGCATCGTGGTATCCGTACAGAGTATTCGTAGGGATAAGTGAGAAGCACTTGATGGACGTGTAGCCGCTACATGGCGCCCGTCGACAAAAGTGCAGGTAAATGTTGGCTTTCCTGCTGTAACTTGTTGCATCGGTTGGCTAATTTTCTTTTGCTTTCTTATTTCTGGCGCCCTGCAACTACCCACACCCCAATTCCGAGTTGGCTCCAAAAATTCTCCCTCTCCAAAATCCAGTCTAGTCCCATCGAGGCTCTAGCCTCGTTGCCTCTTGTGAAACCTTTTTTTTTTTTTTTTTTTTTTACCCTCTGTTGATCCCTGCCCTCCGGTCTGGCGCCATCCTTCCCCGAGTCTGCCACCCCTTGCCTACTTTTCCTACTCCGTTCATGTCGGTCTGTCGAGTACGTACTCTCGTCCGGTAATGTAGGTAGGTACGTACGGAGTACTCTTTTTCTCCTTCACTCTCTCTGTGTGTCTGTGTCTCTCGCTCGCCCTTTCACAAACCCACGCCCACACACTCGCTGGCTCCGAGTCCATCTCCCCTTGACACCACTGCGAACAGCGGATTGCACTTGGGGAATCTCATCCGGGTAGTACCCGTCGCGTAGGTAGTGGCCGAGCTATGGAGGTAGCTACCTGCCTACCTACACTTACCCACAGTTGTAAGGCGAACACTCATGGCCTTGGGACCGTCATCTTGACAAGGGCAAGGGGGCAGGCTGCACGCTGCGCGCCGCACGCCGCACACACACACACACACACCCTCCCCCCCCCCCGACTTCGCATGTACATAGTATGGAGAAAAAAAAAGCCCACCGAGTGTCGTCTGGGGGGTACCCCTGGATCAGGTACAGGGCTTCTCAGGCCCCACGGCCGTCATGCCGGGCAGTTGGATCCCTTCCCACGACGTGGGACCTTTCGTCGCCGCATCTCCCTGAATCCCTCCCCGGCGGACAAGTGGGAGGATCGTCTTGTTGCTTTTTTGCGCTGGACATGCCATGGTCACCGCCGTTCCAATCTTAGATCCAAAATTTGCTTCCGCAACCCAGGCAATGGTACGGTCCCGGTGGCCTGTCCAACCCAGCTGGGTCTGGTCTGTGTCTGGGGGTGGCCCTGGGCTTTGACGTCTCTTGGTCCTCTCATCGTCACCGTCCGCGCTCCCTTCATATTAAGTTGCTTGCTTCCCCAGAGCTTGCTCATTCTTGTTCCATCTGATACTTTCTTCCATAAGGGCAACCCCTCCGCCACCCAACCTGAATAACTTTGGTCTCGTTCTGCTTGTTTTATCATTGCTTTTCCACCGTTGCTTTTCACGGTTACATCATCAGTCTCGAGCATCCAGACGCCTTCCTCCCTTCCACGAGACTAGCAAAACAAATTCTTGCCCACACCGATCTGGACCACCCGCTCCACGATACCGTTTTTCTCCCTCGATTCTTGAGCCCACCGAAAACGTTGTAGGAACTGCAGTGCTATATATTGCAGCATCCCACCCCCCTCCCTTGATTCCGAACATCCCATCCGTCTCCCGAATCTCCTCGCGCCTCGCACGAATTTGGCCTGCCAGCTGCGCATACACTGAGGATCTACCAAGATGAAGAGGTCCGACTACATGACGGGAGGCCGTCGAGGCGGCTCCTTGAGGAGCACGAAATCCAAGTTGCCGCCTTTTCCCATGAGACAGATGTTTGTACTCGGTATGCATGCCCTCGTCAAGCCGTCTCACATGGGTTCACCACACGTCGACCGCTAACACGCTTCTTAACCAGCCCTTTGCAGAATATGCGAACCGATTGCGTTTATGTCCATCTTCCCGTATGTCTACAGAATGGTCGAGAACTTCAACATCACCGAGGACAAGAGCAAGATTTCCGTCTACGCCGGCATGATTACGTCGGCCTTCACCTTGGCCGAGTTTTCGACGGGAGTCGTTTGGGGACGGCTCAGCGACAAGATTGGTCGCAAGCCTGTTCTTTTGATGGGCCTATTCGGCACGGCCTTGAGCTCTCTGGTTTTCGGATTTGCCTCTAACTTGACTGTTGCGCTCATTGCGCGAGCTCTGGGTGGTTTATTAAATGGGTACGTCTAGTCAATTATTCAAGCGATGGGAGTTGGACTTTGGCTGATTTGAGCAAAGAAACATTGGAGTCCTGCAGACGACCGTCGCAGAGTTGGTTACGGTCAAGGAGCATCAACGTATGTTCGGAAGTCTTCCCCGGTTACAGATGGCAAACTAACGCCGCCTAGCTCGCGCATACACCATTATGCCCCTAGTTTGGTGCCTTGGGTAAGTTGACCTTTTGGCGAGCGTACCCCAATTACGCGACTCGCCAGATTTGATTGACCAGCGTGTCTGACCGTGCATAGCTCAATCGTAGGACCTGCCCTAGGTGGCTTGCTTGCTGAGCCCGTTGTCAACCACCCGAAGTATTTCAGAGCGGGTTCGATTTGGGAGCAATACCCTTTCCTCTTGCCCAATCTTTTCAGCGCCGCCACTGTATTCTGCGGAGTCGTCATCGGCTTGCTCTTTCTGGAGGAAACTCATGCGGAGCGCAAGAAGAGGAGAGACCCCGGTGTGGAACTGGGAAAGCGCATCATCTCATGGGTGTCGACCAAGAGCTGCCAGATCCCAGCACGCAAAGCAGAGAAGCAGGCACTGCTTGACGATGACGAACTTCCTGGCTACCGCACGAATGAGAGCTCTCCTCAACTTGTGGGGTCCGAGTCTTCGATCCCGGAGCCCACGGAACCCTTGGATCTTACCAAGACATCAGACATCGAAGAAATCGAGGAGCAGCCCAAAGTGATATTCACCAGGCCAGTCATCCTGAATATCATCTCGTACGGTATCTTGGCTTTGTAAGTGACTAACCTTACCCCTGACTCTTGCAACAGTCTGCTTACCATGTCCCCAGCCACACCATGACCTTTGATCAATTGTTTCCTGTGTTTCTCAGCACCGCGCCCCCGGAGAACCCGGATACACATCTTCCTTTCAAATTTGCCGGGGGCTTCTCGATGAAGACGGAATCTATTGGCATCATTCTTGCGGTTCAGGGTGTCTACTCCATGATCTCTACGGTCTTCGTCTTCCCGTGGATCACCCAACGTCTCGGCCCCTTGCGTCTGTTCAGACTGTTGGCAATTTCGTACTTCCTGCTTTACTTCACGACACCCTATCTGGCTCTGTTGCCGGAGAACTGGCGAATGGTCGGAATCTATGTCATGGTTATTTGGAAGTGCACTTTCTCGACCATGGCCTATCCCAGCAATGCGATTTTGCTCACAAACTCGGCACCGAGCCTCATGTCCCTCGGAACAATCAACGGTGTTGCCGCCTCGACTGCGAGCTTGTGCAGAGCTTTCGGACCCACCATCTCCGGTTTCCTCTATGCTCTGGGTATCCAGTCCGGCTACTCGGGTCTCGCTTGGTGGGTCAGCGGTGCCATCACCATTTGCGGCGCATTCCTCAGCATGCATCTCACCGAGCCTCGTGGACGTCTGGACGAGCCTGTCAAGGACATTGAGACAGCTGTGGAACCCACCGAGATCGAGGGTCTGCTAGCTCCCATGACAGACGACGAATATGAGGTTGTGGCCGGTCCGAGCCGGAGATCGTGATCATCACAATGATTGCAGGCGTTGACTACATTACCCTCAAACTCGATACCCAGAAGGCGCGATGGGATTTGCGCAGCTTTCTACATCATCATTCTACAATCGGAGTTTTCATCCTACGGCGTTATCATTGACAGGAAGGGACCAACAAGACATAGACTATCGCTCACGGGACACGACGGAATCAGAGAGAAGAGTTCTTAAGATCACACGATTTAATTCAGACGGGCCGAGGAGACAGCATATACGGGATTCTCACGACTTGTTGTTTTATTCCCACCATTTCCATCAGCGGGCTGCATGACTGGATTTCAGTTCTTGTTCGTTTCGACTTTTCCAACTTTTAGGGGGCGCACAACATTACATCATGTATCGGGTCAGGCGACGATTCCCGACCATCTGTTTTTGTAAGGGTTTTTTTTTTGTTATTTTTTGTTCATCTTATTGGACAAGGAGTTGGATATACCATGGACGCCCAAGGGACAACCGACATTGCAAAGAGAGAGAGAGACAGGAAACCTCGAATGGCGCAACATTGGGAAAGTGGATGGTATTTGGGAAATACCACAGAGTCCGGACCTACCAAACAACTCGAGGGAAGAGAGCAGAGAGCAGAGGAGCGAGGGGGATCTGGCAAGGAAGGATTTTCCTGGGGGGACTTGATTTGTTCTCCTACGAGACTTGCAAAAGGTCTCTTGTTCTTTATGTTTTAATGATCGCTTTTCCCCTAGAGAATTGATGGGACAATACCCTTGCTTAACAACCACATTTTTTCCACCTACATGACTATCTTATCCCCACCCCCAGTGACGATTGTTGGGCTCTAGTGAATTACCGACCTACCCCTCTGGCCGATGCCTCATCAGTGAGTTTGAGGTCGTGGTGTCTCTCGGGTGGTTTCTCTTCGTCGCCAAGCGAAACATTGGTGACGTACACTGTTGTACATGAATTGAACGTTTTGCGGTGAGACATTGCGGGGGTGAGTGTAAGTGATGTACTTTTTTTCCTTCTTTGGGGGGGGGTCTTTGAAGAAACCCGGGGTAAGGTTGGTCCTCGAAGTATTCGCAGGGTTCAGTGAATCGGTTCCCCGGATGGAATCCCGGTCTTTTGATACCTATATATACAAACTTTTCGACTTTGGTTCATCCGAAAGACGAGAGAAGGGGTTGGTATGATACACCCAACTGCGTGGGGTGGTAGCGGACTCAAAAGAGAATGGGCCTAGAAGATTAAAACACTCTTGGAAGCAGAGATGTCGGGCAGATGGCGAACTCTATAGAGACCAATCACTCGCAATGACCTCGAGGTCAGTTGTAAGGCCGTTATCGTGATAGTGAGAGTAGGTAGGCACTTGTAGGGATTTCACATGCGTGTCGGAACGTTGGTCGATGTGGGAATCGCTCATTGGCTAGTATTACAGGATACCATTGGGCATTGTACATTTTCGACAGCGATAGGATCAAGATTACAGTAATCGATAACGGCAACGGGTTGTGACTTTTGAGGATTGGAGAATCCCCGTCAGTTAGCAAACGTGTACTAAGCTGCATTGGCGTTAGGAGTGGATACGGTATGTGAGATATGGTACGGATGCATAGTAGGAACTGAGGGGAGGAGAGAACAGAGGGACCTCGGTATTACTAGTATGGGAGAAACCACGGTAGATGACAAGTCGAGTGTGCTGTTTTACTCAAACTGTATTTTCGTATTTGTGACACACTTGATTTTCGATTTGGATTTCTTCGATGACAAGGTACTCGGAAAAGTCGATAGTTTCATTTGACAAGATAGGGGTTGGATCAATCATAAACGACGGATCGCAATTGCGCATCTCGCGGGCATCTTGGGGCACATTGTGAAGTGGGCGGCGGCTTCAAACTCGATTAGCAAGTAACGACACCACGACATCATGAAGGGACGAGGGAAGAGGTGATTCAGAAACGAGTAGATCTGAGAGTCAGAGACGACGGGCGGCACGGAGTAAGAAGAGAGAGCATCGAAGGATGTGGCGCCCTTAATCGTAATCCGTCCCGGATTCGACGGATAGATAAGGGGGGTTCTGGCTCTGGTGCTGGTGCTGGTGCTGGTGCTGGTTCTGATAGACAGACAGACACACACACACACACACACACATCTGTGCCAGAGGGTAGAATTGACCCTCGTAAAAAGGGAACCAATACCAAGTTTCAAATCAAGAGAGAGCAATTGGCATTTTTAGCTCGCCGTGGGCGTACGTACTGGGGCCTTGCCTCGCTTTCCAGGGGTAGGTCAACTGATACCCGGCGGCCATCAAGGCCAAGCGAGGGGCGCGCCGAAAGGCTCAGGCCGATGCGGCAGCGCGGGATGGAGTTCCCAAACGAGGCATGGCCGGCCAGGATCGCGATGATTGGGTATTTGGTCCCTCGGTGTACGGATACGTAGTATGTCGTAGTGCGGGGGGCAGACGGGCGGGCAGTCTAGTACGTACAGAGACTAAGAGGAGGAGGAGGAGGAGGAGGAGGATTCGCATCCATCCCTTAGTCTTAGTATAAGGCATCGTACGTGATCCGCTGTCTTGTTCGCTCGTTCTCGTCGGGGGGGGGGGGGGGGCGGGCTGTGGGTGGGGGGGGGGGGGCGGGTGGGGGTGGTGGGGTGGCCCTGTGTGGGTTGTGGTGTGTTGTTCTGGTGTGTGGGGTGTCGTGGGTGGGTGGTGATGTGGCGTGGGTTGGTGGGGGGTTGTGTTGGGTGTGTTGGTGGGGGGGGGGAGTGGAAGTGATGTGACAGAGAAGAGTGTTAATAAGAGATTTGGTCGTTGGCCGCTTGCACTTGTGTTGATGAGATAGGCAGCTCTTCTCTTTGGGTCATCAAGTCG